AGAAGTGGCCCGAAAAGATGGCTGCTCTCGACTGCATCAACATCCTCGTCGAGTCCGCCCAGATGCAGCTTGGTTACCAGGTTCCCACTCTGATCCCCGTCATCTCCGAGGCCATGTGGGACACCAAGTCCGAGATCAAGAAGGCTGCCTACTCCACCATGGAGAAGGTCTGCGGTCTGATTGTCAACAAGGATATTGAGCGTTTCATTCCCGAGCTCATCAAGTGTATCGCCAAGCCCGAGAACGTCGCCGAGACCGTTCACTTGCTCGGTGCCACCACTTTCGTTACTGATGTCACTGGCCCTACCCTCGCTATCATGGTTCCCCTGCTGGATCGTGGTCTTGTTGAGCGTGAGACCGCCATCAAGCGTAAGACCGCTGTCATTGTCGACAACATGTGTAAGCTTGTGGAGGACCCCCAGCTTGTTGCTCCTTTCTTGCCTAAGATGTTGCCCGGCTTGAACAAGAACAACGAGACTCTTGCCGACCCCGAGGCCCGTGAGAAGACTCGCCAGGCTCTCGACACCCTCTCCCGTGTCGGTAACGTCGTCGACGGCAAGATCCCCGAGGTCTCCCGCGCTGGTGACATCTCCACCGTCTCTGCCATCCTCAAGGAGGTCCTCGAGGCTAAGCACAAGGACACCATTGCCTCTTCCGAGGAGGCCATCAACTACGTTGCTGCCATCGCCGCTCAGCTCGTTGATGAGAAGGAGAACGACCACGTCATCTGGACCCAGAACACCATTCCTTACATCACTGCCATCGTTGGCGAGGCTGATGCCAAGTCCGTCGCTGAGGAGCTCCGCAAGAAGGCCTGCCCCGATGCCGCCGCTGCTGATGCCGTTGCCTCTGATGAGGAGGAAGGTGTTGACCTTTGCAACTGCACTTTCTCCCTGGCCTACGGTGCCAAGATTCTGCTGAACCAGACTCACCTGCGCCTCAAGCGTGGCCAGCGTTACGGTCTCCTCGGCCCCAACGGTTCCGGAAAGACCACTCTCATGCGTGCTATCAACAACGAGCAGCTTGAGGGTTTCCCCAAGAAGGATGAGGTCAAGACCGTCTACGTCGAGCACGATCTCGACTCTGCCGATACTGAGCAGACCGTCATTGCCTGGACCCAGAAGAAGCTGGCTGAGGTTGGCCAGAACCCTCCCCGTGAGGAGCTCGAGGGCAAGCTGCTCAACGAGTTCGGTTTCTCCGAGTTCCAGATCCAGGGTCCCATCACTGCCCTCTCCGGTGGTTGGAAGATGAAGCTCGCTCTCTGCCGTGCTGTCTTCGAGAACCCCGATATTCTCCTGCTTGACGAGCCTACCAACCACTTGGACGTCAAGAACGTCGCATGGCTCGAGAACTACCTGAAGAGCTCCCCTTGCACTTCCATCATGGTGTCTCACGACTCCAAGTTCCTTGACAACGTCATCCAGCACGTCGTTCACTACGAGCGCTTCAAGCTCCGCCGTTACCGCGGTTCCCTCTCCGACTTCGTCAAGGCCCACCCCGCTGCCAAGTCCTACTACGAGCTCGGTGCCTCCGAGATGGAGTTCAAGTTCCCCGAGCCCGGTTTCCTTGAGGGTGTCAAGACCAAGTCCAAGGCCATTTGCCGTGTTAGCAACATGTCCTTCCAGTACCCCGGTACCCCCAAGCCCCAGATTCACGGAATTACCTTCCAGGTCTCCCTTGGTTCCCGTATTGCCGTCATTGGTGCCAACGGTGCTGGCAAGTCCACTCTCGTTAACGTCCTGACTGGTGAACTTATCCCCACCGCCGGTGATGTCTACCAGCACGAGAACATCCGTATTGCCTACATTAAGCAGCACGCTTTCGCTCACATCGATAACCACCTCGACTCCACTCCTTCCGAGTACATCCAGTGGCGTTTCCAGACCGGTGAGGACCGTGAGACTATGGATCGCGCCAACAAGATCGTCACCGAGGAGGACGAGCGCGCCATGGACAAGATCTACAAGGTTGAGGGCTCCCTCCGCCGTGTCATTGGCATCCACTCTCGTCGCAAGTTCAAGAACTCCTACGAGTACGAGATCTCTTGGTCTCTGGGTGACAACGTCGGCATGAAGTCCGAGAAGTGGACTCCTCTCATGTCCGCCGACAACACCTGGTTGCCCCGTTCCGAGATTATCGTCTCCCACCCCAAGCAGGTCGCCGATGTCGATCAGAAGGAGGCCCTCGCCTCCGGTCAGTTCCGTCCCCTTGTCCGCAAGGAGATCGAGCAGCACTGCGCCAACTTCGGTCTCGATGCCGAGCTTGTTTCTCACTCTCGCATGCGTGGTCTCTCCGGTGGCCAGCGTGTTAAGGTCGTTCTCGCCGCTTGCTCATGGCAGCGTCCCCACCTTATCGTCCTTGACGAGCCCACTAACTACCTCGACCGTGACTCCCTCGGTGCCCTTTCCAAGGCTATCAAGTCTTTCGAGGGTGGTGTTGTTATCATTACTCACTCCCGCGAGTTCACTGAGCACCTGACTGAGGAAGTCTGGGCCGTCAACGACGGTGTCATGACCCCCTCCGGACACAACTGGGTCCAGGGTCAGGGTTCTGGCCCCCGTCTCGACGCCAAGGGCGACGATGATGAGGACAAGTTCGATGCTATGGGTAACAAGATCGTTGTGACCAAGAAGGTCAAGCTTACTGGTATGTCATACAATTTTCTCTCACTTTCACATCACAATGTTCAATTGCTAATCCATTTTTTACAGGCTCTGAGCTTCGCAAGAAGAAGAAGGACCGTGCTGCCCGCCGCAAGCGTGGTGAGGAGGTTTTCTCTGATGAGGATGATCTTTGAACATCCAATCGGGGTGTTTAATGCATATTATGATCGCTTGATGAATTTCATATGCTTTGCTAGGACAAAATACATTTCTATGTTCAAACATTCGTTATTATTATCTTTACTCTGCTGTAGATCTGTACCACGTAGTTTGGAACCTTGAACCATCTGTTGCTCATGGCCTAAGTAACTGCGGAATGAAGAGTCTTTTACCAAAATAATCATGTCAATATTTCGATCTGTAGGAAAGATGTCGGCTTGCCCTTGCCTACGCTGACTTGGTTTATTACATGCATTGCACTGCACACCTTTTCGTTTGCCTTCTATGCGTCTTAGTTAGCTTTCTGTTAACCAGTTTCATCTATGGTCCTACACCATCCACTGCCATTTCCTCCATATCAAACTTCTGTTCAAAATTTCATCCATTGAAGTCTTGGTGTTCTACTGTCTTATTACTCTCATCACGTTTGATCTTCTTAGGGTCACACAACAAACGCAGCAAACATGATAATGCATGATCACATGCATGCAGAAATTGTCTAGAATTCCCCCGACATGACAGCAAATAAAATCAAATCTCCTTCAATCAACTCGTAGCCATGATTGCAGTCCTATCGACAACTCCTCCGTCTACAGGTTCGTTATCAGTACCTGCAAATAGCACTCCCCAATTTTCAACCCTGAATCACACAAGGGCTACTTGCCATATCAACCAGCCAATGGCCGAGCAGTAACTCGGCTACATCTTCCTTGGTCTAGTGGTGATGATTTCCGCTTGTCATTAATACCGATAAGCGCGGGAGACCGGGGTTCGATTCCCCGAGGGAGAGATTTCTTTTTTTGTTTTTGCCGGGGATACGGGTGTATCTAATGGTGCTATCTCGAGGGATTCCAGTGGGGACCTCTGCTGTACGGCCTAGGGCTAAGTCACAGAAAGGGGGCCCACGCGAAAATCATTCTGCATGCTTCGCAGAAGGATGGGTGAAGAGTATTTTATGAATTGCTTTTCATGCACATTTTGAACATAATTCCATAGCTTAGCACGTCTAACAACAACAATGCATGTCCATATCAATCAGGGATGCATCTCTGTTTGCCTACCGTCCAACTGTGACCTACTTCTAATATCACCCGTTAACCAATTTAAAGTGCTCGTTCCATGACACTCGGACACTTCAAGATCCAGCCCATTTCCCAGAGAGAGGGATTTAGCTAGCACTTGTGACTTATATGCTTAGATTGTGCCACATTGAGAGCTAGCAAGTGATCTGTCCACAGATACTAGTGATTCCGAACTGTCACTAATCACCTAAGCATTAATAGGTAGTCAAAGAGGCAACCGAGTATTCCATTCCACTCCTATCATGCAGAAACGAAAACGAGCTGCTCAAGGTCAAAGCCTATCAAGAATCCGGACGAGATATTCGACGCTTAACCTTGCATAGGCATACTTTTCCAAATTCAACTGACCACCTCCGTATGGAGAATTGTGCATGTATTGTAAAATTAGTGGTGCAAGCCCTAACAGATCGGCATTTCCTCACGGTAGATCGTCCAACCAACACTCCGCGATCCAATGCATTTAGTGATCAGCTCTCCCCACTATACCGGGCTAGACTTCGGCTTTGTACAAATATGCCGACCTCCCATGCTCCGTACTGGTCCATCTTGGGTTCTTGTACAACGTTGATGGTCTCGATCAGTCGTAAAATCCCCGAATCATGTCAGTTTTGTGGAATGTTATTTTCCTATCTCTGCATACGGGGCAGATACATGCGGTATCTCTGTCCCTGGTTAATTTACGAGGTATTGTTAGAGTTCTCGGTTATGGCTAGCTAGATGTTTATTTTGAACAAAAACACAGAGAGATACAGGGGTTGACAATTGCACAAGGTATTGCATTCAACGTAGATATAAGGTCAATGGTTCTACAGATATATATATCAGCAGTCTCCGCTGCACCTCATGGCCATTCACGACATTAGATATCGTGCAGCACCCACAGGTAAGAAACCCTGTGTGAAATTTCAGACCCGATAAAATGTCAAATAGAAAAGAGACGTATCATACGTGTACCATATGTATAGATTGATGGAGGGTATGGAGTAGGGAGTAGAGAGACGGTGGATCAAAACCGGGGCCTTCGCCACCGGCCTGACAGCACCCACCTTTGCGAACGTTGAACCTTTTTTTTTCTCTTATATCAACTCTGGCAATAATGTCCTCCTATGGAAGTGATCGAAGTCAAGAATCAAGCCCTGAACCCCAAGTCCCACTCAATGATCGAACAAACGCCCCGATCAATGCCGATGGTCCAATCGTCGCCGATGATTTCACTGTATGTATAGCCGAGGTTTCTCCGCTTTTCCAGGTTCTTATATGCTCACTACGAATAGGATGAAAGTAGCGAGTTCGGCAGTGATTCCGATATGACCTCTCTCTCTTCGAGCGTTCTGGAATATGAATATGAAAATGGACGGCGGTATCACAGTAACCGGACTGTAAGCATCCCGTCCTCTCTTATAGTCTTGGTTATTAACCTGTTATTAGGGGCAATACATGTATTGTGCTCCCCGTTATATGTCCTCTAGATGCATAACTAATTCAAATAGGATGCCAAATGATGAAGAGGAACAAGATCGAATGGACTTGGTATGATCTAACGCCCTCATATATATCTGAAAACATGGCTAATTATCCCAGACACATCATATGTCAGCTAAGACCATATTCCTTGATCTTTAACACAATGCTAACACAGCAATCAAGATGGCTGATGTTGATGAAGGGAGAGCTACACAAAGCTCCAGTCACAAATCCCCGAAACATCCTCGACCTTGGAACAGGCACTGGCATCTGGGCTATTGATATTGCTGAGTATGAACACACATACCACACCTCTATCTATTTCCGAAGCTTACGCCAACAGGAAATTCCCCAACGCCAAGGTAATCGGAAACGACATCAGCGCCATCCAACCAAACTGGGTCACCCCGAACGTGGAATTCATCGTCGAAGACTTCGAAAGCGAATGGCTCTACCAAAAAAACAGTTTCGACTTCATCCACGCACGTCTACTAGCCGGGTAAGCCAACTTACCATGCATATCCAGCATTAATCCCATCTCCCATTTCCAGAATCTCACACAACCCCAGATGCGTAGCAGACTGGTCACAATTCTTCGCACGAATCTTCGACCACGTAAAACCAGGCGGCTACTTCGAAATCCAAGAAAGCGCCGTCTGGGCCTGGAGCGATGACGGAACTCTCAAAGCCGACTCGCCGCTCGTTCAGTACCTCCAAGCCCTCAACACGGCAGGACACGCGATGGGACGGGAATTGAACATCTATCATAGATTGAAAGAGTGGATGGTTAGTGCGGGGTTTGAAGACGTGCAGCAGTATACGTATCTTCTGCCGTACTCGCCTTGGCCGCGTGATCCTTATCTAAAGGAGGTTGGGAAGTACCAGGCTGTTATGGTGCAGCAGGCTGTGGAGTCTTATGGGTTGAGGCTTTGTACGCAGGTTCTTGGGTGGGGGGCGGAGCCTTCGCGGATTTTTCAGGCTATGGTTAAGAAGCAGTTGAGGGATAAGCATTTGCATGCTTATGTTAAAGAGTGAGTCTTCGGGTCTTTTTCTTGGGTTTCATGGTGGAACTGACGTTTGGTAGGGTTGTTGTATATGGTAGGAAGCCATTCCATCGACGATGAATGTAGGAGGTATGAGGAACGATATGCCTCTTAAGGAATAGAGCTTTGGTGTTTGATTTGAGCGTTTTATAATAGATTTCTTTGTTCTCGGATACCTAGCAAGAGATTGTGATATATAATTGCTATTAAATTGTGTTTTGGGAATATGATGTTGAGATTATATATATCTAATATAGGAATCTAGGTAAATTTTGAGCTCTTTGGCATTAGAGTCGTGTCTAATTCTTTGATGGTTTACAAGAAGCCATATGTTATTCCATCAAGTCTCGACTGGTCCGACCTTTACATTAACCCTCCTTTGGAGCTCAGCCATATTATCCATTTGCCGTAGCTTTTTCCGCTTCTGAACTTCCAAGTCCTTGAAGCGCTTCTTGCCTCCATGTTTCAGCTTTGTAATCATATCAGCCGCTTGGCCGCGGGTCAAGTCCTCGGGCTTCACATTGCCATCTCGAATGCGAGCTCCGTTCAGCATTTTTATTTGTCCCGGTGTTGCCTGGGCCCGTCGCCAAGGTTTCCAAGATGCGATGTAATGTTCATCAAATTTGGTACTAGCAAAGGTATCCGCTGCGCGGACAATGCCCTCCAAATCCGAGCCAGTGGCGATCCTCCGAGGACGTGTGAATTTAGGTGCTTCGGTTTCTGGATCTTTGAATTTCATGACATGATGAGCCGTGAAGATATCGTCTCCTTTCTCAATCGTTATCCAGCCAGATATATCGGTAAGCATATATCTGTCATCGCCGACTCGGACCCAGTTGTGTGGGCTGAACGACCTGATGTGTCGCTCGGACTGCATGTCTCCTAAGAGATCGTATATACTGTCATATGTAGTAAATTCGAGTTTCAGGTCGTTGTCTGAGCCATCGTATGGTTCAGCAGCCTCAGGAGTGGGCTCCGATTCGCTGCCCTGATCATCATTCTTCTTCATGTCTTCCACGCTGGTATTGTCCAAAACTTCGTCTGGGTCCAAGCCGAATAGCGTAGGTGTTGATAGGACTCCAGTTGCGAGGGAGGCTACCATATCGATAACATGGCAGTCCTTTTTCCCGGGGAACAGCCGAAGACCACGTCCGATCATTTGGATGAGCAGGTTTCGAGACCTGGTGGGTCGAGCTAGGAGCACGCAGTCGATATTTGGGATGTCAGTGCCTTCTGTGAAGAGACCACAGTTTAGCAGCACTGGGAATTCCTGGTCCTTGAAAGCCCTTAGCTGTTCCGCGCGGACGCCTTTAGCTGTGCTAGCTGTGATATACCTAGCATCGACGCCATGGTCGCGAAAAGCGGCGGTAAGCTGCCGCGCGTGCTCGACATCGACACAAAATACAAGAGTCGACTTTCGATTCTCAGCACTCGCCATCCATGCCCGTACTGTGATGTTGTTCGTAGATGCAGTATTAACCGCCTCCGAAAGCGATCCTAGGGCAAAGTCTCCAAAACTATCTTTCTTGACTTTGGACAAATTGGCCCCGGACTTGACTGTCGTGAATATCGCATTAGACAACCAGTTTTCACTAATCATGTCCATGTAATCCTTGTGATAGACAATATGATCAATGGCAGCGCCCAGTTTGAGACCATCGAACCGTGAAAATGTAGCGGACACACCCACCAGGACCGGTCCATTGCCAGATGGCTCATTCAACCCAAAATGCCCCAGAGCTTCGCGGTATGATTTGGCAACAATATGGTGGGCCTCATCGACCAAAATGAGCTTGAATGCACTCGGGTCGAACTTGTACATGCGTCCTCGCGCCAGTGTCTGAACTGACGCGATGATAATGTCCCCTGCCCCCGTCGCAACATTCTTGCCCATTTCTATTTCGACGGTCTTGTCTGGATAGGCAAGACTGCAGTGCTTTGCGGCTTGTTCGACGAGTTCGCGCCGGTGGACGATGATCATGGTCTTGGTGGCTTTCGCATTGTGAGGAGGGATTCGGCTGATAAGCTGTGTGAATATAACCTGCAAAGATCAGTAACATTTTGGATAATGGGTAGATTCAGCCTTACTGTCTTGCCAGCTCCTGTTGCAAGCGAGATTCCTAGGCGTCGATGGCCTTCACCCAAATATTTCAGGACGGATTGAATGCTTTCCTCTTGGTAGTCGCGGAGCACAATGCTTGGAGGAACCGGGGACTTAGTCGAAATGAAGCGCACATGGCGCAAAGATTTTTGCAGAGGACTCTGCGACAAGTACCTCCTTTGGAGCCTTAATCGCGAGACACAGCGTATGAACTCCATGCAGATGTTACAAACGCTCTCTCATTCTCCGGCGAAGCTCAAATTAAGAAGCAAACAGTGCAAACTTCTTATCGATAACCATGCATTTCATAGTGGATCTCCTTGGCTCAACTTTTTTCTGTTGTTTCTATAGCTCTTGATGAAATTGACGTGCCATATTTCATTGAAGGCGCAGATGTGATGTTTTGCTACCGATCGTTCCGCATGCGCTGCAAATCTGCGAGCTTAAACGATGAGCGACTCCGCCTCCGTATATGAGCCCGACGACGACGCCGAGTCCGAGTCCGACTTTGAACCATCTGAGCCTGAATCCGACCTTGAGCAACCCCGCTCGTCCAGTGAACGATCTTCAACTCCAAACCAAGAGTTGGACGGATTTAATGACCATGACGACCCCTCAGTCGAAGGGATCGAACGACAACTCGGCGATGGACTCGGTGATGCGCTTGCGGGACGCGACCCGAAAATGCGTGGATCGCTCAGATTTCTCCGAGCCTACTCCCACCTTATCGTGCAAAACGAGGAACTTCTGGATTATGGCTCGCTGAGGGAAACTGAGCACACATACCAACTCAGTCAACATGGCTCGATGGTCTGGACGCCCGCGGAGAAAGAAGTGTTCTTCAATGGACTGGACCGGAAGGGCAAGAACGGCGTCAAAGAGATTGCTGCTGCAATCGGTACCAAGTCGGAACTCGAGGTTATGGAATACATGCGAATTTTGCATAAGTCCTTGAGGGCCCAGTACGATTCCGACGTGTACCTGGAACGCATGCCTGTCTTAAGCGATGTCCCGGCGGCCACAGAGGTCAGCCAGGAATGTTGTGAGCTACTCGAGGAATATGGGGATGTTCTAGTTTTGAAAGAGACTCTCAATGAAGCTCAAGTTGGAACGAAGCAACACGGAGACAACTGGATTATCACTACTGCTAGTGTACAGCATCTGGTCGACGAGAAGAACGCCAGTGCTCGAGGTGACCTCCGCCTCGCAGCTGATTTGCTGAGTCTTCCAGATTGGGTTCGGCTTTCTTATATTTTGTTCATGAACCTGGGTGGCAAACAAGCAGAGAACAACTGGTGGAATCTTGCCAAGAGAAAAGACCTCATCACAGCATATGGACATACCCCGTCTATGACTGCAGACACTGCCGTGGACTTCTACTCTCTCGCTGTCAGTGTCACTCGCCGCTTAGTCCAATCATCCCTTTTTTTTGCAATGTCAAGATTGCGCAGCACGAATCGCAGTGGGAATGATAGAAAAGGATATGTTCGCACGCGAGATGTGCGGGCCGCCATTGAAGTGCTCAACATGAAGCACAGCAGGCCCAGCTTATTGGACGTCGCTCGTCGCAATGAAACAGTCCTAGAAGACATCAACAACCGGAAAGGCTGGGTGCCTACAGTATTCTCCTACGAAGAAGCAAAGGAGATCATCGACAGACACGAATGGACCCGGTACCGTAAAGATGGAACCATATACCATGGTGAAATCGATGAAGGGGACAGTGAAGATGTCGACGTTACGGACGATGATATCGAAATGGGCGATGATATCGGAATGGATGATGATATCGAAATGGAAATCAACAAGCAAGAGGCAGAACCCGAGCCAACGCCAGAACCAGAACCAGAACCAGAACCGGAACCAGAGCCCGAACTTGAATCAGAATCAGATTCAGAAATAGAGGACATTGATCACAATCATTCCCGCACGCGAGAGTTCCCCGAAACATCAGCGCCCGTTGCACCGTCCGTCGAACTGGAAATGGACCCAGAAGAGGAACAAGCAGACATTGTGGACCAGAACGCCAGCCATCGCCAAGAGGCCAACCTTTTGAGGTTAATGGAGCAACCTGTGCCGGACTTCCTTGACGAAGAACCAATGAAGGTGAAGGTAGAGGAACCCGACGACGATACCAAAGCCCTGCCAGAGCGCAGAATGAGAGAAGATATCTCCAATTGGCGGGATCGGATCATCTACCGCAATGAGTGGGAGGAGTACGGGTACGATTTCTCCGAGCTGAAGGAAGAAATGGAAATGCCTCCCTTGAAAAGGGCCAGATACAACATACCAGCAGGTGCTCTCCCCGCTGGGTATCCTTTGAGCGAGGCCGTAATAGGCGATAGCGAGGACGATGAGAATTAATCTTAGCAAGGAGAAAATGCACCAGCCGCCAAGAGCCTGGTTGAAATACTACATGCTAAAGTTTGGTCAACCGGGTGGGCTACCCAAAGCGCCTGGATGAGAGACACTACACTATACTTTGAGCAAGAATATAAAATTCCCATCAAGGACATATGATTAAAGAGTAAACACATTGATGAAAAAAAGATCCCCAACCCCCTAAGAACAATCCGCTTTCTGGAGAGAGGGTGAATCAACAGAAAAGAACTCCAGCAGATAACAGAAAAACAAAAAGTGCGCCTTTTCCAAGCCAGAAAGTTCAGAATATTCATAACTCAGCGAGACGAAAAGCAGTCCCTTTGGGTTCCTCTCTCAGAAGATCCATGGGGGATTATCGTACATGTATTGAGGAAGACTACAGGTCAAGGGTCTTGTAGTCGACACCACCGTGAGCGCTCAGAGGCTGGGTTCCAGCCCGCATATCTCCGCTAACGGGCTGGAAGCTGTAGTGGTTTCCAATGCCTGTAGTAGCAGCATCAGCCAGCATCTGGTTAGTGTGCTCGTTGGGGCCCTGCAGGCTGACAGTCTGGAGCGCATCCTGGGCCTCCTTAACACGCTTCTTGAACGTCATGCGGTCCAAGAAGAGTTGCTGGCGTGCCTGCTCCAACTCCCGACGCTCAGCCTCGATAATCTCTTCCATCTCGTTGAATTGCTGCAGCTTGATCTCAAACTTCTGTAGGGTGACGTTGACCGCAGCAGAGACCAGGCGGGTCATTTCACGCTCCTCGTGTGAGGCAAGGGCTCCGGCACGTGCAGCAGCTGCGGCCAGGGCGATTGTGCCAAGGGTCTCCTTGGGCTTCGCGGAAACTTGCTGCTCGGCCTCACGTGTGGGGTCGACGTCCATAGAATCTTCGGACTTGACTGCATCTTTGCCCTTGTCTTGTCCCTTCTCCAACTGGCTCCGGAGCTCCTTGCGGATCTCGTCGACAGACCGACCGGCGGCGGCGGCAGCCACTGCGGGCTCAGCCATCTGGGCCAGGAATGCGACGACAGAAAGAACGGGGTTTTCGGATTGGCTGATGGGGTCACGTCCGCTGCCGGACTGCAGCTCGGGGGCATCTTCAACGTATTTGTCCTCGATCTCCAGCTGTAAGAACTTCATAACACACTCTTCCCGAGACCGTGTCCCAACGTGGTTCGCAATTTGTTCCCAGTTTTCATCAAAGTTCTCCAGGCCTTCCAGCAACAAGATCACTTCCGAGTCCGACCACGGAGTGTCTTTCTCGGGCAAGTGAGAGTGGCTCTTGTCCTCAAGCTTAACAAAGTCTGAGGCATTGTGGCTAGAAGGCATTCGCCCTTGAAGGAAACAGTTGGGACACAGGTCATACTTGGTGTCTGGTGTAGTGGCATTGGCTGACGTCGAAGCCGATTTGGCGTAGTGGAATCGAAGTTTGGTGCAATCAATGCCGCAAGAGAAGCAGTGTGCCTTCTTCTTGGATTCCTGGGCAATGTCCAAGCCGTTTGTTGCTTCGCCGTTCGTCTGCTTCTCTTTATCTTCGGTGGAGGTGATATCCTTGCCTTTTTCATCGTAAATGGTGCGGCGTAATTCGAGGTTGAGGTCGTCTTTGGATGCAGGGATAGAAGAGGCGGCACGCTGTGTGGCTGGGTGAATCTTGCCGGACGTGACGCTGTGATTTGGTCCAGGCTGGAATGGCTGCAACCCCCGTGGGGTATCTGCGACAACACGGAAGTGACCGGTGAATGGCGGTCCAATATTGGACGGGCGTGTCTGAGGGTCAACCTGCAGATGTGTTAGCTACGGTGCTTGAATGGGAAATACAAGGCCACTCACCTGATAGTTGATCAAGCCCCACTGCTCAAGGAATGAGTGAACACGCATAATAGCACAGACGTCACCCGCGAGGTTACGACGGCAAGCAGTAACGGTCAAATACTCGATGGGGTTCAATCGATAGGTATTGATCATGAAGTCTCGGTAATCTTTGTATGTAGCAGGCGTCTTGCTGCGGTTGCGGCCATTGAAGAACTCGGCGAGAGCTTTCTTCTCGATTGGGTTGATGGTGTTCATATCAAACCATGTCGCATAGCTGGGGAGGATGATGGCGTGTGTTTGGGTGACGAGTTGTTCGCGCGCGGCAGCTTCCAGAGAAGACTTGGATGGCGCAGGTTGATCTTCACCCACAGCATCCTCAAGTCCATCCGTTCCCTCCACTTGCGGATGCGACTCGCCCAAAGCATCCTCCAAGCCCTCGGTGTCAGGCTTGCCATCGGTCTCAGTACCACCCATCTCTTCGTCTTCCTGTTCAGCTCCGCCGTTCCGAGGTTTGGGAGATGCGGGAGCATCCATCGGGTTGTCAGATCCAGGTGTGTTCTCAATCTTCTTCACGGGTGAATCCTGGTGCGATTGCGCTCCTGTCCACGGATTTAGCACTCGGTGCAACATCAAAGACATCTGAGGGTAGACATACCTGAGGCTTCGCGAGCTGCATCAGCTGCGCCATCTAGGCCAGTCACAGACTGGAGATTCTCGTGGGCCGCAGCTGGGTTGATGGGAGTCTCATCCATGATGGATCAAAGCAAACAGCTGTCGCGGTCGGCAGAATGTCAACTCCTTTCCAGTGTATCAATTTGTCTGTGTAAAGCGCAATAGTAGTATAGGATGGAGCAGGAAAAAGCCAGCAATGGCGTAAATTAAGGCCACGGGAGATGGAAGAGGAGGCCTAAAGTGATGATTGGGCGGGTTACTGGGGGGGGGGGGCACTTGGGGAGGTTGGTCGCGACACGCAAAACTCACGGGTGAGTGCCAAGAGTTAAATCGCCACTAGCCTCTTTGGGACTTGGCTCATTTCCTCGTGGTCATGTGATTCAATCTATATTGCAAATGTATGAGATCTCAAGAATCTGTTTCAATATTTGGTTCAATATTACAATCCTGTTGTTACTGTTAATAGCTTGAGATTTTATCAGTAGAGGACTACATGACGGGCCACACCAAATTGTATGGTTGATTGTGGAAAAGGGTTATCAGTGTTAGGAAACTAAAAGCTGGGGAAACTATGAAAATCTCAACTGCTTTATATATGCTTCACGGTGAGTTATTAGTGATAAAAGAGCATTTTCAATAGCAAACAGACTTTGTACGTTTTACAAAACAAAGCAACGTATTCCCTGTTGTGCGTGCTAACCCCTACATGTGCCTCAACCATCTATAATAGCCTGAGGTTCCCGTGATATCTATAGGGCTAGACCTTGATATCCTAGAGTGATCCAAGCCATTGAAGTAGTTCTTGATTTGACTCGAGCTAGAGTCTTCAATCACTCGCAATACTCACGATATTAGAGTGGAATGACGCTTAATATCCAATGTAATATATGTATGGTTGGTTGAAAATTGTACAGAAATAAACTTTCAATTTCAATCTTGCTCATTGTAATAGGGGAATTGCTTATTCAAGAAAAACCTGCTGAAAAGATTTCGTGGACAAATAAATAGCAGAATTGGGCTCTTTGGTGTGATATGGAGTGCAACTATTACGCGCTATAGAAGACACGGTACAATATTGATCGAAATGACCAATGGCCTATTTCAAGCTCGATTATTTTCAATGTGAATGTTGAAGAAATACTTATATAATTCAACGCCTATAGTCATATAAAACCAAAAATATATAAGATACATATGTAGTTACTACTGAAAATGATAATGCAGTGTCGATTACGTCGGATTCACCGCTTGCTTCTTCTTAGGAGGTTGCTCAGTCTCATCGTCTATGCCTCGCTTGGTTCCAGGGGCAGGAGAAGCAACTGGGGGGATGGGAGAAGCAGCTGGGGCGATAGGAGTAGCAGCCTGGCTGATATCAGAAGCAGTCGGGGGATTAGGAGTAGCAGCCTGGGTGATGTCAGAAGCACTCGGGGGGGGAGGAGTATTATCATTGCTGATAGCAGAATAGGCCGGGGTGATGGGAGAAGGAACTGGGGCGGGGACAGCAGCAGGACCGGGCACAGGAAGATGCGGCACTGTGCCTGCAGCTGCGGCAAGTATATCAAGGGCAGGAGTAGCCAAAATGGGCTGGGCTTCGCTTGCAACTGCGGCAAGTATATCAAGGGCAGGAGTAGCTAAAGGGGGCTGGGCTGCGTTTGCAGCTGCGGCAAGCATATCAAGGGCAGAAGTAGCCAAAGGGGGCTGGGCTGCGCTTGCAGCTGCGGCAAGTATATCTAGAGGAGTAGGAAAATTAGCGGCAGGCACAGCGGGAGGCACAGCAGCACTAGGTACCCTCCAAGCGGGATCAGTGAATCGGTGATACTTAAGAAGATCGAGTAAGATTTGACCAAGGACAGTGTCAGTCTCTATAGATTGAACACCTCCTGGCAGCTCTCCCTTCCTAGCGATACACTGTTGTTCAAACACGTTACTGGATAGCTTTTTCTGGAACATGTTTTGCCAGGTATGACCTGGCTCAGCAAGCCAAGTGGTCAGCAAAGGATCGTAGACACTTCGAATAAGATCGAGGACAGATTGACGATCAAGATCAGCCTGTGGGAGGTGGAAGTCGTCAAGACGAAGTGGGTACCATATTCTCTGGTTTTTGAATGGGGTTGATTTCATGTTGAGCTGCAATGAAATGGTGGTTCGAGGCATGTTGGAAAGTGTTAATAGTAAATGATTTGTGCTAAGTGAGATTGTTGGATTGGATCGTTGGATTGGATTGTTTGAATGATTATCGAGGGCTGGGATGGAATTCATCGACAGTTAAATAATACTCGAAGATCCCTTTGAAACTCGAATCAATGCCAATATTCATCATTCCTCTACATTTTCTTTATTTTGTTTCAGCACAAAGAGAAATGCGAACAATAGAATGCTTGACAAGCTCTTCTCTGAAAACCAATATAGATCCATCTTTTCTTTCAGAATGGACATAACAGCATTGTCATTCCTTAGCAGCCAAAATAGAAATAAAGAAGAGGCCTAGTATTAGAATTCTTACAACCCCATTTTAGACAGACTCAATATAGAATGAATGAATGGGCATAACCCAGACCAATCACAATACGCGACATACTTAGCTTTTTCCAACCTTAGAACATAGGAGGTAAATACATCAGATCATAATAGGTTTGTTCCAGGTTTTTCTACTGGTGCTCGGTAGGGGTGGGATATATGTGCCCGGGAACATATATCCCCGCAAGATCTGGGCCCTCTGGGGTACCTAGAGGACCTGCTTTGGCTTCAGATTTGGATTCAACGACATCTTGATGTCTCCACGATTGCTGATCTAATATTAGTGTCAATGGCGGTGGCTGCTTTACCTGTTGCTCTTCCAGGGGGCTTTCTGCCATGGTCCCTGCTGTTGTGTTTGAAGCTTCTTCGGTCATCGATGAAATATAAATCGCAAAAGAAAAGGAGAGCACTAGGAGGTCAAACAACATTAATCGACGAGAGAGCCAGAATGCTCAGATGCGAGGGAGAAGGACAAGGTGACAGAACGACAGACATAGATAGGATTCCATAGGGGCTCTACATGTGCGGACGACTCACGTAGAAGAGGAACTATGTATAGTCCGGAAGGGTAATATTTGCCGAGAGGAGAGACCACTCAGAGAGAAGTCATTACATGGAGGGGGTTCTCTGTGCTGTCGTCGGTTGTTGGGATGGCTTAAGCTGGCACCAAGCGATAAAGAACATAGGGGGGAAGACACGATCTGACAAGCATTGGAGTCACCGAAAAGGATCCCTTCTCATCCAACGGTGTCCGAAGCTATAAAAGTGCCCGGAGGTACCTACCTAGGGACGGGAATTACGGTTTCGGTCCTAGTGTCAGCGTTTCGAAAGATTGTTTAAACTTGAACCTTGGAACCTTCCAACCTTCCTTGGAACCTTAAGCCAATCGCTGGATATATGCGCTTTGAGCGCCTACAGCCCTCAATATCAGACATAGGTCAAGTTACGCGATCCTCGTCCAAGTCAGATATAGCCAGGAGAGATCTGATTGTCATATCGTTCGCTCCATTTAGCCTCTGGGTACATTCGGTCATCACGGATTACGAAGTCTTCCCGGCCCCGACAGGAGTCGAGTAGAGCTTGCTACCACCATGACCGTGGCAGGGCTTTGGCAGATCTTGGACTGTTTACTGCGCTTATTTGCCCTGGACCCAATGGCATAATTTATTGCGTGCATAACAACTCGGCTTCTCATAACCTACTCTGTAATATCATGATCTACCTGATCACATGCCAGAGATCTCTGCTTTATTTGTTCTCTTTGTTTGCTCTTCCTGATTGGGATGTTTGCAATGTTCCCATCCCGGGCTCCAATATCTAACCTCAATCCACCTGTTTTCCTATCTTTAATAGTTTTGTAAAACACGTTTGAATTAGCTCATCAAGCTTATACACTAAAGTACCGTTTCTATCACACTGTTTCCAATATATAATTCATTGTGTAGACCAGTGTGAACCCAGGCGTTGGTCAGTCAGCTGGGCCCCTGCCTTCTATACTGATTACGTCATATTGACATAATTTTGTAAGATTGCCTACCTAGGCAGGTGGAAGAGTGACTAGTATATATACATACATATCTCCTGCCTACTCGGAATCCTTTCCTTGAATTAAGCACTGCGCATTTAGCAGACTGGACAGTTTCGAGGTCGACAGCATGATGCACGTTCCACGAGCTCCACGAGCTCCACTCAATAACGAGTGAGTTCAAACCCTTTCTCTCATTCGCTAATGCCCACTATGTTCCTCTCCCAATAAGCCCAATTCCATAACTAATCGTCTTTCTGTAGAGAGAACGATGGAAATAGGAATAATAGCAACTGTCGTAATTGCGAAGGTGAGCCCATATTACGAAAGCGGGTCAACAGTGCTAAAACCCACTCCATAGGATGCAATGATGTATGCTTCTACACCATCTGGCCTATTCCACCACCATGCTACTGCGCAGCCGTGATATTCCTACTGAAATATGCTTACAAATTATCCTAGTGCTCCAATTGTACTGAATGTGCCGACTGTTCATATTGCAGCAACTGCAGCAACTGTGCAAAATGCAAGAATTGTTCGAATATGACAGGTTCTATCAACTGTCAGGGTTGTTCCAACATGGAAAGCTGCACGAACTGTGAAAACTGCTCCAATATGGTAAACTGCACTAATTGCAAAAATTGTTCCAACTTGAAGGTATGTTTGTTACATGGAGTATGATTGAACAATAATAGCTGACTACCCTTTGAACGGTCAGAACCGGGATGGTGCTGTCAACGAGTCCGGATAAACTGGCGGAGACAAGCAATGAAGCATCGACGTGTCGGGGAGACTATCTCATACATGGCTGCTAGCCTTTATTCCCCTAAGTCTTTGGAGCAGGAAGACGACTGAAAGGTTGACATACCTCACCCTCTATCAAGCTCATATAGCTATTGACCATGACCTTAGTATTTCTGAATTTCTACTTGATTGTAGTCGTAATTTGAGGCCCGAAAGCTGAATGACTGGCATGGGGATATCGAAAACCTTCAATAATACTGTAATGTTTGTAACAGCTGTCAGAATGAACGCCGAAGCCTAAAAAGGCTAGAAACGATGAATGAACCGACTTCTATTGTATGGAAAGAAATGTGATTGTTCGTGGCTGTGGTAGATGGTTGGAGATGTTCTCGGTTCAGAGATGTGACTTAAGCTCAGCCGTGCAAGTACAAATCGAGTGCTTCTTGGGCGGTAGAAATATCCCCTCTCCAACAACCTAGAATGACTTCATCCCCGAATACATCAGAAACATCCGGGAAATTGCCATGTCTGTGGCGTGTTTCAATCTCAGAGTCTATCACGTCCTGTCGTCGGAGCCGAGCTGTGATAACATCCGGATCGTCGGATTTTGGCCCACAAAGCTCGCTATATGGAGCGTCCCCAGTAACTAGCTCATAGAGCGTAGACCCTAGGGCAAAGATATCGGAGGCTTCCTTGTTAGGAAGTTCATAATCTCGCGGTAGGCAGTGTGATGCTTTCTCATAGCCAAGCGCTACATAGCCAGGGAACTGCGAAGTCAAAATCGCCGAGTCGTAGATTGAAGTTATCGTCAATAAAGAACTGTCGCAGAGCCAGGTCGGAATGGATGACACCACGGCTATGGATAAATACAATTGCTTCTAACATCTGCTGGTACCATTTAGATCGAAGCTCGGGGGTGATTAGGTTCCTATCCGAAGACGAATATTTCACAACGTCGCCAAATGGATAGTATTTGACCTCGATGTAGTCGGATCTACCCCTTGATAGCCATTCGGCAATCCGTAAATGAGTTCCAAGAACATCATAAATCAGAGCCTCACGTAGTATAGGTTGTAGATCTTCTTCGCTCTGACTACGGAGAATTTTCCTGATAATATGATCGTCCACGAGGTACACTTCGGCGAGAATACCAATTGTCAGGAGCTTATGATTATCCTGGCGTTCGGAGGCTGGTCGAATAGTGATAGTGGGGGTGGTCGAATAGTGACAGTAGGTGGCATATAGGAGAAAATGTAACAAATAGGTGCCTAAGCGCTCGAAGGAATAGTCTAGGAAGATTTGAGGTAAAACTCCAAATCGAGAACCATATCGACCATCCGAACCAATGTTGTGTGGCTGTCATTGTGTAAGAAAGAGGATGAAATTCGACGGGCAAGGCATAGAGATGATGAATATATACACAGACGCAGTATGCATGTGACTGGTACAGTTATAGAATGTTTGCAATATTTGTGAATTCGTAGGTACTGTTCGAACCGTACGCTCCCGAGGCAGGATATAGAGAGATAGCGATGATTTTCAAGGATGGAATGACTATTCCAAGGGTGAGATAAATATTTCGATGGTTTGAAGGTACCCCGGAAATGGCTGATCACGGTAAAGATGAGGCTATTCCTAGATCCTGGAGATGCTAGGAATGATGGTATCAATGAAAATCGATGAAAGAGACGACGATTTGATGAAGTCTACGAGGTTCAAGATGACCGCACGATATACAGGGAGAAGAGCTGCCGTGGAAAACTCTACTGGGGGATAACAGGCAAGCAAACAGTATCCGATTATTATCTCGTCCCAAGGTGACCTTGCCACCTGGCAAAGATCTCTGCGTGGATATATTACTACGTGTCACTCCGTGAGGTCCAATGACAGCAGCCAGCTGTAAACCTGAAGTTGAATCTATTCACACTTGTCGAATAAGCAATTTTCGAGCCTAGCGGAGGTGTGCACTACCAGTGAGGATTTGCCGTTCGTCACCCACCCAACTAACTGACCAGCGTGCTTACGGACCCTGACTATATATTCTTACAACTGACGGAGTTTATTATATGCTTAGTACTATACACCCATATGGCGCATCTTCTTTATTTTATCCTTACAGCCACACACAAATGCAAAGAATTACTGGACCGAGAGTCTTGGAGGGTTGCCTGTGACCCCAACGATAATGCCGCGGCTTGGTATAATCATTCTTCTCTACAACTGATCTGATCGTCTTTTCCCTTCTTTGCCCTCTCGGGGACATAATAACCTCGACTTGCCCTACTTAATTCCCGATCAAGTACCTCAGTCAACTCCCCAAGCAACCACTGAACCTCACTCTTTTCAGCAAGCAAAGGACTTTGCTTGTCGGTCCAACTCCACCCTCGCACTGCTTGCGCCTGTTTATCATCGGCTTTATCCCTAAGAATATCGGGTTTGTAATCTCCTGCGACCAGACGGATATAATACTCCCATTCCAGATAGTCGAATTTCCGGGACGGAGTATTGCTGGCGTAATCAGTCATTTTGCGCAGCTCTCGGAAGAGCAGGTGGAGGTATTGGTGGATGTTTTCGGCGGTGGTGTCGTGCTGCGTGGGGGACTCTTCTTTCTTGTCTTCCTTTACGTCGAAAATATTGTCGTTTTTTTGTTTATCGGGATCGTTATTTTTGTTTGCGTGCCGTTCTGCGCCTTCTTTTTCGCCCGTCGTTTCTTCCATCCACCACCCGACCCAGGAGATGTGAGTTATTGCCTTGAGTCTATCCATGAAGGGTTGGTCACCGGGCAGAATAGTAAGCTCGCCAATGAATAGCGTAATGTCACGGATAAATCGGATGGCGGTATCGCCAAGATTGGAGATGAGAATGGTAATCGTAGGAACGGCAAGCAGGGACCAAAAAACGAAGAAGGCTTTACCCAAACTACTGATCGGATACAAATCTCCATAACCAATTGTTAGAAGACTTGTGTATGCAAAATATAGAGCCTCAAAGTACGACCACTTTGCGTTTGACTCCGAGCGCCAAAAGACCACACCTCCGATCAGCCATATCGTCATCCAAAGCAAAAAGGAAACCAAGAGCGAGAGCCATTTGTGTTGGACGTTTGCCAGCTCACGCACCTGGCGCATGGCTATGAACTCTCGCTTGCGCTGCTCCCGCTCACTGCGGCCTTCAGCTTTGGCACCCTTCTCCCCGAGCGAGGGAATAATACCGTCAGCACGAGAACGGTCCGAGAAGGCTTCTTTGAGAAGGTACTTGCGCGTGCGTGCTGTCAATATATTACCAATCTTTTGCTTGCCATTTTCCAACATAAGCGTACGTATGGAGGAAATGACAAGACCTAGAATAATAATACCACCGATGGCATATGGGAAAAGCAAACCTCGGCCGAGGTGCGTACTGGGCGAGAAATTACCCACGCCGATGGTGAGCAGTGTGTAGTCTGCAAAGTATACTGCGTCCAGGAAGCGCCACCCCTCGATCTTGGAATAGACGGCTGCACCGCCGAGAAGGTAGAAGCAGAAAATGATGGTTTGCAGCATGAGTGTTCGTTGACTAGTAGTCAGATTGTATTTTCGGCTGTAGCAGCCACGGTAGGCGCCATATCCAGTCACTACCATCAATGATGCGATGATAAAATACAACCCTGCCGCAAATGCGCCGTAGTAGTAACTCTGCGAGTAGATTCGGCCGTTGTTCTCGGGCTTGTACATATCCACGCCGAAGGGAATCAAGATTGCGATTAAGAACGTCGATGAGATGTACCACCCTACGATGATGATTGGCTGAGCAGTTTCGAAACGAATGCGTCGGGCCATGTTGAGCGAGAGGGCTAGGTTGGCGATAAGTGCAAAGACAAGTGATATTGCGTTGATAGCGGTGACCCTGCAACCGCATTTTCTGTTACTCGGAGAATCATTTAGGGTATGTCTGATCAGGGTAAGTACCATTTTGGATCCGGGATATCTGTCCCACCGCTGCTGGCGAGGTCCATTCGCCATGGCTGTGACAAAGAACAGATATTAAAAGCGCTAGCCATCGGCCCGAAAGTGCCCTGAGAAAAGAATGAGAATGCGGACATTCAAAGCAAAGATTGACCAGGTAGGGTTCTACATACAGCTACCAGAGGGTATGCCGTACTTGCGAGCCACCAACGCGCAGCTTGCTGGTACTGGGCATCATGTTGCAAGGACTTATCGCTTTCATCTTGCTTCTGATTTGGAGAGCTGGAGGTGCGATCGAGAGCCACTGCCTCGTCGGCAATGGCATCATCGAGACCAGGATCGTTCATTTGGGGCGTGTTTGATACAAGCCGTTTGATCACGGCCTAGGAATACGGAAGATAGATGAGAAGCCCACATTATCCGCTGGAATTAGAAAGGAACAGAGGTAATGATTTTAGTGGCGCATTTCAAAGCCAAGTAAAAGCTTGTATATTATAGCAAGTCTAGTGACAGCATATTATGATTGGCGCGCACTGCCGAGGGAAACCAAGGTCGACGTCATATCACGTGGCTTCTATATAGTCCGCACGAACTAGTGATAGGTCTAGTAGGTAACCTAGTACTGGGTCTAGGGCCCTAATTTACGTTATAAACTAGATAAATATGCTAAGGATTCGAAATATATAACTTATATATTTTCTTACGGTAATTTTAAGTATATTTATTACTTATCATTGTGGAACCCATACAATATTGGTTACTGATTTCTATCAGTTTACAATGTCAATACTAAAGATACGATTTATATTCTATGGATTATAAAATTTCCACTTGGCCCTGGTGTTGGGCATCGTAGTGGCCCATAGACATGCCCACAGACGGGCCGCCTACTCTGACCGATTATAGGCTGCAATATTTGACGTATTGCCCAGCCATATAGATACGCCGTTGGGTATGTCAGTATCTATACAATATAGACGTTAGGACTTTTGGTCTCAAATGATTTTTCAACGGGTTGCTTGTGGACCAAGGTTGGCTAATGGAGTTCAATTAAAAGAAAATTCTCCGCTAATTGGCTTATCTGCCCTTAGCTCCTCATCGAATAACAAAATAGCGAGCCGTCGGAAGGTTTGCCCTCTCAAGGCCGATGAAGTTTCAGAAAAGCCATCAGAGCCAAGCAGGAGATAGATAAAATTCCATCCCAGCTTTCTCAGACCTGCGATTTGGCCTCGTGGCACAATAGCCAGTCCAATCTGGGAATGGATTAATCGCAAGACGAGGCAAGCCATAGTTCGTGATGGATCACCTGCTGGCAATTACTTGTTTTGCACCATTCCACTACGGGTTTGGGATAATGCGAGACCATCGAACTCGGCAGTAGTAGTTGTATCAAGAAACCGTGTGGCCATCTTCTCAAGTCCCTGAGCTGAGACAGGAATAAGTGAGTTAGACGTCAAATGGTCCATGTGATTTATCCCTTGGAAAGTTCGAGCTGGAGGAAACATCTTTTGACGTATCAAGCCCTTAGGGGACGAATCTTCATCAGCAAGCCATGGGTGTATACTGGGACGAATATATTTGTGACGACGATATGATTGCATCGCAGCCGGAAGGGTGTTATGCAACTCAATGAGAAAGTTATCCATGAGCTCGGAGGGATCCATTTTATAATCCACGGGTATATTAACACCAATTGCACCCATAATCCCGTATACTTTATCATGTGGACGCTTTGAGGTTCGATGAGTTGAAGCTAGCAAAAGCTCACTAGCATTCATAGACCGCAGATTGTAAAGACTTATTGTGTTGACAGCATCGATTGCTGCAAACCAAAGGCTTACGTCGGCCTCTGTCACGCCAAGAACTGGCTGTGGGTCGAGAATGTCCCTGATATTGTGAAAACATTGCTACCAAATCTTGAAGGCCAGATTTGCATCTCCTCCCCGCTTTCTCGGGCCGCGGAATGGATGATACTTATCTGGAGTTCCTCCTCCTGGCTTGGATAGGCTATCGGGGTGGTAGGAAAACACGACAGCTATAGCTGTGAAGCGTTGAATGTCGGGATACAGTTCTTTCAGACAATTTAGAGGAATATTGATGATACCCACATTGATCCGCTTGGGAGTGGAGTGGTGCTCCAAAGGGTTACCGGCGTTGTTTATTGCAGTCGACATGGCTGAGTATGGGGAAAAGATTTTGGACCTTGGAAGGAAGTCATGCCATGATACTTATATGTTGCCGCCTAGGTCTCTTCCAGCCCGCAATTTGATATTATATGAGATTACAACTATGTTGTCTAGCCTCCTATGAAAACGCTGCCTTTATCTCAACATCCCATGGCCGTAGTGTAGTAGTCCCATGGATCCCAAGTGCTAGTATACTGACACAAAATCATTGGCAAATATTTTCTAGACCATTCGTCATTCTTGTCAGCAGTATACTGCGCCTTTCTGGCCTCCCAGTACACAGGTAGCCAGCCTGACTGTTCCCAATCGACGAGTGCAAGAACATGATGGGGTTTAGAGCGTGTTATCAAGATGTTGCTCCGGTGGAGATCGCTATGCGTAAATTTGATTTCACTATCATCAGGCAGGTCCTGACGGAACAGTTCGATTGGGATAGAATATGGATCTGACATTGGTTTTCGATATAGGAAAGTGAACCAGTCATGGAATTCCTGGACGGTATTAAACGGCCCTGCTTCGGGCATAGACTCGACGTGGAAAGCTCTATCATACAGAGGAGCTTGTGCAATGTTACCTATACGTAGAGAAAGAGTTAAAGGTGTAGTTTAGGAAATGTAGAGGCCGTTAAGAGTATCGTACCTATAAATGATTCTGCCGGCTTCTGTTCAAGGTGGCGAAGGTTGCTAAAGATTGTCCGGAGCTCATAATAGATCGAAACGCGGTCACCAGGTTCCAGGTTATCCCACACTTGCTCTAGAGTCTGCGCATGCAAATACTCCATATAAATGAAAGTTTGACCGCCATCCTCCCGCCACCCGTATATCTCCGGAACCGGGACATTATCTTTGAGGAGCTGGCCGAGAGCATAGAGGCACTGACCCTCTGAAATTCTCGCAGCGCTTCCCCATTTAACAAACAGCCCCAGATCCTTGAATATCACAGGTGGTGGTCGCACATGAGGGCCGGTTATCGAGAAGGTTTTTCTATCGTCCGGGCAGACTCCTGCGAGATGTTGGGGCTCTGGCCTGCGAGCGTACTGCTTCCGGTGTGGGCAACTTAGTGAATCTTTTGAAGAATTGAGAATCTTTGACGTCAAAATCGGGAGATTTTGGTATCATCAGAGGCGTCAATTGTACGTGGTCTTGTTTGATGAGTGCCCATTTTGAATCGCGTAACAGCATATTGTTTGATCATAGAAAAAGTCGAGAGATAAGTGTTGAATGGGCTGAGACTCGTAGCTGTAAGCTTTAAACCGCATTAGTTATGGTTTGCATTGTTTACAATTAATGGGTCCGTGCCAACCTCGAGAGACTTGACGGAATATCGCTGGTTGGAAACGGAACTTCTAGGTAGCCAATGATATCTCGCAATTGCCAATATGATGTGGGTCGGATAGACCATTTCTCCAGACATCCTGTATGCTTCATGTATATTTCTGACAAGTGTGCCTAGGTACCAAATCATGGATGCTGAGATCGAATATGATCCCAGGAATGTGAGGGTACTTGTGGGATTAAAAGAACAGTAATATTTGTGGAACCGGGTGAGAATCCTCCGGCGCGAAGGGGCCACTCACCCAGGAAGGAGCAAATGAGGCCGATCACAAACTCTCAAACAAATGTGGAACAACAATTACCCGAAAGCTAATTGGAGAATTCAATAAACAAGTCAACAGGTCGCATCACATCTACGGTACTTATCTATGCTGTAAGGTTTTGAAATTTGGTCTCTCCAAACGCCCACGAAGAAGAGGTTGAAGTGAACAGTGGATACCGCCCCACAAGAAACCCGGAGGCTTCAATCAACCATGAAGAACTTCATAGGAGCCACGCTGGTGACAGCTGTTACAGCTACAGTGACTAGCACGTCTGTTCCTGCATCGGGCCCAACAGGATCTAGCTATGCGTCTGGTTTTGACATGACCAAGAGCTGGGCCAATCTTAGCCCCTATAAGGACGCAGATAGCTTCGGCGTTCCTAGCGGTGTCCCGCAAGGATGTGAATTGTCTCAGGTGCATGTTCTGCATCGCCATGCGCAGCGATTCCCCACGGATTACCCGTTGGACGGCGAGGGAATGACCAACTTCGCAGCCAAGTTGACCAATTACAGCAAGGCTAACCCAGACAAGACCGTGGCTGTGGGTCCTTTGAAGTTCCTGAACAATTGGGACTATGTTCTTGGCGAGGACACTCTCATGGAGAATGGTGCTGCCACTGAGGCTACATCCGGTGCCAACTTTTGGATCAAGTACGGAAGACTGTTGTACCGTGCCGGACGTGAGAATGTTGCTGCTTGGAGCTCTTCTCTCAACGTTTACGCCAACGGCACAGATCGCCCGACGCCAGTGTTTCGCACTACCTCCCAGGGACGTATTTTGGAAAGCGCACGCTGGTGGCTCAGTGAGTGGAACTCTCATCTCATTCATCAGTCCCGGATAACCAGCTGACCTCTTCGATTAGGCGGCTTCTTTGGCAACAGTGGAGCCAACAGCTCTTACGACCAGTACAATCTTGTCGTGATTCCCGAGCAGGGTGATTTCAACAACACTCTGGCTTCTTACGAAACGTGTACTTTTGATTATATTGAAGGGTGAGCGAAAAGCCCTCCAACAATAAATGCCTAATCATGAAACCGTATTAACAAAAGATTACAGCGACAAAGCTGCCGAGGTTTTCATTTCCCGTTACACCAAGAACGCTCGCAACCGCCTGTCTCACTACTTCCCTCGCGACTTCAACCTGACCTCCATGGACGTCCTCGCCATGCAGAACCTCTGTGTATATGAGTACACCAGTCTTGGCGGCTCATCATTCTGCTCTCTTTTCACCGAGCAAGAATGGAAGGACTTCGAGTACAATGTCGACGTGCAGTACTATGGAGACTACGCCTACGGCTCGCCCAGTGGTCGCGCCCAGGGCATTGGTTACGTTCTAGAGCTCGCCGCTCGCCTCGAGAAAAAGCTCATCACCTCCAGCGATACAAGCATCAACTACACCTACACCAATAACGAAGCGCAGTTTCCATTTGGCCAGCCTTTCTACATGGACATGTCTCACGATGATATCATCTTGTCCGTGATCAACGCCCTTGGTCTCGACTATTTCAATTACGGTCCTAAGGGGTTGCCCTTTAACATTGACCATGCACCTGAGCGCAACTTCTCTCTCAGCCAGATGACACCATTTGGTGCTCGATTCATGTCTGAGATCTGGACTTGCCCCCGTGACGTGTCATTCGATGATTTGGACCCTGTTCTTTACACCAACCCTAGTATCAAGTCTACTACCCACACCGCAAAGTACATTCGTTTTGTGCTCAACAATTCTCCTCTCCCACAAGATGGACTTGTCGGTTGTGAAGACTCCACCAATGGGTTCTGCCACCTCGGTAAATTCTTGCGCGGGGTGCCCACTCTGAAGGACAAGGCGCAGTTCCAGAAGGCTTGCTTCGGTAACTATACCACTGGAAGCCAGGTCGGGGATGGTGCTCCAGAATCTTGAATTGAATTAAGAGGCTGGTTTCTACATAAATCTATGTTTATATGCTCCTGTAAATATTTTATATTCCCATACCAGACAGATAAGAGTAATAAGACCTAGAAATAGTTATTAGTTAGAGAATCGCAGGCCTCAGGCACCCAGGCAGCAATGCCTGTACGCTAGTCTATCACCCACACGACACTAGTCTCATCTCCATCTTCCCTTTCGCTCCGGATAAAGACATGCTCCAGGTCTCAAAAAAAAGCAATGTCCCGTGCGAAATCTACCAAGATATTTCCAATCACAACTTTTATCTCAGACCTGCCGACCAACCTTATTCCGCAGTCCCCTCTATCGTCTTCCGAAAATGGCCCTACCAGTGGACGCTTGGTCATTGTAGGCGATGTACACGGAATGAGAAAGTCCCTTGAGGCACTCCTAGAAAATGTCGGATTTGACAAAAACAAAGGAGACCACCTTATACTAGTGGGCGACCTAGTCAACAAAGGGCCTGATAGCCCTGGTGTTGTTGACCTGGCTATCAAGTTAGGCGCCAGCGCAGTGAGAGGCAACCACGAAAATGCAGTTCTCAATGCGACCGCAGAGGTCAAAGCCACAAGGGATAGTCTTCCGAATTATGGAGACTTGACTGGCAGTTCGGCCGTACCTGGGAACCCCGAGGCTAACCTACCCGGGGATACTATTCGAGATTCCGAGATTCCCGAAATATGCGCATCTCCTACAACGCGCGCTACGGCATTAGCACTTTCAGAGCGCCAAATCGACTGGCTTGCTGCTTTACCTTTGATCTTGCGTGTTAAGCTGCCTCAAGGCCTAACGTCCACCCTCGGCGACACTTTGATTGTCGTACATGCGGGCCTCGCTCCTAGTATCCCACCCGAAGACCAGGATCCATATTATTTGATGCATATGCGGAGCTTCGTCTGCAAACTGGGTGACGAGGATGGACTCACACCGGCCGAAAGTCCCGGGGAAGAAAGCTGGGTTACGGAATGGGACCGGTGGCAAGATAAACTAGCATCCAAGACTACTGTGATATTCGGGCACGATGCCAAGCGTCGCTTGCAACGAAGCAGGTATGCAATTGGACTGGATTCAGGGTGTTTATATGGCAATCAATTGAGTGCGGTTGTGATTGAGGCTTCCGATGGGGAGATTCAGCATCAGATTGTTCAGGTCGAATGTGCTGACGTGCCTGTGGCCCCAACTTCATCTACGAAACAAGACAATGAGGTAGTGGTTGTATAATAGGTATACAATATGAATAGATGATTTAATTCACCCCGAACCCTCGCCGAAGCGATGTGCATTACACGGAACTGTTCGTTACCCAGTCAAGGAGAAGAGGGCGTTCGCTCGGTCACTTGCACCCACATATCTGAAATAGCGAAAAGCCCCAGGTAGTTCTGCGCATCCCAGGGACGTGTTGGATTGATGAGTGCGATATCGAAGTTGCGTAAGAGCTGTGTCCGGTCGGCGGTCAGCTAACGTCTCATCGAGAAAAAGAAGACAAAATCAGACATGCGAAGCTGTTTCTACTCACCTCGAATACTGTCTTCCCGATCTCAATCTGGGCTACTGGCTTCCCTAAACACTGGAATTTGCCGTAACCGAATATGAGGTCGTTGGCCCGAACCATGGCAGCCAACTTGACAGGGTCCGAGTCGAGCCACCGCTCAGGTCGGAAGGCCTCTGCGTCCTTGCCATATGTCTTCTCACTCTTATGCATAGCGTATGCTGAGTATCCAATGCAGGCACCACCTGGTAGGAATACGCTCTCGCCGTCGACAACAACAGTGTCACCACCTGCCGGGACATCGCGCGCGAAAATGTTCACAACAGGCGGCGCGACTCGTAAACCTTCGCGGATTACAGCCTGAAGATACGGAAGACTTTTAGCCTGACTGGAAGTAACAAGGCCTTCGCCTGTACTTGGAGCACGGCCGTGACGCACGGCATCGTCAATCTCGCGCTGTAGTTTGAAGTAGACGCGGGGATTCGTTATCAGGTACAGAAGAGTTCCACGGATGGCGCTAGCAGTTGTGTCAGAGCCCGCAATAATTTGCTCTAGTGCCTCAGTGCGCAGCTCGTCGCCGGCCAATCCGTGACGCATGAAGGAGGCCAGCATATCGGATCTTTCGTTCGTGGAGCCCGCAGCGCGCTCATCGACAAGGCGGAAACATGTAGCCATCATCTTACCGAAGCCATTGTTATCCTTGGGCGAGGGTGCAATGAACCTGCCGATGAAGGGCATCTGGGTGATCCAGCACAAGCCCATGGCAAGAGCGGTATTGCTGATTGCAAGTCCCTCCTCGCTCGATTGGAGGTAGTTGTCCACATCATGGTCACTCTGCAACATACCAAACGCCTTGCCGAGGCCAACGCTGCTAATGACGTCGAGTGTAAAATATTGTACTTTTTTCGCTAGATCCATGGGCACAACATGGCGGTCGGACGAGATATATTTGGATCGGATGAGGGTCAGGAATTCTTGGACTCTTTCGTCCACGGACCCCTCGAGCCGGGTATTCTCCCTTCCCGAATACTTTATAACGATACTTGGTCAATGCCTATGCCAGTATGAATGGGTGGGGATGCAGTGAGCCCTAGAAAAAAATACGAGACAGATATCATACCCCTGGAGCCATCTGTTTCCTCCGTTGCTCATGTTTCGCGTTATCCGTTTGACTGAAGACATTATCCTTGCGGTACTCGATTCGTGTAGCCCTGTAGTACCAATCGGAGCGCTTGTAGCCAGGCTTGTTGTTTACATGCATCCAAACTTCGGGAGAGGATGTGATCAGCACTTGAGGCGCGACACGGGCGATCGGACCTGGCTCGCGTCAAAGATGTTAGCTTATAATAGACATGACACCCGGTCAGGGATATAAAAGCATAAGAGATTCCCAGAACACGCCTCGCACCATGTTTCTTGTTGACTTCTGCATACCACTCGTGGCAATTTCCTCCAAGTATCGCCATGCTATGAGGCCAGTTCGAGACGCCGGTTCCCGATGGACCCCTGAACTGCATCAACTTGGCATATGTCGTGATAACCCTCAAAATATAGAGGCTCAAGAGACCACAGACAAGCGCCGTAGCCTGACTGGATAAGAAGGCTAACCCCATAGCGGAAGAAACAGGTGCACGGAGTTCGTCAAAGGGAATTTTCCAGAGTTGCCGGCTCTGCTATATACTGCACTATTGAACGTGCAAACGCGCGACACCTTTTAACCTCACGGTGCGGGGTTGGTTACTAGCAGAGTCCTGTATTATCATACCATCCAGTCTAGGTCCTTTGCATGCTGCATACCCTAGACTAGCCTAGATTCATTGCATGCTGCATACCCTAAACTAGCCCTAGATATGCAAGCGACCCTCCGTTGACCGCTACGGCTTTCCCCGTTAATTTAATTGTTGCCTACATTGTCGTGGATTATAGCATTCCTATAGTTGTAACCCAATGGCATTGTTTCGCTTATCCGTTTCTATGTGTTTGAAACTACTCCGAAGTTGTTCCGTCCACTCATGACATGAATTGTCTGTTTCGTTTAGCGTACTGCTTATGTTGTTCGTTTACGCTTGTATAAAATTACTACTGATCAGAATGCACCTCCTTTGACCTAGGAATTTACTTCATCGGGAAGGGATCGAGAAGTGTCTCGTGCCTAATTTAACGTAAATTTTGTCATTTTGTACTCTTTCGCTACGTTTATTTCCAGGAAAAATGCCTTCCAAGGAGAAATTGCACCTATCACAATCATAGTGACCACATTCTTCAACTCTGCATCCATAGACTTCCAAGTATCCTAGGAAACTTAGAATGAGAATTCATTGCCGTTGGCTATCGCATGAATGATATGAATCGCGCCAAAGGTCTCATTCCACGCTTGCCAGGTCTGCATAATAGCCGCTTGCATCTCCTGCCTACTTCCAGGCGCGGAGAACGAAGGGGCAGAATTCAAGGTATTATCAGGGTCAATAAGCTCCGGCCAAAAGTACGGGTTCGCTTTGTTGACAATCTCGTAAAATTTGCGAATCTGAGCCTTAACCTTCTCAATTTCAGGTTGGGCTTCGAGAGATGTCAGATTGGCGACGTGGAGATTTTTAGCGATTGTCGAATTCTTGAGTTCTATCATCTCATCAATGATCTTGCGGTTCTTTTCTGTTGCCATTTCATAAGCTCCATTGGATCCGTGGGTGGCGAGCAGGATGAAATACAGCTTGACTTTGACGAGAGTCAGTGCAACGGTGTGCGCGAGATGTGGTTTGTGATGAAGGAACATGAAGAACGGCTCAGATGAAGTTTCACTGAGAAAAGGGTCGATCAGCTCAAGTGGATTGGCATTTTTGGTGTCCAGATATGGCAGAGTTTCATCGCCCCAATCGTACTGGGGATTGTTGGAGATTGTTGCCCACCATTTCAAGAAATCGTAGCATTCCTGATCCTAGTTCAAATGGATCATTAGGCCAGGAACGATATCTTTGGACCCAATGCTGTCGCCGCGGCAAAGTCGCAGGTCCTCTATGAGGGTATCTAGCTGCACGTGAACTGATTCGACATGTCTGACGAATGTCAGAGCAGCCCTGTAATCAAGACGAGCGTTCATGTAAGGGCGTGTTGGGAGAATTTTCCAGAATCGACCGATACCATATTTAAAGTCATCATCTGGATGATCACGCAAAGCTTGTTCTTTGGCTTCCATGTCAACGCGACACTTTTTGATCCTGTTGCAATCAGATTTGTGATCTGGGCGATGGGCGGTTTGATGCTCAACGCTGCAGTATGGCATCACTTTGCAGCCAGAGCAGAGGCGAACCCCATCATTTTTACCGCAGAGGCCACAGCCAGAGGGAGAGGCACTTTCATTTCAGACATCTCAACGGGTTGAAATGGTTGAAAGGGGAGGTAGGAAATCGGGTGTACGTTGAGTTTGAATCTTTAGGCCACAAAGTCGGTCTCCAATCCTGCGATCTCTGCCCATGTTTGCTTCAGAGATACTTAGAGACTACTTGCTTAAGCATCACTTTATCCCCTTTCGGAACATGTTGCTCAAATGTGTCTTCTATTTAACTATATTTGAAATTTTTATTCTAAAACTGTACCAAGGATTATTTCGACATGCTTCTATGTCGCACGAAAAATATCCTTTCAATCCTTTCAGCAAAGACACAATGTCATCTAACTTAGGAAAATATGAGACTGACTATTTTAGGTTAGTAAAAGAGACTTTACATAGTCTTTGTAAAGGATCACCGGTGATAAAGAGCTTTATCAATCTGCACTTCACAAAGGACTTTTACTGACCCATTGTATAAGCCACGACTCGATGGACTCAATCGATGTCTATAAGAATGACCAAGTCCTCGCTCGGAATGAACTTGATCATCACAGTAAACAATTTTCACATTCAGAACATTTTCAACATCCTCCTTCCATTACCTTGACTTATAGTCACATATTCACATATTTTTACAGACATCCACACTAGCAGCCTTCCATATCGCAACCATGGCTTATCGCGGACCACCCAGACATGGACACGGACACGGACACGGCCATAGACATGGACATGGACAGGGACACGGACACACTCACGGACACGGCCACAGAGACAGCGCAGCTCAAGGATCAATCGATCGCACGCATCGTGAACTCTACGTTCAAATCTGCTATGAGGTGGAAAACGCCGTCCATTGGATGATAATCATGAGACATCCAGGCGACGAGCGTTGCATCCGCCTGCACAGCACTGGCTGCATGGGTGATCGTACATATAGTGTAGAAGACGACATGAGATTTGATAGCCATTCAGTTGCGAGCACACACTATCTCGGTACGATTCATGAAGCAGACAGTTGGATTGTTGAGAGAGAGGCCGAGAAGATTCCACTACAGAGTTGCCAACTCTGGGCTTTTTATCTGATCCTTCGACTTGAGCGTAATGGACTGATCAAAGACGGGCAGTATAAGCATTTTATGAACTGTTATAAGCATAGCAGGAGAGAGGATTATGGACCGGGAGATGATTTCCATGATTGCCCGGTTCATAGACATTAGGTATCGGTTTGTCCCTCTTTTTTTGATTTGATTGTTTTCTTTGTTGGTTTTAGTGTCTTTGTGCAGAATATATATCTACTGATTGCGCTTCGAGTAAATTTGCTAATAAACTTAGTAGAAAAACATTTGTTCTAACTTCGTATATCCCTTGATTAGAGGTAGTGGTGGACGGAGCCACATAAAGTACAGCTGAGCGGACAGGAATCCTTATTTTCCACATCCTACGTGTGGGAGAGGGCTATATAATGAAAGTAGGCTAAAACTTATATTAAATGATCCATTCAGTTCGTAGTATTACTCGTATCTACATGATTCTATAAAAACATAAAGGTGGCCGTAAACATCGCCGCAGCAAATGCCATCAATCCCTGCACACCAGCTGATTCCTTGGTCAACAGACCGCTAGCAGCTCCGGTGTGGTTTGCCGACCCGTTGACTGCAGTGGGTTTACCACCCAGTCCAAGTGGCAGGCCCTGGTAGCCGAATGTCAGATTCTGAGGAATCGACTGGTTGTAGCACTGTCCATTTGCAATATCCAAGTTGGTCAGGTCAGCCGAGTTCACGAAGAACATGTACATCGACTGCTTCAACTTCTTGAATCCGGACGTGTCGTATGGGAACTTGTCGCCCGTATCGGTTGCCGAAGTGTTGCGGATGAAGATGCACTGAACTTGTCCGGGGAAGTCGGTGGCTAGTTTGGGATAGTCGCGCATCACGTCGCTGTTGCTGGTGTCGGCAATCAAAATGAACTTGCGCTCGGGGAAGGTTTCGAAGATCTTTTCCAATAAGAACTTGCGGATTGATAAAGTGGCGGAGACGTCGCTGAAGTTAAGGGGACGGGTGTCGAAGGAGCCGCCCGGGTAGTTGTCGTAGATGAACTCCATGTAGTTTCTCGTGACTTGCTCAGGGGTGGTAGTCTGAAACGATGTTAGTATTTGGAATTTCAGATAATGAACTGGAGGAGACTTACAAGGTAGTGGAAATGCGCATCGGGAAGGCTGGTGGACCAGTTGCTGTAGATTTCCGGCATCTTTTGCCAGGCCGTGAATGGACGGGCGAAAGAATTGAGCAACCCTTGTGCCGGTTGATAAATCTTGGTGACACGCAGAATATCATCAATGTCGGAAATGAAAGTGAGTCCCTTGGGAGGCACAAGGTAGGCGGTAGAATTTCCGATGCTTGCGCCCTGGACATGAGTGTCCAGTCTCTGGATTTTTTTGGTTTCATTTCCCGCAGTAAGACCATTGCTGTCGATCTGCACAAAGGTGTCGAAATCACCCTCGACTGTTGTGTTATAAGGCAGAGTGATGACCTGCTTTCCACCCGTTGTCTTGGATGATCCGCCGCCGCCTGGCTCTCCGCTGGAGCCCTGGCTCTTTGCAGGCTTGAGTTGAATCTTGTTCACGGCAACCTCTGGCTGCTGCACAACAAAAATTTCGGCAGTCAGGTTACGCGCCTGGGCCTGCTGGGATTTAGGAAGCTCTGAGATGCTAGTGTCGACGAGGAAGATATCGGCCAGGTCGTTCAACTTTGAGACAGAGGTGTTTGGCTGCTTATAAACGTTTCCGTGGAAGCGAACGTTCCAGCCTGACTTGGTCCAATTGGCATATGGGGGGATGTTCAACACATTGGTTGGCAATGCTTTCAATTGGTCGTCGTCCAATCCGAGGGATTTCACAACCGCGTCTCCAGTCGGGAAACCCTGGAAGAAGTTGGGCACTCCCGATGCGACCCACGAAGGTAGGCCAGAGCCAAGGTCCGAAAGGACGTTGGCGGCACCAGATTCAACATCGCTCAATATGTTTCGGGCAACAACGGGAGAAGGATTACGCTCGACCGGGGAAGGTGTGACGACGGGGTCGGCCGGGGCGACATTGTTGACAAAAGCAGTTGGAGCTGGGGAAGCGGAGGTAATGGAGAGAAGAGAGGCCTGCACCAGGGCGTGTGCAAGAATGGACCTCATATCCAAGTATGTACGTTGTCGAAGGGTACAATTCTAATTAAAACGCTCACAAAGCAAAAGAGAAATCTGAACTGGATCTTGGGTATATAAGAAAAAAAAGGCTAGGAAATGATGATCGATCTATTTAAAAGATTGAAGGGTCCACGAAAAGCCTTGGAAAAGGAAATTAACAGGGAATCCACTGACGTCATTGTCGATCTCCCCGAGGTTTATTAAGATTTCCTATTAAGGAAATTATATATGTAGATCCTTCATATAAGCAAAAGAATAACACTTCCCGATATCCGAATCTTGAAATATCTGTATTTGGGCTCTGTTAAGGCAGCCCTTATTGCCCAAGGTGAATAGGGCCACCTACTCCTTACCTAGCTGATCTTCCTCTCTCTCTCTCTCTCTCCTCCCCAGTCATTTGTTCAATTCAACGAAACGATGGACCTTCAATAAATGGAAGATACCGCGGCCTGTACTGTTAAATGCAAATTATTGTTGCCGCTTTAGACGTTTGTATGCTGCTTTATTTCACTGCGACATGGTCGGAGATCTTGATGACTCTATACCCGTACTCTGCACCCAATCGTCCCGCCTTCCTTCTCCACTTTGTGATAAAGTTTGATCAGCGATTCTTCATCGGTGCTAATGATTTCACAGGGCTGGACAGTAATGTCTGGAAACTGAACATGATGTGCAGGAATGAGAGTCTGGATGTCAAAAATGGTAAGACGAAAGATTATGGATCTCGGAACCTTAGTACCACAGACTATGTACAAATAAAATTATATGCCGTGTTTATACCAATTGTAATTTTTAGAACCCTCCATCATACTTGTTTCTGCGCATGTGATTCTCCATTGGATCAGATGGCCCCACCTCCGTAGAGAAATCCGTCTTCATCATGATTCCACCATTAGGCACAATGGCGTCCTGGCTTCCAGTGCGTATGATAGTGTCATCTCTAGCGTGGGCTAACCAGCCCTGCTTTGATCGATCCGCAATGCGCTGTAGCGGTTGATCTCCATGAGAGTGGCTATAAGTCTGGTATCTTTGGTCGCCATAGTAACTCCCAAAAAGACGGGGGGCGTAAGTCTTGATGAACACCGAGAAAGAAGGCGCAGATCCGCAACAAATGGCTAGAATAATGAACCTCATCAGTCAAAATTGGATACCGGGATATTTTGCTCGTTATATCATCGATAGATACTAACCAACATAAATCTCAATACCGCACCAATTGAGAGAATCAGCGAGCTCATAGTACTGGTCTTTGTTACCAGCTAGCAACTTAACATAGGCATATCGCACGCAACCGGCTAGAAACAATCAGTGTCACTGGAATTAAAACGCATCCAATGACTCTTACCGGCAAGAGCAAGAACCCCAACTCCAAAGACTCCCATGAGAGCAAGCTTTTTACGCTGCGAAGAGTAAGCGAGGTCTCTATAAAGTTGGGTAGGTATTACTCAAAACGAACCAAAGGCATTTGCACTTTCCACAACATAGGAATTGGAGTTAGATAGATTAGTATATCGGTCACAATATTGAGAACACCATTGGCCTCATAAAAGGTTTGCTGGGAGGTCGCCGACATGCAATGCCCAGGGACAGTGCCAGTTAGGTCCCAGAACTTGGCGGGTGGGAAACAGGAAAAGGCGAGAACCAAGCCACTCGCAATTGACAATCCCAACACCACAAATGTCAAGGCATATACTGCCCATTTCATGTATCCGTGACGGTCGAGACGGAGATAGAACCAGAGCAAGGAGAGCTTGACAAACATGATTCCTATCACATACAGTAGTCGAGTTGAGTAGATGGACTAAAGGTAATGAATGACTGTTAGATTATTTGACCCAAAATTGATCCCCACAGAGACATCAATATTACCTTGAGCATTGGCACATAGTCTTCATTGGCGATACCGCTGACTGCATGGGCACGGGATCAGTATTGGTTTGCTGTATGTTCACTTTGAGGGGAGTAAACGCACGATGCTTCCCTGCTCCATAGTACGCCGCTGAATTCGCATCAGTGGCTATTCAATGAAAGTGGAATCGTACTCATACCTGTCATTGAGGCAGCGGACAAACCGAAGGTAAATATCTGCCACAAATTCTCTCATCAATGGCGCTCATGCATAGGAGTGGTGTTCACTTACTGTGCCCAGAATCATCAAGGCTTCAAAGCAGCTTGTTAGCCCCTATGCTCGATAAAGCCAGATGAAAAAAAAAAATACCGTCATCAATTCCAACAGCTCGAATAATTTTCATTCGCACAAAAATTCGTATCGCCATAACGATTGAGATGAAAACCATGAAGCTTATTCCCACGCCAAAGACCGAAGCTTGTCGGGTCCCTGATTCAATACCCGCGCGCTTCAACATGCCAAATGGCACGAATAATTCCATCTTATTTTTGGAGTGTAATGAGACCGAAGCTTGTATTTCGCAATCAGGAGAATGCTAAATAAAAACACTAGATCATTCATTGAAAAAGATGGTACCACGAAGAGCCGCACAGCTTTCTAGCCCTATCTTATAACTACTCCCCAGGTTGCTCCTTTTTTTCTTGCCAAGAATACCCACATCCATTGTTAATCGTACTTCTGGCCATTATGCTAAAGTACACAAATAAAAGGTCGGATTGATGAGGCAAACCGTAGACCGTTTACTATAAAACCTGGAGTGGAGCTCTATGTCCACTTATTATGCCGTCTAATCCCTGGAATACCCACCAAGGATCCCTGTCTTGTACGCAAATGGATTGATCCCCGTTATACATAAAAGTTTTCCTTGTCCGGAAGTCCCTCCACTTCTCCCCGACGCTAATCGTCGCGTATTTAATGACATGGAAAAGGTTAGCTTGACAGGGATGGATTGGATCTCGAGTCGAAACAGGGGGAAAAACCATAATGATTCGGGAAGCCAAGTGCCTGTATACGCCGTTTCAACTAAACTAAACCATCCAATACGATACCTTTTCAGGCGTTCCAAAATTTGAAATGGTCAAGTAATGTTGCAAAGATACTTGGTCTCGAGGACGATCTCTGAGTTTCTTGTTTCCACTTCCACTCCCAGGAGTTTAGGCTACAGAAACACTCCATCGGGTGGAATATAGCAAAGTGTCCAGTCTAAATCGGTATCACCAAGAGCTAAGTTGGAGATGGGAGAACGTGCGGTGGGGCAGGCCTGTGTCATGGAGCTTGATCCCGCCGCGGGAGCGGCCCCAGACGCGGGACACTATGGCTCCAGCCAAGGTCAACTCCAGTTAGTTAACATGAACCGACACAGCCCCTTTCGTTAAAATTCCGGGATAAAGTACGACTTGACTACCGTTGGACTGCGGATCAATTTCGGAACATTGAAGCTATCGCTCAGCCCTCAACCTGTCAGAGGAGGCTTTAATGACGATCATCTTCGTTTATTGTTGCTAGCGTCAGTTCGTTCTTCGCTTATTTTATAGTCCGGTTACTTGGCCGAGTCCTGTGCCGCTGCCTTGGAAATTGGACGCGTGTCACCTAGAAAGTAATTCGGGCTAACCCCCCGGTAGTGGCTCTATATAATAGGAGATTGATAATGATGACGGGCACGTCTAGGTAGTACATAATTACGGAGTACATAAATGGAGTTCAGAGCCCTTGTCTCAGGGAAAATATTACTTGGGCTGGCTAATTTTCAATTTCTCCTTTCTATTCACTCAATTGAAATCAATCCTCATAATGACAGACGGCAAGAAAGTGGCGCTGGTCTTTGGTGCCAGTGGAATCTCCGGATGGAGTGTGACCAGAAACTTACTATCTTATCCCACCGCTAGCACGTTTGATCGGATTATCGGTTTAATGCATCGTTCTCGGACAACTGCTGAGAGCGGCCTACCTCAAGACCCCCGACTGGAGCTGCACTCGGGGGTAGACCTCCGGACCGACCTCGAAACCGTGAAGATGCAGATGCAAGAACGCATTCCAGACCTAGATCAAGTCACCCACGTCTACTACCTTGGTATGTGATACAATATGCATCATGCATCAAATAGCCCTGCATCAAAACAAAATGCTCACCAACAATAGCATACTCCAATGATACCGCGTACACCGAAAATGTGATGGGTATCAAAGACATCAATAAGCAAATGACGTATAATGCTGTCCACGCAGCTGATAAGCTCTGTTCGCGGCTTCAATTCTTAGTTCTCCAGACTGGAACTAATGTAAGCTCCCTCCCATAATGTATCCCAAGCTGTTCTGACATCAATAGAACTATGGGGTTGCAGTGTTCCAGCACATGGACAAAATTGAGATCAACCCTCCTCTAAGAGAAGATAATCCCCGAATCCCATCGCCTTACGGAGATGAAATCTTCTACTATGATCAAGTTGATTTGATCAAGGAGGCTGCCAAGGGCAAATCATGGAAGTGGTGTGAGGTTCGCCCTGATCAAATCATTGGTGAGTCACCCCTCGCAGTCCAACGGGCATAGACATATCTTTCTTACATTGAAATTCATTTAGGATTTGTTCCTAATGTGACTGGAATGAACTTCGTTGAGCCATTGGCTTTATACCTCGCTCTCTATCGATTCGTCAACGGTCCGGATGCAAGAGTCACCTTCCCCGGTACAAAGGCCAACTTCACCTACACCTTCACAGACTCATCCCAGGATATGATATCAAAGTCTGAAATTTACCTGTCTGTGGTTCAGCCGGACCAGGCTAACGGTGAAGCTTTCAACATTGCTGACACTGATGTGCCGGGGCCGTGGTCCGTTAAATGGCCGATCTTAGCTGAATACTTCGGCCTCAAGGGAACAGGTCCCGGCGAAAGGGGCTGGGAAAATCTTGAAGAGTGGTGGAATGAGCATCAAGATAACTACCGACGGATGTGCAAAACCTACGGCCTAGAGCACCGTATTATTCCTCCTTCCTCGTGGATTTTCCTCAAAGCCGGCTTTACGCTTCTTGACCGCAACCGGGAGATGTGTCTTGACAAGATTCGCGCTGTGGGTTTTAAAGAAGAGATACCTGTTGGTAAAGGTCATATCATCGCCCTCGAGCGTATTGCGGAGGCCAAGTTGATTCCGTCGCGACGTGCGCTATCCACCTCCCTGTTTTTCCAGCCAGAATCGTTCAAAATTATGGACAATTATTCTGTCATAGAAAAGGCAAGCTTGTGAATATGTGACCATCTTGGATATATTAGATAAATATATGGAAATACGTAGTGCAAAACCAGATCTTTTCACACTCTTGTTTGTAGGCCCGCCTGCCGTCAGGAGCTCGCCCGAGAATGGCCCCGGGGGGAGCACCTGGGCAGCCTCCGTACCGGGGGGTTGCTTACAATTGATCAAAGTGATTGGACCCTAAAGGAATATTTTCAGTAGAATAGGCGTAGATGTGGATAGATTCTCTTTAACATAATGTATTTTTGAGGATTCCGTTACATCATGTACGTGGAAAACAGAGCTTCCCATCCGCTTAGAGTTGAATCACCTATAGAATGATCTGGACACTAGAGGCCGAAACCGTAAAAGGCAAAATGCGGCGAAAATTGTACGGAGTATGTTATAAAACTTCAATAAAGCCAATTATACCGTACTCACGTACTCTACCTAACTGGCACAAAAATTTCCTCTACCTCTTCTTGACCTCCATGCCTTTTCTCTGTCACTGCATCCCCAACCTCACTTATGTATCACCTCAGGATGTGCTCCACCATTTTCGGCTAGGTTGTATCCCCAACCTCACTTATGTATCACCTTAGGATGTACTCCACCATTTTCGGCTGGGTTGTATCCTATTATGTGTTCTACAAGTCCGAAAAAAAAAACGAGACGTACAGGCTATGTGTTCTGAGGCAGAGGCGTACCTCGAGAGGTGGCAGCACGAGGAGCGAGCTAAACAGGAAGTGATTTGTCAACGTTTTCAAGAAACCGAAAACCAAATGAAAGCAAACAAGAACCGATCGATTCTATCTATAGTTGGCAGTATGTTCGGATCGGTATTTGGTCGCTCTCCAGACAGATAAAACGCCCGTCAAAACAAGGTGGCTTCGCTCTACGTTTTCTGATTTCTCCGTACATTTCAGGAGGGGATTGTCCACACAAATTACCACCACAAGGATTATTCTCTAGACCTCTCAGACTACAGTGTCTTACCGAAGCTATTCAGGCACTTTTTATCTTTGACATTGCAGTATCATTTCAGGTCTAACTTTCTACTCCTGGTATAGCTTCTAATTCACAAATTCATACCGATAAGAGAATTTCCCATACTGTATTCCACACTGTATTCCATACTACTTCAGTGCATATTTGACTACTCTGCCAAGTAAGAAATTCACAGCTCGTTATTGGTATGCCCATTCCAAAGCATGATTTCCCCCTCGATTCGACCATTCATGCCTTGTACTCAGGCGGCGGAGCCGAAGCCACCGGTGCTTTCGGTGAAACGACCTTTGGATGCGTAGCCGCATGGTTACGCAATATCATTCTGGTCTTTGGATTATTGGAGAGAAGCTCGGGGGTATCGCCATTGTTGTCCTTTGAATCAACCCCAGCCCCATGCGCAAGTAAAAGCTGGATCACCTCAGGTGCCCCAGTGGTGATCCCTAGGCTCTCGGCCATGATGGCCTTATGAAGGGCCCGATGTCCTTGATAATCTTTCATCTCAGTATCCGTGCCATGATTCAGAAATATCCGAACCATCTCAATCTTTCCTCTCCTGATAGCCTTATGGAAATGCAGCTCTTTGTCGCGATCGGCAGTCTTACCCAGTTCCGGATAAATGCGCAAAAAGACCTCGACAGTCTGCTCACGATTCCTTTCAACTGCGTACGCAAAAGGCGTGTTTCCCTTGTGGTCTTTTGTGTCGACTTCCAAACTGGGTCCGACTAATTTGGTCCATACTGATCGATTCAAAGATTTGTCGTGCTTCAGGAGAAGCTCGCAGACCTCATGATGTCCCCTTGCAGCCGCCAAATGTAGCGCCGTTTCCTCCCCGTTGCTGCCTAGAGTGGGGGTGTTGCAATTCAGAAGGAGCTGAACTATTTCTGTATAGCCAAAGGCTGCAGCAATGTCAAGCAGTGTGCGTGTTTCGCTTTCTTTTGATACGCTTGTTGTCTCGCTTGTAGGAGGATCACATTCAAGCAACAAGCGAACAATCTCTTTTTGACCTGCTCTTACAGCGAGGCGGAGTGGAGTTGCGCGGTTGCCATCCTCGATTCGAGGTGATGCATTGTTCTCGAGAAGAAGGCGGGCGATATCCCAATGACCTTGTTTTGCTGCATTATGAAGAGCCGAAGTTCCGATTTCGTCCACGGTATTCGGATCTGCCCCGCCCTCTAAGAGTGCCTTGACAAGATCGAGTCGACCATGATCGGCTGCAACAATGATGGTCTCAGAGATTTCGGATTCTTTCTTTGATTTTCCAGTCATCTTGACACATGGACACAGCTTGAGAATAGGAACGAAGTTGCAATGTCTCATCTCATATCGGATTTTTTTTTGGCTTTTTTAGCGTAAATCGACTTACCCGATTCTAGGAGGAATAAGCGAAATCCATCAGCGTTGTTTGTTGCCCTGCCAAGGATCTTTACATGAGTGTGTAAATTCCGCAAATATCCAGATATCAAAGTCAGAAAAACAGTTTTAGAGGTAATAATAGCAGCCCTTCCCATTCGCGGTTCAAACTTGTGGTACAAAGTATAGAATGCAATAAAGATACCGAGGCAATGCCAAGAGGGCTAAGTGTTTCAGATGGAGCGGACCCAATCATACAGTCCAGGAGGCTGAGAGAGGGCTGGTGTACGGGGTACTTTGTGGTGATTCCCATACTCTTTTAACTGTCCAGCCTCATACATTTTATAAGCCACTCATGCACATAACCTGATATATACGACCATAGGTTTTGAAAACAGGGCTTCCCGGTCCCCGGCCCCCAGCCGCCTTTACGCCACACGCCGAACGCTAATAATTTGATCTAACCTAGTGAGGAAACGACCGGTCGCCGCTTTGCGGTTGCACAATACAAATCAAGAAAACTGTTCACAATTGTGTAGGCTATATATATACCAACTAAGGAGCCATATTATGTCCACTATCCAATACATGAAACTCTGCTGTTTTTATTTGCTAGACAGAAGATCATCTAAAGCAAACAAAGACCTAGCTAGGAGACCTACAAGGAACACTCCGCAACCCGAGTAGCAGATCGCCTATCAAACGGAAATATTGGCATCCTGTATCGTACGGACAGGGAGGTTGTAAAGGTGTTTACATCAGGTAGGAAGGGTCTTACTCCTCGCAGACCATAATTTCCCCAGGGCCAACGAATAATAAGACAAAGAGGTCTGATCATACGCATCTTTCAGCCCGGCCAGGGAGAGCAGCGGTCAAGAACTTCTATATACATAATCTGACGGATATGAATCGGCCACGACGAACGCAACGTGTATGAATTTGCAATATTCAGTCGGACATACAGGCATCGGCTTCTCACGCCAGGTTGGATCATGAGATCTTTCACATGAGATATCTTATCGTCATATTATGCACTCGCAGTACTAACAGCACCGGGAAAATGTTCCAAAATTCTTCTAAGGCCGTTCCACTTGTTGAGACCTAGCTATAAGGTCGCTGAGTATCTTGACAGCTGAATCATGACGACTGAGTTCCGCGTGATGAAGCGGAGTCTGGCCATCAGTATCTTGGGCTTCGAGATTCGCACCTCGAGCCGCGAGTAGTTTGATAGCGGTTACATGCCCTTTGATCGCCGCCTGATGAAATGGAGTCCGGCCAAATTCATCTCGGGCTTCGAGATTAGCGCCAAGGTCTACGAGTGTCTCGATAACGGCAGCATGACCGTTAAACGACGCTCGATGAAACGGAGTTTGGCTGAAATCATCTCGGGCTTCCAGATTGGCTCCAAGCTCAGAGAGTATCTCGATGACTGTAGGGTGGCCATTATACGCCGCTCGATGGAACGGAGTCTGGCCAGATTCATCTGCGGCTTCGAGATCCGCTCTAAGGTCAGCGAGTGTCTTTATAGAGGTAACATGACCGTTAGCTGCCGCTCGATGAAGCGGGGTGTCGCCAAATTCATCTCGGGCTTCGAGATTGGCTCCAAGCTCAGCGAGTCTCTCGATAACGGTAGGATGACCGTTGGCCGCCGCTCGATGGAGCGGAGTCTGGCTAGAGTCATCTCGGGCTTCAAGATCCGCTTTAAAACCGGCGAGTATCTCTATAGAGCCAACGTGGCCGTCATACGCCGCTCGATGAAGCGGAGTCTGGCTTTGTTTATCTCGAGCTTCGAGATACGCTCCTTCGGCCGCAAGTAATTTTACAGCGGAAAGCCGTCCGCTAGACACCGCTTGATGAAGCGGAGTCCAGCCAAATTCCGTTCGGACTTCGAGATCCACTCTAAGAGCGCAGAGTAGCTTGATAATTGTATATTGATCTTCCTGCACTGCGTGATGAAGCATAGTCCAGCCTTTCTCATCTCGGAGATCAGGGTCCGCTCCTGCCGCTCTGAGCATCTCCGCGATCTTTTGGTGGCCATTGAAAACTGCCAGAGAGAAAGCGGTTTTGTGTTCGTAGTCTTTGAGGGCGTGATCAGCGTCGTGCTTGGCGAGAACATGCACTACACCTTCATGGCCACGAGATGATGCCATATGTAGTGCAGTTTGCTCTTCAACATCGGTGGTTGCGTTGATTTCCCATTTCTCTTGTAGAATTTCATCCACAATTTCGCTGAAGCCCCCACCGCCGCTAGGTGTAAGGCATTCAACCCATCTTTTCGCTTCAAGTCAGGAGTAGAACCTTTCAGCAGGATGCCGACCAGGCTTGTATTACCACGTTCTGCTGCGAGGTGAAGTGGTTCCTCGCCAAAAGCACTCGCTTTTTGAAGAGATAACCTTTTCGCAAGTAGCTTGACTACTTTTGTTCGGCCATTCCAAACGGCATGATGTAATGCAGACCACCCAGATTGATCAGTGTTGTCCGGATTGACTACCTTCTCCAAGAGATTTTCAACCTTTTCATAATCGCCACTAGCGGCAGCTTTCTTAAATTCTTCCCAGATTTTCGATTGGTCCCATGCAGCAAGGTCAAATCCTAAACCACTTTCTCGTTTCCTATATTGCGGATTTGGTGAGCCATCCTTCATGTCTTTGATCATGCTCTGGGCACTGTCTTCATTTTCAGTGCTTTGATGGCTGCCGTTGTGAATAGTCTCATCGTATCCAACGTGAATCTTGAATGACAAGCTCTGATCTAAGTTTTCGATCTCTGATCTCATCAACGGTGGGTGAAAGTAAACCGGACCAACATAATCACAATAACAATCGAGATAGGTCTCATCACGCCTAAGTGAGGGCTTGACCAGAAGACCTCGGCTTATTCGGGTCTCTTCAGAAGTGAAGCCAGGCTCGATGAGTAAGATATGGTTGTTTATCTCTTGTCGAGCCAGGAGAACCTTTGCTTCTATCAGTGGATGCGCACGACCCCACACAAAGCTTTCGTCTTTGATGAGATCGAGAGACATGATATTCCACTCGCCAAACAAATTCCCATTCTCTTCAATCTGAAGGGTGTGGCTTGAAAGCGTAACAGGTAGATCATAGAGGTTTGTAGGACACCAGTTATATCCATTTGTCATAGTCGCTGAATTGTGGAAGAGATGCGCATGCGATATTTTGCCTAGCTTCTGTAAAATCTCTTGATAAATTTTCTGATGGGCGTAGGTTTCTGGTAATTCGATTCCAATCATGAGCCCTGAAATGATCGCCATGTCCCTCGGCCAAGATGTATGGCGTGAGCCGAGAATGGCTAGAAGGTCATTCAATTGGCCAACTCTGTCCCCCCGAAGCCTGCGGAGTATTGCTTTCGCGACTTCATGCTCGGGAGAAATGCAATTATTGCTCTCTGATTTCAGTATGTCTTCGTCTAGATCTTTTGTAATCGGACCACTAGGACTATTGAAGATGACTTGAACTTTCTGGGACATTTTTAACTCTAATGCCGTCCAGCCTCTGCTGAACCACGGAGACATGACGATGTAAAAGCATGCCGAGTCGGCATCGCGCCATTCGCAATCTCTAAGAAAGCAATCGTGCACCAGTGTGACTGCCGCGGCTGTGTAGGTTTGCTGCATGGATTTCAAAGCTTTCTCACGAAGGTCTTTCTTTGTTGGAATGCAGATTGTATCCCACCATATACCCTTGCAATCGAACTTTTGGGCAAAGCCCCGAAAGAACTGCAGCAAGCAGGTGTTTACATGACCGGGGGGCTGATTTCCGGCGCCTGTACCATCAGACCATACATGAGATATTGCCATATAGCGCTCATTGCGTTGAAGTGTCTTAGTTCCTTCAAAGTCCCACACTGTGGGTTGATCTTTGCGGACAGCATCAGCCACAAACTGTGAAGGGAATTCTGTAGGAGGACAGCGGTTTGCCACACAAGACGTTTCGTGACGCTGCTTCACCAGAGTAAAATTGACCCGAGATTGCTCGCAGAAGTCGAACGTACAAAGCTCATGGTCGTCCCTTTTTGCTTTGTATGACAGATTCTCCGGTGGAGGGAGTAATCTCGGGAATTGTCCAGCACCTCCTGGTAGGCTCTTGGCTATCGCCCAGACGCGGTTGCGACAAAAGCCTAAGTCTTCCGTGGCTGTGTGCACTGCTTGTAAGATAGGCCGTGTATCAGTTGAGTATAGCGACATGGCTCATCAGGGTGTAAATGAAAGTTGAGTAAATGGGGTGATAGTGAACGTTTTTAGAAAATAGCAGCGGCATGGGAAATTTGGAAAAATTGACACAGTGCTATATCATGGTTACTCTTCGTTCTTCGCAGAGGAGCGGCTATGTCGTATGCCCATATGTCAAGAGTATTGACAACCGATGGATAATGCCTGAATCTGTGCGTATGGGTACGAGACTAGTGTTGGAGGTGTGATGGCGTGTACGAATTATTTGAGAGGGTCCGTGCAGCAGTCACGATTTACGCTTCCGCCTGACTGGAAAGGCATTGAATACCAATTATTAGTTATGTGTATAGCCTTGGATTCAGTCTCAGGTTAATTGAATACTCATTGCAGTATATCTTCTGGCTTGAATGAGCAAGCTTTGGACACTCATTCTGAGACACTTCCTGGCGCATTAACAACATAATTTCAGACATATGTTTCAGGGTCTATCTTCCTTATGGACAAAAGGCAAATGGTGCCTATTCGGCTCATTCCATCATTTGCCACGAAACGCTCTCCACCCCTCCAAGTAAATAGGGGCGGTTCTATCACATGCCGTACTCATGTCGCAACCCCCCTAGTGACTCACTTCTTCAGCTTTGCCTCGTTCTCCTTGCTCTCGATGAGGGCCAAGTTCTCTAGTACTAGCTTCCTGGCCCTCTCATCATTGCCACCAACCCGCAGCATTGCCTCATGTAGGGTCTGCTTGAACTTCTTGTTGGTACTGTGTATCGAGTCAAAGAGCCCCGTCGGGCCAAAATTTTCAGTGAACGCGAAATGGTGGAAGTCGTGCTGCAGGTTCGACGGCAGCCACGGCGTGTTGTACCCAGAGTGGGTACAGATGGTTCCGAATGTCAGCAGCAGGAAACTGAAGATGGACTGAGACCAGTGGTGCGGGACAATCATGCTTCCGATGGCGTTTGGCAACAGATTAGAGAAGACGTGCTCCGTCATGGTGCAGTACGTCGACGCCAGCCCGACGGGCGCGGTGAATTCATGGTGCTGCTTGTGGAAGCGAGCGTACAGCTGTTTGGAGTGAAACGCGCGGTGAATGTAGTAGAAGCCCATCTCCGTGCAGAAGATGTCAAACAATACGGTTGCGACGGCCTGTGTTGACGAGGGGAGCGATGATGTCCCAATAGGCTTGGAAGGACCGAACACGCTGGTGAGGTATATCAAGGGCAGCACGACCACGAACTGGTTTCGAAGCCCTATCAGCGCAATACGGGCATACTCCCGCCCGCTGACCCGGACGAAGGGCTGCGTCTTGTACCTGAACAGCCACCGCGGCCAGCCGGTCAGGTCCGGGACGGCGAAGACGGCGGCCCAGGCCCAAAAAAGACTGTGGTAATGATGAAGGTGCCCCATATGTTGACGGTGATCTCGTCGTACGCGTTGTCCAGGTGATTGTAGAACCTGTGGCCCACCGCTGACGAGTTGAAAGACACATATGCAACAATGAGAGCGACATTGGCACTGACCGACCTGAGTTTTCCGTTGGTGAGGGCTGATGTCGAGTACACCCAACGCTCGCTGTGGGGGATGGGGGAGCCGGATAGGTCTTTCGGGATGAGGTTCTTAAAGCCCCTGGACCCAACGGGAGGTCCGCGAGAGTCAGCCTCGTTGTGAGTCCCTTGGGAGGCCATGGTTCGAATGTGTTGGGTGTTGGTTTCCCAACAAGTTGCTTTTGACGAGGATGTATTGCGAGGAGCTGTCGAGTGAGTCCTATTTTATATGTATGACTGTGTATATTTTCATGTATGCACACGGGCTATGGCGTGGTTACGTCTTTCGCTTGGTCAAGATGCCCTCGGCAGCCGATCTTATGTCAACTGGTGGGGAATAAAGCTAATTGGTATTTTAGCTGTGATTATTTTGAGGTGGGCTGTTTGCAATTTCCAGGGTCGTGTTGTGATCACATGCGAGGCAATGGCGTAGGTCAAACTCGCTTGCGCCTCTCGGCACTCCAACAAAATCTTGGGTTCTCTGCGGAGCCACATATGGTTGTTTCTCGGTGTGGATATGAATCACCATATCTAATCCAGGGAAGACGAATCAATCATCAAGGATTTTTCAGTCTAGTCTCCATATGGATTAGATGATATTCCCGGAGGAACGCTATGGCCCTGAAATCAATCAGAAATGAGTTTTAATAAGGTTCTGAAGTCCCTTTATTAGGACCATTTCTACCTCGGCTTTGAAACTGTGGGGAACCCCAACAGAATCGTGGCTGGATATTCATGATAGAAGTTTGCCTTGGCATGATCTCACATAGTCCTTGAGCCGGTTCAGTTACAGTGTATGGAGTAGGTCTCGAAATGTCAGATGCGACAAGGCCAATATATCATGCGGATGATGCTTAGAGAACAATAAAGGTCCGTGTACACCAGCAGATTTTAACCGGGGCCTCGCCTGGGGCCATGCGGTGAACTACACGATGAGGTAGAACAACTTGAAAAATCGCACAATTGTCTGAGTATCCAACTTCAAGGGCATTTAAACCCACCAAGTCGCAGTGGAATCCACTCGTTCGGTTAAAAGAACCTCCCTTCCGGCAGCCTATGTTCTCCGAAAAAGATATTCCGAAAGCACTCCAGGAGGATTTGTATGGTCACGGAAAAATGGCATCTGAATTCTCCTCGACCTCACATTATCATTTGAAAATGGTCAATCAAAACCCATATTTTGGCTCACCCGAGCTACTTACACCTAATCTGTGCACTTCTAGCTTCGTTGTCTGGATTTCCTCCCATTTTTACGTGCCCCGAGCCAGATCTGATCACAACAAATCAATCAATGGCAATCTCAGCACTCACCAATTCAGCTATTTTCAGCCAACATGTATTGATTTCAGTCTGCTATCTACCGAGAGAATGACACACTCTGCAGATGAAATCACAGCTAAGAACAAGGGTTTGGAGGCTTTATCGCAAGGAAGTGCGGAACAATGCACCAGAAGATGAACAATGCAAAGAGCTGATAAACGAGTACAGATACTTCATATTTCTCTTTGAGTTCCTACTATACATAAAAGGTCATCAACAAAAGCTCAGTTCAAGGTGATTCTCAGTTGCTATCCAGCACAATAACCTCCGCCTCTACTTCCCCGATACTCTCCACGTGGAGCGCATCTCCAGCATTTACCATTGTAATAAAAGCCCCATCGCCCTCCTCAAGAACGGCATCCTCCCTACCATTGATCATAACCTTGGACTTGCCCTGTTTGGTCATGGGCAAGTGAATATAAACATTTCGCTTCTTCCTGGACTCGACAGCTTCTCCGGCGCCAATAGTCCACTTAAACGTCGAGGCCGGCTCAATAATTCCAGCCCCCATGACGAAATCAGCATGAATGGGGATAGTACCGGAAATTTTGGGCACGGCAGCATCTTCCTGTGCTGGGGTAGCTTCGGGTCCCGCAGCAAGCGGGGATAAGATAGGAACAAATGCTTTGCGCTTTGCCTCCTCGCTAAATGCCATGGTGTGGTACTGTGGCTTGAGGCCCTGCTTCCAGGGAAGTGCCCAAATTTGAAGGAAGTGAACAGACTTGTTGGATTCGTTCTGCTCCGAGTGTGCGATTCCTGTCTCACGTCAGCTTCAATTGACTCTGGGGTAAATTAGAGGTTCGAGAGACTTACCTGTTCCGCCTGTGGTGAATTGTACATCTCCCCGCTTCATTCGATAAAATTGTTTTCCTTGCTCCCCCTCGGAGCCCTTCTTAACCATGCTATCCCGGTGCGTGAGCTCACCATTTAGGATATAGCTGAAAATTTCCGCATCGCGATGCGGATGCGTTGGGAATCCATTGCGCGCTGCAACACGGTCCTCATTTAGAACGCGTAGACTTCCAAAATTCTGGAATCGGTGATCGTAATAGCCGGCGAAGCTGAAAGTATGGAAAGATTTCAGCCAGCCGCCATGTTCAGCGTATCCACGGTCACTGGATCGGCGGAGAGCAATCTTGGCGTGGGCAAGTGGGTTCGACATTGTTTTAGTTTTAGATCAAATAGCACAATTGAAATGCATTTGAGGTTATCTCTTTTTTATTAGAAAAAGAATCAGACGTGGGCCTGAGGGTTTATATAGCTTAAGATCAAATCGTCTAGACGGCTCAAGAACCTTGGAAATCCATCTCAGGATTATGGAATCATTATCCATCATCAATAAGAGTGGCACTAGTCCAAAATAGGTATAGGGCCGGACGTAATCACTGACATTTTGGTTAGGAGTTTCTGATTCATCCATTCGTGCTATGGGAAACCCCCATACAAATTACTAGAAACTAGGGTTAATAAAAGACGGAGTTGAGATCTATTTCAATTGGCTGAGAAGAACCAAAATTCGATAAATTATAAATGCCTGAGGTTACGAGGCCCCTTTGGAGCTGGGTTTACAGCTGACTAAGGACTACGAAGACATATAGGACTCAGGGTTCAAAATGCATGTAGGATATTTTCGAGAATACAAATACTTCTAAACTGCAATCTGACACATACGACCATAGGGTGTGGAAAACAGGGCTTCCCGTCCGCTCAGCCGTACTTAAGCCACACGCCGGTGAGTTAGTAGTTGGGTGGGTGACCACCAGCGAATCCTCACTGTTGTATGTTTTTGTATTTTTCCTTGACTTGGTAAATCCCTCTTGCCGCCCTACTCTTTAGTAGACTTCCGCAAAGCCCAACTTTGGGCCCAAGGTCCGGGCTCGTCGGCCCCCCCCCTAGGCTCGAAATTGTATAAACCATGGTCTTGGCGTTCATAAAATAGCTCAATCACCTAAATAAATGACCGTCTTTTACCTATGTTTTAGTTTAAATATGGAATTCTACTCTATTATCATAATTAGGAAGGTCTTCTACCCTGAACACTGCTTTTGTTTTCTTAGGCCCCACTACCAAGGCATTGGCGCGTAAAACTATTTAACGGCCAACGGTACGGTACTAACCACCCAAGGTAATGCTCGGTATAAGATAGTAGGCTTACGGTATTATAGTTACGGAATATTACACATTTGTTTTCTTTATCCTTTCGTTAGGGGTGGGTGCACTTGGGTATTGGATAATGCACGTGACTATGGTGGTACAAAATGATTGGCTGCTCAGGACCCATAGCGCGGCCCGCAACTTACTGACCGTAGGAACTTTCCATGTACGATGCATTGTGGGGGTCATCAGCACGGAAACCAATGATATGAGAGTCGGTAGCCCCATGCCCTTTTAATGAATCTACAGTTACCCGCAGCAGTTGACTACAGTACCTGCTGTCACGTCAGCAGTCACAATAATGCCGCCCGTACCACCATCTATCGAAAACACTGACGTTTATTACTCAAATAGGTATACGGTGATGCAATATATCAACGACAACTCATCAGGCGGGATATCGTGACGTATCACATCACGTGCATTAATAGACCACGTGTTGGGCATCTATTTGTCTTTGGGCATTTGTGTTGAAGCTGTTGGATATTTATATTTCGCTTTTTCCTCTGTTTCTTTCACATTTGATTCAAGTTCTGGGTTGGCTGTCTCTTAGGTTCCTGAAAGCTCAGTCCTTTTTGCACAGTCCCTTATCACCTCTTGTAAGTATCGAGCTTACTTGGTCGACCAATATGTCCCGTCCCCTACTTAGACAGAATGAGCGATGCTGCGGGAAGGTGATGGACAAGCGCGAGAGTGGGACCAACCGCAATGGGAATAGGTACAGGCGGTACCGATTCTGTTATACGTGCCGAAGACTTGTTGCAGACGATTGGATGGGCTGGCAACGAAAGAATTCCCCTTGCTATTGCGGGTTTCCAAGCCGCCAACAACACGAGAAGTCGCGCGATCATTGGACTTACCGATGCCTTTACGAGAAATGTGATTTTAGGGAAAGAGGCGGACAAAAGAGAAAGAATATGCGTTGTTGATAAGGTCGGCTTGCGTCTTGACACAGATGTGGATAGGAAGCGGATGGTTAATGGGGTTGTGATTCGATGAGGGTCTCTTGCAGATTAAAGTATTTATATGCGTGCTTTCAGAGCTGTTGATGTGGAGGATTAGGCAAATTGACTTGTATTGCTTTCTAATAGAAGACAGCCAGTAGGTGACCGAAGGTCTATGCACTACACAAACATTTAGTAAAGACAAGTTAATTATGATTAGTTCGATTGGTCCTGTTTCCCGGCTCGACTCTATGCCCGAGCCGACACAGACCTAACCTGTTGCCTGTCCCCAGCCGCCTCATCAACCTCCTTAGCAGCGCGGTACCATCTATTAGAAGTCAATTTCAGCAAATATGTCCCCTGTTCCTGCAAAGGCCCGCTTGGTTCAGCTAGGGCCATTCGAGATGCATCAACCCGTTCATATACTTTATCCATCTCGACGAAGCAGGTCACAAAGAACGTGAAGGGCACCCGGTCAACCTGTCGTAGGGTACACACTACGACAAGGATCTTGAAGCAGCACCAAATGGTGGTGAATGAATCCAGGGAGTTTTGCCAACGCCCGCATCTCTCAGTGATAGATTACGTTACAGGCTCTGCAATTAACTATTCATTCATTAATTCTTCCATCCAGCGCAAAATCCACTTGTTCACTGGAGAGTCCACAATGCCCTATCCCATCACATTCAGGATTTTTAACTCCCCATTTTAACGGAAGTGTACCATCAATCCCAGCTGTCTCCTCCATAGCATCGTCTTCCCCATCCGACAAAGAAGGATGACAATAGCCAAACTACAACTTCCCGCGACTGGAATGCCGGACTTCAACCGTTTAAATGCCATAAATACAAGACAAGCCATCATGGCAGCCCCGACAGAAATCGTACTCAGAATTGCAGACGGTGAATACCCACACGAGAAGGTATCGTCCGCAGGCTCGCGAGTCAGGCCAACCCCGTATGACCTAGTACTCAACAGATAGATACTCTGGGACATAAGCCAGTGCAAAATGCCCGAAAGGGCCAGAAGGGGAAGTGAATATCGGTATGGAAGTGACAGAAAGTATGTGCTTCGCTGCCGATGCCAAAACGAGCTTAGATCGACGGGGATTCCCTCCCCCTTTATTGCCGCAGCACATTGATCGGGGTCGCATGCAGGTATAAGTTCGCCGGAAGAGTCAGTTGCCAAAAATGCCTGCATGTTGGGCCTTCCTCAACGCAATGAGCGTCATTAACCATGAGAATGACGAGACCATCGATGCGATGCAGGCTTATTGAGCGTTTCGATTTTCATTCTCACGCCAATTTTCAACCTATCGCTAGTGCACTCACTCTTACCACCCGAGGTCGCGGGAAGCTCGGGCGGCGCTCTCCAGTGTCCATCCGGCACACACGCGACTACCAGCGAATCTTCGTTTGGAATTTCGTTTTGTTCTTCTTTTTCTACAATCCTGTTGAATATATTTCAACACAACTCATCCGTCTCGCGAGTTATGCAGATTTGCTCAAGTGGTATGCTTCTATTGATCATCTATTTTGGCATGTTGGTAGAAATGCGCTGGGACACAAAGTATGCGGTGTTCCGTCCTCAATAAATTGCTGTCCTAATCATGCAAGTAACCTCCCAACTTTGGTGGGAGGTAGCAACGGGAGCGTCACTCGACCAGGTACATTATTTTGATTCCAGTTGGCAATACCATGGCGAAGCCAATTGGCATATGTGCCGGGCACAATGTCAGACCCCGGGTTGTCCTGCCACAGCGAGCCGAAAGTGACCTTGTTGACACGCAGGATGAGGCCGTGAGCAAGCTTGAATCCAAAGCTGCGAGACAGACAAGACTCAACAATCCCACGACCCCGCTGTTGTTTGTTGGATTCTTCTTCTCCTTCTTTTGGCATAGGCAGGGACAACAAATCAAATGCCTCCTGACCGTTCCAGGCAGTTAACTCGTTGATGAGCTGCGACCCTTCCATGAACTCGATGGGATAAAAATGTGCCAAGCAATAGGCGGGGCCGTCCCAGTCGTCTTCGGTATCCACCAATCCCATTACCGCAGTCGCCACTTGACGGACACTATACCGCTGGGTAGCCACCGTCACCATAAGCCTGGCCCATGCGCCCGTCCCGTGGAACATAAACCTCCGATGCGTCATTTCGTTCCCACAGTTACAACATATAATGGAAGCTATAACGATCAATAACCGATCATTATCAAACCCCAAGTAACGTCTACAAGCCATCGATACTTCACCAAATTTAGTGAAGATGCCTCAAGGTTCGTGACCCCATTACTCATCCGGCCTTCTATCCCAAATTTAACCAGAGATTCGATTATAGCTACTCAGCAGCCTACCGAGCATAATGAGTCTTTCCTCGAAAGGATCCTTGATCGCCACCACGAGCATGAAAACAAGGGCCAGGCTGCCGAGAACAAGCCTCAGGCCGACGAGGGTGAGCTGCATTCCGATCTGAAGAAACACGAGGAAGGCTTCAAGCAATACCTCAAAGAGGATAAGCAACTTGAAGAAGAGGGCCAAGCCTATGGAGGCTTGATGTAGTTCTTTGCCTTTGCTCGGTGTCTTTTTCTTTATGATTATGCCTACACGAACAACCATGAAATATTTTTAGTGAGTCCTCGCCACACGCATGGTGTAGGTAGTCGATTGTCAATGTATGGTGTTGTTATTTTTCAGCTATTATCGATACAACACAAATAAGATCAAAATCATCCAATCGCATTGGAATTGCCTTCAGGAGAAACACAAGTCAAGGAGAGCAGTAGAGTTGCAGAAGTAGCTCGATCTCATGCCGCATTAATTGTTGCTTCGGTACGCTCTTGCAATTTCAAACCCAGCTCCTTGTTGACACGACTAAAAAGGCCTATATTCAGTGTTAGAACTTGCATTGTAGTGGACGGACCTCTTTTTGAATCCACCATTAGGGCACTTACTATAGACCTTTTTGCGCAATTCGGGGTATTTAACATCCTTGACGCTAGACACGAGGTTGTCAATAAACCTGTCCTGGTGACCAGGCCCCCGCCCAATAAGTTCCCACAATGCTGCGGGCTGGGCAAAGTCTCTATCAGTGATCTCGCTAGTATAGGCCGAAACCTCTCCAGCCCACCTTTCATGCTCGGTGTGTAGGCTCAATGCTTCAGGGTTTGATCCATTCAGGCCTTGGTAGAACTTAGTGGGCTTGATCGACGAGCCAACGTAACTAGGGTCCCCGCCATAGTTGCCATCAAATCGCATCTTTCCATCTCTCTGGAAAGGACAATAGACCTGGGCTTTGGCTGTGTTAGTTGGGAGTTGCTGGTAGTTCACTCCGAGTCGATAACGGGCCGCATCGGGATATGCGAAGAGTCGTGCTTGGAGCACTTACGATCAAGTCAGTATCGAGGAATCTTAGGAGAAAGAATTGATGGGCTCTCCCCAACTTACCTGGATCGGCGGACGCAGCGAATCCTGGAACCATCGTGGACGGTGAAAACGACGCTTGCTCAATATCTGCGAAGTAGTTTTGCGGCTGCTCGAGCTCAGCCACTACAAGTGAACATCGGACAAAGGTTATGAAACTTACATTGCGGTTCATAGTAAGACGACCAATCTGCTACAAAGGGAAGTCCTTATGTGACCAAACCTTGGTCATATCGAAAATATTCTATTCGTATTTCTCGGCATCATCGGGGCGCATCAGCTGGACATAGACATTCCAAACAGGATAATCGCCTCTATTGATGGCCTCAGACATATCCTGGATCATATAATCAGGATTTTCTCCGGCGATCTTAAGAGATTCTTGACGGTCAAAATTCTGTATCCCTACTGCGTTTTGACGTGGATCTTTGCGTATTGAAATAAGCCATCCTAGTCATAACCTTAGTGAGAGAAAGCTTAGCATCTGGCTATTATTTTCATTTACCGCCTTGGTGAACTTGTATGTATGTCCACTGTACGAATTCATGAAGCGAACCGATTTTGGAGTTCCGCTATCGCTGAAGAGAATCATAAGTTGATGTATGCCTTCCGGGTTGCCAACGTGGTAACTAAACAAAGTTAGTATCTTCACAATTAGATTCCGAGAAAGAAGCATACTCCCAAAACTGCGATCTATTAGATTTGCTCATCACCAATCATAAGAAAGTGAACTTACCATGCTTTGGTCAGGAAGGTGGGTTTAGGGGTGCCGCTTGTGAGACCGGTTCATCGACGGGAACTTAATCGGATCACGAATGAAAAAGACAGGCTGAGGTGGTCATAAAAGTCAGAATCAAATTAAATATTAATTACCAAGATAACGACCAACCATACCGTGTTGTTGAAAACCCAGTCCAGGTTTCCCTCGTCTGTATAAAACTTCATTGCCTATCCGTGAATATCGCGAGAGGTGTCAGCTGATCCTAATTCAGCCCCGACAGTTAACACGCGCTGAAGCACCGATGTTTTCTTTCCGGCCTTATTCAGGAAGCTAGCGCTGGTAAAGTCGGAGCAGTCGCGCGTGGCTTCAAACTCGCCATAAGACCTACACCGAGTCGAGTGTCAACCCAAGAAGGTTTCCAGAGGCTTAGCAGCTTACCCAACAGCTTTGGCGTGAACGACTCTTCAAGGTTCCAATGTCAGTATAATTAGGGAGCTCAAGAAGTAAAAGATCAACACAAAATCCTTACCGCTCGGGGATTCTCTCCCGAGAGAAATGAGCCAAGGTCTCAATGAGCTGAGTATCCTGCAGCAATCCGAGCCCACCACCTTGTCCGCCTCGCATCATAACAGCTGTTTTACTGCTAGCAAGAGGGCGGCCTATACATGTTCAGATGTCAGCATAAACCCAAGCTTGGAAAGACCTTGTACCTTCAGCCAAAGTATAATATTTGTCGTCGCCCATGTTGAATGATACTCGGGGTAATGATAACAGAGTCCGACAGATAGACAGAAAAATATGTATGTCAATTACTGGGTTGGTCTCGAGGGGTGCAGCTTATATAGTTCCAGCCCTGGTAAAAGCTCATCTCTTGCAGTTAAGAAGGGTCCACTGCCGATGACCTCTCATCCACCTCTACGTCAGACCTTAGGAAAAGGTCCCGACAATGGGGTTGACGTCTTATTAATCACCATTACCAGGTCAGGTTAATGTGGATCGGCATTAGGTTCCGGCCCCACCTCCCTTGAAGCCTCAAAAGCTTGTTGGAGCTTGACATTCCTGTATGTTTTGTGTAGCACACTGAGAAAATCTTAGGACAAATAGAAACCTGCAAGGCAGTATTTTGGATCAGAATACTTCGCCCAGCTCTACCCTTGTAATTCTATTAGAGCCACATAAGGTACTTCCGTGCTTCAGTAGTTGAGCTTTAGAATAATTTGTTGACCAGCCATTTCATGGATCTGGGGGTATCCGGATATATTTTGCGTGTATCGATCGAATCAAGCAAAGATAGGACAAACTTCAACCAATCCATTGAACTCTCGATGGCACTAGTCTAGAAGGCAGGATTCTATTGATGCACTTCTCTGTGAAGAAATAGAGATCGATTCCTATGCCGAGAGACGGACGGACGGAGAAAGTCAGAGAGTCAGAGAGAGAGCCAATGGAGCAAGCTATCTGTCTATGGGATCTGTCACAAGAGCTAGACTTCAGGGGTTTGACAGTCCAGCGGATCCATTGGTGGACTTTGATCCGTGCGCCCCTCAGTTACGATCCCGGCCGACTGAAGAAGACCAATAAGTAAGATTCCTAGATCCCTCGGGCTACGGCTTTGTTGCTTTCTAGGTTTATGACGTCTCCCTGAGGGGTCGGAAAGTGAGACCCGAGGCTTCATCCATGGGGTCTGGCCTCTCCCAGAAAGTACATCAGCTCACTTATAAATGGTTGTTGAGTTTGTCTATTACGGATTAGGAAAGGCATCCTCTTTGTCTCATCTAAGAACCTTCGATATTTTGGAATATCTTTCTATTATTCCCCCTGCATCATGCCTGTTCAAGACAATGCTAGATTCGACTTTATTGTCGTTGGTGGTGGTACTGCTGGCAACGTTGTTGCCGGCCGCCTCGCTGAGAACCCCAACGCTAAAATCTTGGTCGTTGAAGCTGGTGTTGGCAACTCGATAGACATCGAACAGATCAGAACCCCTTCGGAAGCTATGCAACTTCGTGACAGCCAGTATGACTGGGCCTACAAGTCAACAATGGTCAAGCGAGACGACTATGAGCGTATTGAGAAACCCAATACCCGTGGCAAGGCCCTTGGTGGCAGTTCATCCCTGAACTATTTCACCTGGGCTCCTGGATCCAAGGGTACCTACGATATGTGGGAGGAGTACGGTGGAAAGGAGTGGACTTGGGACCCGCTCGTTCCCTACCTACGAAAAAGTGCGACATACCATGATGATGAGAAGGCATACCCGCCAGAACTGAAAGAAATCGGCCAAAACGGCCCGATCCCGATTTCGCACTCCCAACTTATTCCCGAAATGCAACCTTTCCGCGACCTCCTCACTAAAGCCTGGAAATCCACTGGTCAGCCAATCAACGAGAACATTTTCAACGGTCATATGGTTGGCCTAACCCACAGTGTCAACACGATTTACAAGGGTCGCCGCTCTGGCAGTTTCCTTTGTGTCGCCGATAAATCAAACATCACCATCCTTCCCGAGGTACACTCGAAGAAGCTTATCATCGACAATGCTGATAAGACCTGTAAGGGTGTGACTGTCATCACGGGTTCTGGGCAGGAGCTAAATCTCTATGCCACCCGTGAAGTGATTGTCTCCGAGGGTGTCTTCGAGTCCCCTAAGCTGTTAATGCTTAGTGGTATCGGGCCTAGCGTAGAGCTTAAAAAGCACAACATCCCGGTCGTTGTCGACAACGCCCACGTTGGCCAGCATCTACTAGATCACCCCGGTGTTCCTTTCGTCTGTCGTGTCACGGATGGCTTTGGTATGGAAGACTACGTCCTACGTAAGGGAACCCCCCATAACAATCAGGCCATTCAAGCCTACCAGAAAGACCACAGCGGTCCATTAGGCTCTGGCTTCCTTGAGGTGGTCGGATTCCCCCGAATCGACAAGTACTTGGAAAAGGACTCTGAGTACCGTCAGGCCAAGGCCTCGAATGACAATAAAGACCCATTCTGTCCGTATGGCCAGCCTCACTTCGAGCTTGACTTCGTTTGTCTTTTCGGTAGCGCGTTCCAGTGGCACTACCCCATGCCACGCAAGGGCAACTATATCACCGTTATGGTCGATCTTGTCCGTCCTGTCTCCGACCCCGGTGAGGTCACCCTCAACAGCGCTGACCCGCTGCAGCAACCTAACATCAACCTAAACTACTTCAACAACGACCTCGACATCATCGCCATCCGCGAGGGTATCAGGTTTTCCTATGATGTCCTGAAGAACGGAGAAGGCTTCAAGGATATTATTGAGGGCGAGTATCCCTGGGAGATGCCGCTGCACGACAACGACCTTATGAAGAGGACCGTGCTAGACCGCTCTCAGACATCTTTTCACCCTTGCGGTACTGCCCGTCTGTCTAAGAACATCAATCAGGGTGTGGTTGACCCCAGTCTCAAAGTCCATGGGGTTAAAAGCCTCCGTGTGATTGACGCATCCGTCATTCCTGTCATTCCCGACTGTCGAATTCAGAACTCTGTGTACATGGTTGGTGAGAAGGGTGCCGATGCCATCAAGCGTGACCACGCCGACTTATATAAATAAGTCAGTTGGGCGAGATGACCTGAAGTTTTAGTACGTTCGATGTGATGTGATCTTTACTCATATGAAATTGTCCGTAAGAAACTAGGTTTTTGAATGGCATTTTTCCAATAAAACATGACATACAGTACAGAGCATCATATATTCCCAGAGCTACATAAGTCTACAGAAATGCCTATCAACTCAAGCATTGGCTACGTATTGGTGTCTCTTTGTACTGAAAGTAAAGAGCTATTTCCACGTACCCCTACGCAAAAAGACCACTTCAAAATACTTCGTAATGGGCAATGAAAAATTCAGACTGCCGTAGAGTAAACACTTCCTGAAATCCGCTCAGACCTGTCCAAAATTGCTATATAATAGTAATATGAAGCCCTCTAAGAACTACCAGATTGCACACTTGTAGGATATGCTGATACACAGTAATATACAATATGGCCCAGCTTTCTAATTTCAAAAAGTATTTTCGGGAAAATATCTAAAACCGACACAAAGATCCACCAAATTTTCGACATAGTTCTTCCTTCTATTGTCACTCGTGCATATTCCAACTTTGCAGTTCAAAAGCAATGTCTTCTCACGAAGTAGGCGACGCCTAATATAATGAGACAAAAAGCAGCGACCACCATCAAACTATCAATCCTTACATGGTCCGCTATATAATTAAACGCCCACCCGTCCGATCCATGCCACGACCTGCCTGCCTCATGGCGTATCACCGTTCTTGTATATCCATCATCTAACACTCCCATGCTGTGTTGAAGGGTGCCATATAGCCATGCGTATTTCCGAAATGCTGCTGTCACCATCGTGGGTCCAGTGGACCAAAAGACTTGCAGATACGGTATGGGAATGAATCGAGATGTCGCACCGCTGCGGCGCTTGCCCTCGTATAGTGCCCACTGAAGAAATGGAGATTCAGGCTCCGCCATGAAGAAATGGTTGCTTAGCCCCCGGGTACCCGTCGTTGGGGCGAATATAGCCTCTAGGTTGAGGCGTTGCAGGCATTGTATTTGACTGGCCGAGGTCGGGTAAACGTCGAGGTCTGCGTAGATGCCTCCCTCTGCGTGAATGACAAGCAACCTAGCCATGTCGGCACGTTGTATGTTTTGGGGATAGGCTTCATACGTTGACAAAAGCCAAACATACTTGCGATTGATGAGTTGGAGGATGGCATCGTCTGTCCAGAGCTTGATTGTGTAGTTTAGGGGCTTGAGGGTATGCTCCCATTGGTCGCGCGATGCGTTTATTTGCGTAGAGTATGTTTGCAGGTCATTCGTTTTCCAAATTTGGTGAACAACGTTGGGTATTTGTGGGACGGTGACAGGATGAGAGTCGTTGGGGTGTTCGAAGTCATAGGTAGGGCACGCAGCAATCACGTCCATTGAAGCGGTTAGTTTGCCAGGGTTGGAAAAGGAGGTTGCAAAGTTGAGCAGATGAATGAGGAAGATGAGAACGACGGAAAAAACTCCGACAGCCATGAACCTTGTCCGCCGTTTCCCCCAAATGATGATCATTATAGCTTGTCGAGTAATGCGAGATACCGAAATTCCAATGCCAAACACATGAAGCAGTGAGAACCGTTCATGAAGCGAAAGACTGACTGGCAATGGCCAAAGAACAGGGGCTCATAAGAGACAACTAGTTTGTTCAAAGCCCGAATACGTAATAGCATGTTGGTATACAAAAAATAAGGAGTCTATGGTTATATTTACGGAGCAATACTGTATCCACTGTATGTGCGAATTTCTGCTCCCGGTGGCCTAGAAGACTAATAGTTACTGCATAATTGTCCTCCTAGGAGTATGTAAACCGATATCCTGTGCAATACATGTAGTTTCGCTGTGTGACGGTCAGTGGGCTAGCAAAGCTGGCTTGGTATGCCGGTGCAATTCTCGTTATCACACAAGCAGGAGTATAATACCAGGGCAGAAGTTGTAGACCCATAGCAATACCAGATGAGACATTGCTCTTGGCGCAGCCTACGACAAGGTTCGACAGGCCCTCCGGCTCCGCGGCTCCGTGATCGACAGGGTTTTAAGGGTATATTATTAGTCTCGGTGAGCCGAATACTGTTGCCTACCAAGCTGTAGCTAGCAAAGGAATTCCCAGAAGCTCCAGCTCTCCTGGGCCGAGTTCATGACGCGATTGCTCGTTTGGGACTTACATAGAGGGTCCAATGATCGATTACATCTGCCTGTGCTAACTTGAGCGTGACCAATGCATTGGATTTTGCTTTCATATTTGATTGAGAGGCTACTAAGGTAAAGTATATCTATGGATATCACAGCGCCTATATAAAGGAAATCAAAGAGAGACAGATCGTCGATAATCACCTGTTGATGGCCTGAGCCTCCGCCTCCCCGCTTGTATATGCAAGTATTTATTACTCTATGGTTCTTTTAAGCTGCTCTACTATGCTCCATATGGTTTGGAATAGTTCGTAAACTACAATGTTAGCGGCGGGTTCTCGTCCCGCATTAAACGACGGTGTTTTACAAGATTACCACGAGACTGCAAGTGCAAGGCCATAGAGTCCACTGTCCAGGAAGGGTACCACCCCTGATCGCTACTAAATCGGCCTGTAACGACAGTCTTCGGTAAACGAAATTACTAGATATACTAACCTGACTGAGTGCCTTGTTGAAACCCAATCAGAGGACCCTCCTGGAGGCATACATGTGGACGTAAACGAAGGGAACTAACTGACTTGGGTTCAGGATAGTTTCTGCAGTTTTGTAGAAGTTCCTCATTGAAAATTTCAACATCTCTCGATCCATAGAGGACACAGAAAGAGGAACCCATCTTATGTATTCATTATATAAGGAAAGCATGATACTGATGATCACGGTGAAACCTCGGTATTTGGAAAAGGCGCAGCTGTTCTTGTAAACCATGTGCGTTCCCACGCTCTGCTTCCGTCCGAGATCCAATCTAAACCCGCTAAGTCCAGTCGAATTGAAGCCCTCGTCGATCGAAGGCGTATGTGGAGAGCCAGATGGGTTACAAGACAATCCATAGGATGAAGTGAATACATCTGTACGGCAGAATTCTCAGTATCAGATGTAAGTAAGCTTTTACAAAATAGGCATCCCTCAATTGATGAAACACCACCCGTACCTACCCACTGTATCCCGCTTTGGGGGCTTAATAGGAGTGGGGCTGAACGAGTAAGATTAGAGCCGCTTTACGGGCCACTTTATGTATTGTTTTATTACCATTCCGTATTAAATTCAGTTCGTCCTGGTATTTCAATGAAACGAACACATTTTTACTTATATGTATATTTTTAACCCTGGGTGACCGAGGCCACTTAGACTAGAGAATCTTCAGGAAATCATAATCTAGACAATGAATGCACACCCATATTGCGATGATAGCTGTAAAATGTGACTCAAAAGCCGGCCTGCAGGGACATGAAATGCTTTAAAATAAGGTAGTGGGTGGGTAGGTGGAGATCTCTAGACTTTCCATAGGATCAAATCAATTGATGACAGAAAAGGTGTAGTCTGATCTAGAAAAAGCGGACAGAAGTAGAAAAGAAGAGGGGAGAAACCTAGGAAATCTCAACATAGTTCGTGACCAGTAAGCTGAAGATGTGGTAGACTATTCCTTTGCTCTCCTCTCTCTCTCTCCATGCTTCTTAGCTGTAATTCTCATCTTTTGGTACATTGATCACATTTGGACAGGCAGAGTGGTTCTCAGTACACCCATTTTCGCATAAGAGAGTTGCGAGATAAAAGATTGCTATCTCCAATCAACGCATCTGTGCCATTGATGGAGTAATATCTATGAAGCGATAGAATCTAGACTCCGAAGCGGAACTCCCGCACCTTCTTCTGATAGTAGAAAGATGCCAACAACCCAGTGACACCGAGAGCCAAAGGCATAGCAGCCCTAGCCTTAGTCTTAATGATCCGAGGGATTGCAGAGCCCAGAAGGAGGATGCTGTTTCCCAGGGCGAGTTCAGTGCCGTAGTCCTTGTTCTCCTTGATCAAATATCCTAGCAACATAGTCAGTTTCTAAATATTTTAGTACGCCCACTGTGGAGGTCAGCACTTACCAGAATAGGCATATGAGATGCCGAGTCCAACACCGGCAATCAAGGAAGGCGCTGATCGGGTTCGTAGGAACCCAACGGTACCTCCGATAGGCACTAGTTTTGGTCAGATACGCTTGGCAACATATCTCGTTGCAGTACTTACGAAGAGCGGCAAGGGTGAAGGAAGGATGTTCAGCCATGATGATATTTAAGCACTTGGGATATGTCTTCCAAGGGTCTGAAGCTTCAGAATTTAGAACTCTCAAGTGCCAGGGGCAGATCCCGGGAGTTCCCATGAGTCAGCGGGAGGACCTCGGGATCGGGGCCTCGGGAACCCGAGCACCGAACTGCTTAAAACCGAAGCCATCGTATGATAAATCATTTTGACAACTAAATGACAGCCATTGTGTTACTCTTGCTTCCTATAGTCCACCCAAAACCTACAAATTTTACGTGAATCATCATGCCGCAGCATTCTCAGGGGCGAGAAGATACAGGTTCTCTAGATGCGTGGATGCGAAATAAGGGGTTGACACTGAAAGCTCCCAGCCCTGGAGCTGACCTTAAGCAACCCAAGTCGAGAATTTTCCGTCAAGCTATCTCTAACCCTGAAAATGAGTTCTGAGAAACACGATGAAATACAGCCCGGCGAAAGGGGACACAAACTCCGCTCTGCTAAGCCTGTTATCGTTTGCCTGGATGGCCGCCAGTTCCGCATCAATCAGGGCATACCGCAAGACGTGGCAGACAAACTGGAAGAACTCTTTGACCAATTTTCAGAAGTCAAATATGAACAAGTACCGAGTCATCTTAAGGCCTATCAAATGGGGACTGGTGAAGCTCCTGCGGATGGAAGTCAGGATGCACCGACGAGCGAATAAGCTAGGTGAAGATTTGACTCATATTTCTGTTACGGATATACGTGAAGCAAAAACGACGGCGGAGGATGTAGGATGTTATCAATCCAAATACGTTAAGAGTTGATGCTGGGCATCACCATTCACGCAATGCTCCGCGGGAAACTGTCTCCGACAAAATTCCTTGATTATTCATACCATCTTGTTATCCAAGTTTGTCCTTGCCTAATGACGCAGGTTCTGGCATTTGCATATCTTTCCGCATCTTTGCCCTCACTTGTGGATTTTGAAGGTTTAGCTCTGCACTGGTATCAGACATACTGTGAATATTCCACAGGACTACGCTCTCTTACGTAGGAATATTAAAGATTGGAACTCGTATGTGATGTGATATGCTTCTCTGTAGATGTCAATCATTGCTCTACCTCAGAATCTTGTTTATAAGTGTTATGAAGGGACAGAGATTTCGGTTTTAACTCATCGCTGTACTGTTGAGTGGAGTGAGTGCCTTGTTGCCTCAGGCCTCCAAACTTGTATTCCGCATGGAGAGGTCCAGTCAATGGTGTTCCAGACTCTGTATTTTCTCGAAGTAGTTTTTCTCCAGGTTCTGAACTAGGAATTATTTTCTGGGTCCACATTCTGGATGAATTATAGAGAGAAACGGGACTTCCTATCCACAAAGTCCTATGGTATATGTTCTTATTTTTTGTAGTTTATAGAATCTGGGTTGGTCATGCAGCCTAGCAACCCCCCTTTTCAGCCGCAAACAAAGAATGAGAATTGCCGAGCCACGGACGCGGTACAAATGAGGACCATAAGAAAAACAAATATCCAGATTGGCCTGATCAGTTTGTTTTGCTGATTAATCGGCATTTCGTAAAACAAATGCGTTTGAATACTATACAAGCGGGTGGGTGCGCCGCCCACTTATGTGTGCACCTCGCAAGTAAATTACAGTACCAAAAATATGTGTCGTAGCCCTGGAGATATTGCAACGATTTCACCATGACAGCGCGTTCACCATGGCAGCTCGTCATGGCAACACGCGAGTAAGTATTATGGTATGTGAGTTTATAAACTCGGTCCCTCCCCAGCTTTTCTACTACTCACTTTTTTCTATTCCTCCTGCATCTCTTGGCCTTTCCAATTTTCAGCTGTTTGAGAGAAGAACCAAAGTGTACTTCCATCATGGAGAATTATCAGAAAATTGAGAAAGCCGGTGAAGGTGACATTTTTTGCCGCGTCTGTTGGCCTGGTTACCCTGGGTCCTAGCTGACGGATGTCTTTTTTGCCATAGGAGCCTACGGTGTCGTCTACAAGGCTCGAGAGCTGAAGCATCCTAACCGAATCGTTGCTCTAAAAAAGGTCCGACTCAATGCCGAGGATGATGGAGTCCCTGGTACAGCCATCCGAGAGATCTCCCTTCTCAAAGAAATGAAGGACCCCAATATTGTCCAGTTGCTGAATATTGTCCATGCCGACAGCCACAACCTCTATCTTGTTATGGAGTTTCTAGACATGGACCTGAAGAAATATATAGACGCCCTGCCTGTCCACGAAGGTGGACGCGGCAGACCTCTGCCGAGTGGATTCAGAATGAGACTCGGTCTAGACGAAGCGATGGTGAAAAGGTTCATGGCACAATTACTTGAGGGAGTCCGCTATTGCCACAGTCATCGTATCCTACATCGTGATTTAAAGCCGCAGAACTTGCTCATCGACCGCGAAGGTACTCTGAAACTGGCTGACTTCGGACTGGCTCGAGCTTTCCGTATTCCGCTGAGGAAGTATACTCATGAGGTAATAAACCCCCGTCCCGGTCTAGTCAAGCAAAATTATCTACACTAAATGTTAACATCCATCAAATAAGATTGTGACCTTATGGTATCGTTCCCCAGAAATTCTTCTTGGGGGTCCCCGATACTCCACCGGCGTCGATATGTGGTCTGTGGGGGCTATCTTCGCTGAGATGTGCACCCGCCAGCCTCTCTTCCCTGGTGACTCGGAAATTGACGAAATCTTCCAGATATTCCGGTAAACACTTTCTTCTCATATCTATATAACGGGATTGACTTTTCAATTCGATAGCCTTCTTGGTACCCCAGACGAAGAGAGCTGGCCCGGTGTCACTGCGTACCCCGACTACAAAACCTCGTTCCCCAAATGGAGGCGGGCCCGCATCCCTCTAGTACCAGGCCTAGAGAGTGCTGGCTGCGAGCTACTAGATGCTCTTCTCCAATATGACCCCACGACAAGAATTTCCGCAAAGCAGGCTTGCCTCCATCATTACTTTCGTAATGGAAGTTCATACTACTCCGGGCGCATTCATCCTAGATAGATTGGGACCTGATCCCCAGATCTTTACTTTCCTACAATCAACTCTCTCGTCTTAGTTCGGTTCCCGCTAGAGTAGAAGTCTATGTAAGGCTTAAGGCACAGTTCATCAGTTCTAACGAAGCAGATAAATGAGCCTGTCTGAAAATGATGAATTTCGGTTTTATTTCTTGGATCTGTTTTTCTGTATTTGTCTATATCAGGTCCTCGCCCATGAGGCGGGGCTGCCTATGGCGCTAACGGGTTTGATTGATCAACTAGCTCGCTGGGGGCTGAGATGCACCCTTTTAAAAATGTAATAACCAGAGCCTCGTGCCCACTAACCTGTCAATACCAGAGGCGGAATATCATATATGACTCCAGATCCCACTCTCCGCCCGCACGAAAATTTCTTGAGTCAATTGAGCGAATCCATCGTCCAAGTCTATGCCAGATCGCAATCATTCCTTGTATTCATGGTAACGCCGACAGAGCAAGAGCAGGAGAGTAAGTGCTAGATTCTTCCTAACATAGACTCCCAGACCTTGAAATCGAAGATACATATTTGCCTAATTTGTGATTCAACCCTCTTTGGAAAAAACCATCGGCTAGCATACGTGCTTCCGCGGTCGCGGCAAGAAATGAAACAGCTTCTAGAGATTCCCGCAGATGAAGAGGAAGACAGACGCGGGGTCAGCAATTTGAAGAGCACTAAAGTGTGTATGACAGCACGGAGCAGTAGGATTATATGCGAGCAGCACTTAGGTTGGCCTGGCTAGTAAATGTCCGACGAAGAGAAACGGTGATTAAATATCTCAAACAGCCGAGATCGTTGAATGGTTCGCTCTTTCAAGGGCTGGAGATTGGCGGTATGGACGTTAATGGCTTTTGAAGTTCCGACTGAACTCTGACTGGTGGTGCTTTGGGGGTTGCAGATGCACCGGAAGTCTCACTGACGAACGACCGCGCCTCGGTTCTAGTGCTATTGGGCTCTTCTTGGGGCACTAGAAGCGTTATTCAATCCCTCATTCTTTCCAGCATCATCATGGGAGACAGTGGCAACCCCTGACCCTTGTCCTAAGGACCCAGTTGACGGGCCTAGCTGAGTCAATGGCTGGATGACGCATGAGCCACCGAGGAGACAATTTAAGTCTTTCAAGTCATGACCATAGCACACCTATTATGGCACAAACTGGCGGCTATCCAACTTCCGCAAGGAAATCACAAACTTATATGTTAACCCGGGAAACTGGTCCGTAGATCTCGCCCACCATCCACCTGGGCGGTTCATAGGCAATGTATCCTCGACACCACTGTATCTTTTTCAGCTACACTACCTATTTTCTTTGATGCAATTACTGATACTAAGATGACAGGTGTAATGTGAAAGCCATCAAGAAAGAAGAATTCTTAACGGGGTGTTCATTTTCTTACAGTAACGTCAACCTTGAAAATAAGCAAACCAGCATATCCAACAAAATCAGCCAAGCAAAATTATCCCAGCAATCAATTGCCACAAATCCTTGGAACATTTTCTACGGTATTTCCTTGTGGAATAGGCCATGCCCATTTTAGAAGCAGGTTCAACTTCTCCAGAAAGTCTTTTCTGTCAACCATATCAAAGTATTTTTCCCCGTAAGCAGGCACGGCAATCATGCGTCCTAGATCTAGGAGCTCTGAGAATTAAACATGAAGCTTGCCATCAAAATAGGATCATTCAATGCAGAAGTATCACCATTCCCCAAGACTTTACGAGCCTTGCTTTCGTGCGTTTGCCTCTTCCTTCCCGTAACACGCATCGTCGATATCTTCTTACACTTCGCTATCGCTATCTATACACATTTAGATCCCTCCATCTCACGATTCCTTCTTTAGAAGCCCTCGCAAATCTTCCATAACATTATACAAGGGGCCCCGGAGCAGAGGACCATACGTTCTCCGCCAGACTGCGTCAAGTGAGTCTCATACCAGTCAGCCTCACGGAAGCGCAGGCCAGCTCTTGCCAAGGAAATGCCAGCGCAGATGGATACCAGGCTCGCTGGGCATCGAAGGTTGTCCCCTACGTCTATGGGTTTGATGTAGCCAAGTCATCGCTGGAATGGTTTTCGCATGGTATTGATAATTGGCTCTCTATATGTATAATAATAATTGCAATATCACTACTAGCAGCTAGATAGCTGCTCTATCAATCTTTCTATCACCTACCTGGGATGAGGATAATATTCCGCACTTTTACATAATTCAGTACATACGACCATAGGGTGTGGAAAACAGGGCTTCCCGTCCGCTCAGCCGTACTTAAGCCACACGCCGGTGAGTTAGTAGTTGGGTGGGTGACCACCAGCGAATCCTCACTGTTGTATGTTTTTATTTTTTTATTTTTATCTTATAGTTTTCTAGCACTCTTGGAGTTGGGGCTTTCGTAGAAATCGGAGGGCTTTATTGAGAACTTGGTGGACCGCAAGAATACGGCAGATGGGTCACAGGCTGGACCAAATATACTGGCGCGTCAAATCGACCGAGAACGAGTCAAACCATGGAATCAAGCAAGCAAACAAAGCGACATGAGCATATGCATGATCGTGACGCCGTAGATATCAACGCTCTGAAAGGTATGGGCCACAATACCCGAAACCTACATATATCCTTGACATTCGAATCTCTCTTCTTCGGGCTATGTTGACGACTTCTCGCTGGGAATCCTATACAAAATACAATGCCGCGATTGAAATGATAACATAATGCGCAATTAGGGAAACTCCTTCAAAAGCATTCATAGTTGCTTTGATCAGCGAGAGAAAATCGAAAGAAGATCGAGATAAGAGAAGAACTTACTAATTTGACTTGCCGTTCAAAATCAGAAAATTGACGTAAAGAGCACTCCTGAACAATGCTATAGCCTCAATCCACAAAAGTTCAAACTTATCTGGTTTACTCCATTCCCCATCTACGGGCGACTAAGTGTGCCACCTGGATATAACTCTCTTATTAGCTGCCTGACCAGAAGATATCACCTTCTCGAGGTATATATGCCATTTCCATTTGTATTTGTATACTAAGAAAAGGGGTACCTAAGAAGTTAAGGCTCGAGAGGCTAAGGAAGGGCAGTGTACTAAGGCAGCCTAGACTATATACACTATTCTAACACTGTGAACTATGTAGGCTTAGTACTACTTCTTATCTGGTCTTTTATACTACGCTTTTGTAGCTTCTTTCTAAAAACGGAATAAAATAGTTTATAGTATGGAATTACCACAGAGTATATAACTATAAAGTATCCATTAAATTCACTTAGAGTATATATATGGTAAACAAGTTAGTTGAATTCTGACTAGAGACTTTATTTACTCCTAACCCTAGAAAGTGAGAGTGGACTAAATTACTGACATGAAAGAGTTGTGTCTAGGTGGCACACTTATTCGCCCGTACTGGCATCCGAATAGCAGACATCAGCACAAGGTTGGTTGTTCATGATAAAGAAAGGCATAAAAATAATGCGCCTTCTATAGGGTTGTGAGTTGGAATGATTTGCTTGTTCCGAGCCATGGGGGTTTCATTTTATCGCAAGCAGGGTAGACGACCTCGGAGCCTACGTGGTGTCACCAAATCAAAGATGCCAGGTGCTCAACACACCTCACATTATGCCTCTGTGCGACGCCTTAGAAGAAACGAGTGTTCATAGCAGAACATTGTCATCCAATCATACGGTATCTGTTGGATGCATTAATACCATCCATGCAGGGTCAGGTCCCCCTGGGACAGATCTAGGTATACGGCTAGCTCTCTTCCCTCTCCTTCTTCTCTTTGTTGTTTAATCTACATGAGCTGTTTCTCCGTACCGATTCCCTTGAATAATATATATTCATTTGATTTGGATGTAGGATGTAGCTCTCGGCCAACTCTGAGACTTAAAGATCACTTGTCACAAAATTTTGAATGTTAACCCACAAGATATATTTCCTCCACAAATTCCATCAAATCAATGGCTATGCTCACGTCCCGATGTACAACATGATCCTCCCATAGCAGCTCTGGCCAAATTTTCGCGACTCATTGAACGAGGCTCACGAGGCTCATAGACAAACTCGGGCTCAGGGGCTGCATCTCGGGACCATTTGCCAAATTTCCCTCCCTTGTGGTTCTTAATCTTCTGCTCGTAGATCTCGTTGAGCCAGTTGGCTAGGCGGTAACCGCCCTTGGCGACCTGGATCTCGATCGTGCCGATGGCAGAGTTGTAGTATTCCGGGTAGAGATCACCAGTCTCGAGGGCAGCAGCTCCATCCGGCATGACCACAGTACAGATATAGGCATTGGCATCCGCCGCCCATCGAGTGGCAGTCTTGACAGTATGACTGATGTCGTCGCCTTTGGTCCATTTCTTAGCTTGCTTCTTGTAGGCGCCGGCCTTAATCTCATGGACCAAGCTTTCGGCCCATCCCTGTGCATCTTTGAGCGAGCTACCGCCAACCAACTTTGCAGGCATGTACGTATCCCAATCGGAATGAAGATTGTCAGTGTAGTTGTCGAAAGTAACCTTGATACCATTTCCGCCAACCTCATAGTTCTCGTCGTGCAGTGGCTGAGTGAGATCACCAATGATGTGCACGAGGAATCTAAGAGCTTCGGCGGTTTCGGGGTTGCTCAGTTTGCGATTGCCTACACGCTGAGTGTAATTGGCAATGGCGGAGATTGAGCAGCCTTCAGCTGGACAGTCGCGCTCAAAGTCCACATTGCAGGTTGTTGGCGGGTCATCCATGGCATCGATGTAGTGCAATGGGGCTGACCATTTACCCTCATCTGTGAGGCGGTATTTGTCTGCCCAAGAAGCAATGTTTGCTAGGTATGAGTCGGAAGTGTCATTGAGGACTGTTTTGGCCCTTGAAAAACATTAACATATACTCTTATTATTAAGGTCTGAGAATTTACCATTTGGCGGCTTCATGAGACATGTAATGTTGTGCAACGTAGGCTACAGTGGCATGACCTAATGCACCCCATGCATTAGCCCCATGAATCACCCCGAAGGTGACGAAAGCAACCCTTGAGAGAGACACCATTGTTGGGAGATGTCTGAGTGAGTCTCAGTTTAATAGTATGAAGGTCATGATTGCAACTCTGACTGCATTAAATAGTTTTGAATGCCGGCGGTTTCCACTTGACGCGGGTCACATTGTCATGGAGTTAACCGTGTTGCAATAAAAAGAGCATCTCATAGGCTTGTCAGAAGATAACAACAATAATAATTAGCAGCAAGGGGGTTTGATTCGCGACCGAAATTGCGAACTAAATTGCGGGGTCGGCACTAAATATCAGAGCCACCGGAGTCCACCGGAGGTCCAACTATCTCTGACATCTGCAATTAATGAGATAATAGATTGTGATAGAGAAAGGGGGACACGAGGTCTGGAAATAAACGAGAATTGATCTCCAGATAACAGTGAGAAATTCCATAAATAGCAATGTTCTTTTTCTTTTTGCGGGTGAAGTCTTTTACTCGTAGAATACATATGGGAGCGTGACGATTTTGTATAGAACTAGCATTCCTTCACATGACACGGTCATGGTGTCACTTGGCTGTTGCTTGATAGCCACATCAATCTCGTCGGATTAACGGAAGGCGATCAAGTGTCGTGACTCCGTGAGAAAAATTCGCGATGGTTAGTGCGTGGGAGTCGCGTCTTCCGCACTTTGCCTTGCTTATAGAAGTCGTATGTCAGGTTGTCTAACCTGTATTTTGCCGACATTGTCAAGAGGGCGTAGGTTACGCCGCCATCATTCAGTCGACACTTCGTTGTTTGCGACAATGATTCTGTTGTAAGGTTGTAGATGTTCTTGACGTCGGAATGTCTCGCAGTCCGCTGGCTTTCCCGCAAGATACTGAACGGGGATTTGAATGTTTACCGTCGAAGATCGCGTTGGTTCCGTTACCGTCTTTAGATTGCCAGAGTTCTGGCTTAGCACGGCTATTCTCTTATTCGTACGCGGGGTATGTCGCACCTTTCCCTTGAAGATCCTTTTGCTCGATCAAATTTGCGACATATTTCTGCTTGAATCAAGTCAAAAATCGAAAGCACGTTGCAAATTTCCCTGTGTTACTGAAACCGTAACCTCTAGAGTGACAGTGGGCGGGCATTGGCGCATGTCAAGTTGGTGGGATTGAGGGTTCCATCTATCGGCTCTTTTCTGCTTCGCTATGATTCCTTGTTGGGATGGGATTGGCTGGTGTTGTGTAGGTATAAAGGCGAGAAGTGTGTGCGAACCAAAGGAGTGGTTGTGAGAGGCAACGAGTTGTCAGGGAAGAAGTTTGTTCGAGCGTGAGCGGCTCTTAAATTGGTGAATAAGTGGAAGCTCGGTGAGGTTAGTTTGGAGTGTCGGGGATCTGACGTGTCGATCCTATATATGGAAGCCTCCCGATGGAGGTAGATCAGGAAATTTCTGTGATATGCAGATGCAAAGACTAATCCTTTAGGGTTCAGATGATTTGGATCAAGTTGAAAAGTTGAAATCGAGAATCCGTGTCAATGGACTTGCTTCTTCAGTTTTAGCGCTGACATTTTCGGCCCCCTCAACGTGATCATGCGAGGCTGAAAGGCTGTGGCGGTGCTCGTATTAACAAAATCCCCGCGATTGACCTGAACTTCAACTCCAAAATGTCCGGGCTCGAAATTGTCGCGCTTATCCCAGCCATCGTCTCAGCATTCGGGACGATCTCAGTAGAATACAGAGCATGGCGAAAGCAACGCGAAGACCGCCGCAACAAGGATAAGAACCTTGCTTTGCAAAAACGTCTAGCGGGCAACGGGGAGACAGTTCAGAATGAATACGATGAGGATCTTCGACTCCTTGGTCCAGCCTTTCAACGGGGTGATAGTAAGGTTTTCTCTTTGTCTATTTTACTTTTCAGAAAGGCTTCCTCTATACTAAAAATCATCTAGGCATTGGACGAGAGTCCTTAATGCATCACCTTATTATACTCCAGTCGAGTGTCATCTCGCTCCTCCGCGATCGGCAGAACGACATATCTTACATGAGCCATCCAAACCATGATTCTATCAATAAGACCACGAAATCCGCCCGGGATGGAATCGTTAGCTCTCTGTCAGATCAATATCAACGTCTCGCACAAGCACGACCAATCGCACGACTGCCAAGCCCAGCCTCGGTCTCAAATTGCTTCAACACCCCCACCCGCACCACGGCTAACACCAACTTCTACCGCTACAGGTGTGATGAGTGTGGGTGGGGTGAAACATACAGTAAGAGCTCGGTGAGAGTCGTAACGAAGGATGGTCAGCTCCTTGATCCACTGGTGGCCATTGCTCTCTTCCATCATCGAGAACCACTCAAGGCCGAGAAGAACGTGTTCCGATGTTATCTTTGCGAGGAGACTATCTCCCTGCCAACGGGGCTGAAGGGGTTTTGGTCGGTGACTCTAGAGTCAGGGAGTGAGAGGTACGTTTTGTTGGAGGAGCTACAGAAGCATGTACGGAGGAATCATTATTTCGAGGAGTTTTCGTAGCTTTCATCATGTTAGGGCCATTCCAGATTCCTTGATTTCTACCTAGGTATCCTGTGAAACTTGATGCAACAGATTGAGAAATATTTTCACGCATGAGTGGAACTCCGGCAAGAAAATTGGTGAAACCAAACCCTAACTTACTACGACACGTATAAAATTTACTATACATATATATCATGTCACCGAAATAGTGCTGTTGCGTAGCAGTGCGCACTCAAGAGGCAGCTGGACGGCCTTTGGTCAATTGCTTCAAGTGCCTTGAAGTAGCCTAATAAGACTGCACTGCGAGGTAAATCAACAAATTTTGTGCATCCGACGGTAGTCATATGCAGCCACCAAAGCGACAACATGAAAAGCACCGCCAAGCACAGCAAATGTATGCCAGAGCTGATGTGAATGACCCCAAATATCAAACGTCCCGGGGCTCAGTCTCTCTGGGAATCGACAGACGAAAACGCTCACTCCGATCAAGAGAGAGATTGCTTCTGCAAGATACCACCCAGCCCCAATCTCATTACTCGCACGAGTCCAGCCTAACTCGATCACACTTTGAAGAATAGGCAGCATGGCAGAGATAGCGAGCAAGGAGAAGACACCTCCTCGCAGAGTTCTCATTTTGTTGCCTCCACCCCCGGTGTCAAACAAAGTGACAGCAGCGCCAATCGCGGAGAAGATATTGAGTCCCCAATACACCCGCTGGACGAAGGGTCTGCAATAAAATGCGTAATATGTCATAGAAGTACCAGCTCCGAGAGCGAGGAAACAAATGCCGAGAATATCCATTTTACCCCAGAGATGGTGGATATTGTATGAGTGGCTTCTTAGGGTATGGAATCCAGCGCTGAGGGCAAAACAGATGGTTGCCGAGGTCAAGAAGGATCCGAACGCAAATACATCGCCGTGGGTGAAATTGAGGTCTTTTGAGAGCGAGACAGAATAATACAGGGTGAAACCAACAGCGACGAAGGCCATTGAGCCCAGAAGATGAGTCCATATGTTCATTGTTTCCATGTGTAAACAACGCCACAGACGCAAGGATCGTTTGTAAGAATATGTCGGCATCGGATGGCCTTCCAAAATATAGTCATTATCACGTAGCCATCCTGGAATCAAATTTTTGCTTCCAATAGTTGGCCAGTATGACTGGTCATCCGGCTTAGACGTGGTTGTCGAGCTCTCAGTCAACAATTGGGAGTCTTCGCGCGGGGACGGTGTCGCGCGTCGGGTCATCCTTCCAATCTTCTAGGAGTATCCGAATGTGTCAAGCACGACAGAAAGAATGAATTGGAGAAACCGTAGGAATAACCTAAGATATTTTGAGCGACGAAACGATCTTGGCGAATATTTTTCTCTCAAATTTCCAAGCCACTTCTTTTCGCGCGCGACACGCGAGCGTGAAATCTATCACACCAAACACGTGTCACAATTGGCGGATCTAAAATTAGTTCCCGCGAGAGGCTACTAGTAGCTCTCCAATAACGTACCTTACTAGCAATTCTTCTTTTCATCGCTGCGTTTACTGGTTTGTTGGTGTTGTATATCTCAAAAGGGGCCCCGCGTGCTGAACCAAGTCGCACATTGGCCTAAGATGCATGGCACATATCTAAGACTCGAATGAGTTTCGCTTGTTTTAACTTGAGTCTTTATCCTTTGTACGAAATTCACAAACATGCAGATCTCAGGTCGGCGCGCCCTTTGGGAAGGGCCATGCATGCCCCTCGTTTGAGGGACAATCTAGAAATCCACCCGGCGGCTACACGACAATCGTTGGCCAGGATTTCTCCAGATTACAGCAGCGCTGAAAACATGCAGATATATTTTTATCCATGTCCATGACATGGAAATCACAAATTAGGGGCAGAACGAAGAGGCTTGGACCTATGCGCCCATTCCTTTTCAATGACCCCCCATTAGAGGATAGATATGAGTGTTGGCGACTATATATTATGGTAATATTATTTCAGTTGCCCGCAGTACTCACCCCTGCACTTGGTAGACCATTTATTGCGCTTCTCGTTGCGCCATGGATACTGTCTCAAACAATGGCACTGCCGGCTGGGTATCCGGGCCCAACACACGGGGAACGATGGACATTATTTGGTCTTCTCTCTTGACAATCTTTATCTGTACTTGGACGGCAGTGTGTCTGAATCTCCCTAACCCCAAAGACACTCAGTCTCAAATCTTTTATCGCCGGGCGAGGTGGATGTTTTGGGCGATTGTCTCCCCAGAGTTGGTACTTTCTGTTGCCATCGGCCAATATGCCTCAGCGCGGCGATCTGTGAAGCGGTTCCGCAAGCTGGGAATGAAGGAAGACAGATGGACTCTACGACACGGTTTCTATGCCGACATGGGCGGGATGCTCCTTCAGCCTAGAAACAGCACGCCCTTTCTAGTCAACAGCCGTCAGCTGGCGTATCTGGTCGAGAAGCAGTACTTGGAATGCCCACAAATTACACAGAGCGAGATATGGGACAAGTCAAAAACGGATACGCTCGCCAGATTTCTCAGCTTGGGGCAGGCTACTTGGCTGATGATCCAACTCTTTGGTCGTTTTATTCTTAAGCTTCCAACCACTACGCTCGAGCTATCCGCGGGTGCTATTGTGATTTGTACCTTCGGAACCTTTATTTGTTGGATGCACAAACCAAGTGATGTGCACACCGGCATTGTTCTTAGCATGAAAGCTAGCACAGCCGAAATTCTCCTTGAGGCTGGTGATGTCGCCGCTACACCTTACCACCACACACCTCTCGATTTCGTCGCCAAGCAGTCATTCACTTGTGGTTACGACGTCATGCGATTCTTCGGTTTACGTTTTGATGACTGCGAAAGGCCATTGCGACGCTTTCCAAATGACCGTTTCCCTGATATCGGGACGTTTGAAAAATTCTCCCTGTTTTGTTTAACCTCGGCATTTGCTTCCTTTCACCTTATAGGGTGGTATTTTGTCTTTCCCTCTCGGGTTGAGCAAATTCTTTGGCGGATATCAAGCTCTATTGTAACGGTTGCAACCGTGCTATACTGGATTTTCGAAACGATTGCTGCTCGTCAGCGCTATGGTAGGTGGGACAAATACTTGGTCTGGCTGCGGATGAAAAAGCCACCATCGCAGCGACAAATCGATGCAGAGGCCACTCTGGCGCGTCAGGATACTGTCAGTCGCTTGGACGCTTTTGAAAAAGAGCAAAGGGAGGCAAAACCTATCTTACGTTGGGAAATTAGTATCATTCTTCCAATAATCTTTCTGTATGTTAGTGCCCGGGGATATATGATTGTCGAGGTGTTTGTCAGTTTGCGGCGGCTACCAATTGGCGCCTTTACAACTTTTGAAGTTGCAGACATTTTACCTCATTGGTGAATAGATACAGTTCATTTTTCCTTAGTGCTCGGGGTTGAGTCCTTAACGACTAGCCCGAAAGAGAGTTCCCTATAAGGATAATTAAAAACTTTATTTACGAAGAGAAATCATCAGAGGCTGAAGAGATTAGCGAGAAAGGTGAGCACAAAGTACTACGTAGACACCCGCCTTCAGCCTCGGTCGTTCGAGTTTCATGATCTCCTATGAACTTCTGGGGCTATAAACTTTCCAAGGCCTACCAGCACGTTATCAATGACTTGGCTGCTAAGCCTGAGGCCATACCAGTCCGATAGACAAATCTTAGTAAAGACGTAATAATTTTCAATTCATTTTTTCTATCCACTCGCAAATATCCCCATATGAAATGCATCTAGTGGTTCGCCGAAGCCTCAGCCCGATCCTGGACCGACTTAGCAATAGAGGGACGTTCCTGCACCCGCTTCAACCAAGCAACAACATTGGGGAAAGCCTTCGCCATATCCTTCTCCACGTCAAGCTCAAACTGGATAGTAACCAGATACCAAGGAAGGAAAGCAACATCGGCATATGAGAACTTATCACCGACGAGATACTGCTTCCCCTGGAGAGCGCGATCAAGCACGCCAGATACACGACGGATTTCGTTGAGGTAGCGGTCGATTGCGCTCTGCAGTTTCTCTGAGTGATACCGGGTGAACCAAACAGCCTGGCCGAAGTATGGGCCTTGACCGGACATCTGGAAATGGAGCCATTGCTTGGCGAGGTAGTAATCCTTGGAGCCGGTGTCAAAGCTGATGGTGTTTTTCTTGTCGTATGTGTCAATCAGGTATTCGATGATGGCGCCGGATTCCCAGAGCGTGGTATCGGTGTTTGGGTCTTCGATTGCGGGGACACGGCCGTTAGGGTTGATGGACTCGTATGCTTCCTTCTTCATGTCTGGGAAAGTGATGATCTTGTGTGTGTAGGGAATGTTCAGCTCTTCCAGGATCATGATCACCTTCCAGGGATTGGGACCTGGGCCATGGCCCCAGACGGTGATAGGCTTGAGAGACATTGTTTGTTGGGGGTAGTTATTTGGATTGGAGGGAAATAGAAAAGGGAGAGGAATCAATATAGCAGATCAGGAACTGGAACTCTCTTAAACTGATCTTCCCCCTCACCCCACAATTCCAACTCGATTATTCATCTTCTTCATTGGAAGGTTGCAAGGAGGTTGCCCGATGCTCAAATGCACAGGTGGAACTTGATGACAAATGGTCCAATGGGAATGTCACAGAGCCTTGGAAACTTCCAGAGTGCGGAATTTGATTCCTCCATATCGTTACTAGGCAGTTGAAATGCATCGCGTTTACCGACAAGGACCGGTGTTGCCGCCAACCTGAACTGCCGGGCGTCTGCCATGACCCCACGAGTGGGGCCCCGGGGGCCTCATGAATTCTTTGTAATCAGTATTGATCTTCCAATAGACCTCAGAAACGATCATCTCAAAGCTCATAGGAAAAAGAGAGTGACTCTAAAATAATTCGATGTCCAATTGCAAAAGTCAGTAGTGTTGGTATGAAAAAGACATAGTCGATACTTTGACTGTTCATGACTCAGAACATTCGAGCATTCCAAGATGGATTCTTTCATCACAACCGTCTGAGACCAGATGTTGGATTACAGGGAGAAATCATAGTGACTCTTTCTGGCATTTGGAAGAAAGTCTGACGCATCAATGACTCTGCACCCTTATCGGAAAAGCTTTAAACACGAGCCGACTGCACGTAATAGTGGGAACCCTGTGGATATATACTGCTTCCAAGACCGCAGGGCGTATTAGTTGGAATATCATAAGAGATAATGAGGATTACAGAGATAATCAATGATTCCTCTCGAGTAGAAAAGGGAAGATAACGGAGTAAAAACAAGGTTGACGAGCCTCCCCGATCGGACTTGGACATCGGACTAACATCCTCTCCAAATGCACTCTAGCGTTTACACGCTTACACAGCTTTGCAAAATTGTGGAGGTATTTTGAATCTAAAATAGTATCTCATTCGTGATTGAAAATCAATCAGTATGAGGGGATCTGAAAATTTAGTATCGGAATAAAAATCTACATATTCGGACTAACATCGGACTACCCACCAACATGTGAATCCATGTTCTATACCGTACTAGTAAATTCTAGACTCAAATACCCAAAACTATTAGCCTCATGTTGTATTTGATTTCAAATTTTCGATTCTTTTAAGCTTTGTCGTAGAGATGCAAGCCCCGCTTGGGTCATCCCAAGCCACTTCGTAAATCGCAACTCAGCTTCCATCGAGCATTCGTATGCTTGGAAATCAAGCGTATCAGTTGATCTCGGAATATAGGCGACCGTGCGATTTGTACAATATAGAAAGAGCTTCATCATTTTCAGTAGTGGCTAAAGCAGGCCGTTCTTAGCCAACACGGAAGGCAATCCTTGCACATTCCGGAACACGCTATGTGTACGGAGTAGTATAGTTGAAATAATATGTGTCTAGATCACCTGGATCGCCATCTTTAATTCATTAAAGCTCTTTCGGACAAGATCTAGATTTCAACTCCGAAACTCGAAAACCTCTTACTCTCAGGCTCTCAGCGCCCGGTCTAACACGTGGATAATAAAAAGCAAAGCTACACGAGAACTAAAAATTAACTGCGCCCTTTCGCAAGATCTTTCTCAACGTGGAAGTCTTTACGAGTTGCATATCAAAGGGCGTGTGGATGATACACCGCATTGGGAACCCGCACTGTTCGGAGTCATCGTTTAGGTCTAGAGGATGAATACTCATAGTCCTAGAGAATACGCGACTTGATTTCTCAGATATTCTTGACTTTCCACATTCGCAAATTTCATTGGATAATTCTAGTTAACTCAGATATTCTTGGTTTTCCACTCCAGCCTCTAACCTCGTGTAGTCCCCTGCCCGTAAAACTTCAACTCCGACCCTTACTCCGATTCTTAGTGGCTCCACACGTAGGGTGTGACTGACGTGTTTGGGCTATGCCGTGTGGATTTTACAGTGCAAACATCCTAGACTTGATGTATAGTGAGAGTATAAACGTTCTCAAATCGATATATACGATGAGCGCAAACAATTCTATGTGTATAAACATTGTAAACTCGATGTACAGTATTAGTGCAAACATTATAAATTCGATATATACTATGAGTGCAAACATTTACGAGTGCAAACACTAAACTTGCATAGTATGGCTGACGTAGTGGGGCTCTAGCGTATTGAGATTTTTTTTTTCTTTCGGAGTGACAACCTATAGTACGGAGTAAATGATATGGCACATCTGACCCAGCATCTCTATATAAAGACCAATGGATATCCCGTAGAAATAAACATTCCATTCCAATTCATTCCAAAGCATCAGATCCCAAAGACCAAAGTCTCATCCTTCTCGCATCTTACTCCGAACTATAAACACCAAACCAACTCATACTTCGTTATACATTCATCGTCAACGAGCCCTCCAAATCCTCAAGCAATCTCTCAAAATATCCCACACATACAAAGCATCAAACAACATCCAAGATGTTCTCCAACTCCTCCAACTCGTCTTCAAAGACCACATCGAGCGCTGCCTCAACACACTCCACCGTCTCCACTGCCACAACTCTCAATACACGAGACGCATCAACCAAGAATCACAAGTGGTACTCGCTAGGCTCGAAGTCTTCTGATTACAAGAATAATGCTGCAAGCATTGAGAAGAAGCGATTGCACAATGAGGCTCTTGCCAACTACCTCAGCATGCGCTAAATGGTTCGAAACAATCGATGCGTCTACTTAGGTGTCGATTACTATTACGCCCGATTGATCTACTCGTGATACATGGATTAGATGCTTCAGGGCTCTTTTTTCTTGTCTTTTGTCTGCTTTTTTGCTTGAGTTGTTGGATTTGCTTAGATGATATGCGCTGCGTCGATTTCTGGGTGCATGCTTTCGCCCCTTTCGCTTCAACGATGGAATGATTTGGATACCACATACTGTGTTTAATAATTTGTGATTTACGTTTATGTCTGTGTTTTGTCTTGGCGACTTTCAGCAGTCGTTGTCTGGGCTATTTGGCTGGTTACTTGTTGTTTAATATGCCTACAAATAGAGGAATATGTCTTGTGTTTAATTCGTTCTCAAAAATTGTTCTCATTCAACTCAAGTTCTCCATTTCAATTATTGATAGTGATGTAGTATGTAGTATTTGGTATTCAGTAGCTCGTATGAAACAGTAATCATTATGGAATGTACGCAACAAATGCATGAAAAAAAACGCCAGTACACCATGACAAACGCTCACAGGAGACAACTTGGAACTCTATGCATATATTACAACCCAGCCATCAACTCTCCCATAGATATCGGTTTCCGGACCGCATTCGAAAAGCCTTCGTGGAAAGTAACCCAGACTTTCCGTCCAGCCTTGGACGACTCATCAGCCCAGACATCTGGATTGTTTGGATCATGGGGCTGTGGCGCAGGCTGCTCAATCGCCCGACCAAAGAAGTCACGTTTGACAGCCGCGTCCCTTAATATCTTGGCTGCGGCCGCATCTTCGGAGTTCCTAGGACCCTTGGCGCCGAGTCTAGATGCGCTCATGACATCAGACTGCTTGCGCGTTGTCGCCTTGCGATACTCTTGGTCTAGCACTTGGCGGATGGCGTACCGCACCGGCGCTGTACCACCCGAAGTCTCGATGGTGCTGCCTTTGATCTTGGAGAAGACCACAAGTGAGTCGATCGGTCTGTTTGATGATATATTAGCTTTGTATGTCTCAGGGAACATTTGGAATACACTAACGGTTCCATTCTGTACGCCCATCCACCATGGTTTCCTTCATGTTCCACTCGAACTCTTTCAAATATTACGCCCATCCCGGTCATAACACGCACGGTAGACTGGACAAGGGCACGTTCGGACTCTTTTCGGACGGTGGCGGTGCTTCTCTGTTCTCCGTTTCCGCGGATGATGACCGGCTTGACGTCCGGTGATAGCATGCGGATCAAGTAAGGGACTAGATCTGTGATTATACTTTCGTTCGACCGGAAAAGGCGAGCCATAGGTGCCGAGAAGGATGCGTGGAATGCAGTCATGGCGGCACGGTTCTGTTTTTGTGCTTCGAAGGCAGCAAAGTCGGCCTTGGGTCCTGAGAAAGGATGGGGCTCTTCGGCTTCCTCGTCATCTTCATTCTTGTCGTCATCGGTGGTTCTACCAGTAGCCGTAGCAAATAGATGATGGAATGCAACAACCGACTGGCTGAGGTATGGAATCAGTTCCCATTCTTGAGATGAATGGACTTTCGAACTGATTGAGTCATGGAAATGAAGCCATTCGTGGGCGGCGTTGGGTTTGGAGAAATAATTATCATCCTGGTATTGCTGGATGGGATATGAAGCGAAGCAGTCCGATACACAGCGGTCATGATCACCGCTGGAATCGACCATTTCCCGCAATCGGTTGATTGCGTGTCGCTTGCGCAGATCCGCCACGCCAACTGGAACACGGCTGTTGTTGGTATCAAAGCGATCTTGGAAACTCATGCCAACAGGAGCATCTGAGAAGCCGGCTCCCTCTGTGAACACACGGTTCACAATCTCACGAACGCCTCCACGACTTAACTCTTTGAAGAACGCGCTACCCTCAGCTGATGCATTGAGGACTCGGTTCTCCAGCCAGTTCCTCGTCAGTCTGAGCGAGGATGGCGACGATTCGTTTCGAAGTTTGTGCGCCACAAATTCTGCGGCAACAAGCACGCTACGAATATCGCCCTCGGCAGACCCTTGGGTTTTGGCATTGCGGTTTCTTTTGCTCGCCATACCCCAGGCTGCCTCACAGAGTCTTCGAGCTCCATCACTGTCACAGGGGATGCCTTCGCGGCCGAATATAACCTTGACTCGTTGAACAACATTCTCCAATGGTGCTTGGCGGACATTGATCATCTCTGCAATGGACGATGCCCTGAGAGGCCGGAGACTGCTGTGATAGAGGTCATTGCAAACCAAAATCAACGGCCGCATGAATCGGAAGTTGTCACCCTTGCGCTTCTTGCCATTATTACCCTCCGAAGACCACTTCGCGTTCCGTTGATCAAGCAAAACAAGATCAATGAGGGCTTTCATGAAACCGCCCTCACCGCCACTCCCAGAACCACCGGTGACACCGTCGACTTCGTCCACCACGACACATACGGGTTTACCGGCACGGCGGACTTTTTTCTCGCCAACCTCCACGTTCATACCTTTGACGTTCTCGGTTCCCAGTGCATCACGAATGCGGCCTTTGACCACATCCCTGCTGCGGTCATCACTTGCATTGATTTCAAGCACCTCGAATCCAGCCTGTCTGGCACATACATGCGCTAATGTCGTCTTTCCAAGTCCGGGAGGGCCACTCAATAACAGAACCTTTCGATGGATGTATTCTTCTTCATCATCCTGGACAGGCTTCTTCGCTCGAGACTTGGCCAAACCAGGGAACACAATTGACTCCCATCCCTTGAGCCAGCGTAGGACTGATCGATGGGTGCGTTCATCTCCAATGAGATCGGTGAATTTGCGAGCACGGTATTTCTCTGTCCACATTGCAGAGTCTATCTTCTTCTGCTTTGAGCTCACATTGGTCACTTCGATGGTTTGCTGGACTGGAGGTTGAGGGATTGTGGTCGTGGGCTTTTCGTCGTTGGCGGCCTCATCCAACAATTTGTGGATGTCGATACCGTAATAGCTCTTCTTCGCCTTTCCAGGTTCTGTCTCAGATCGACTGGCGATCATTTGTTTATAAGAAACGGGCGCCTGGGTCTTCTTTTGCGGGATATTATGGGTCTTGCCAGCACAAGTCTTGATCTGGAACCGTTTGGGGGCCGTTGGAGCTGGGCGAGGTGTCAATTGTAATGGTGCTTGGGAAGAGCTAGGTGTAGCATTGATCGTCCCGTTCAAATTCGTAGATGCCGGCAGCCGTGCCTGTATACTAGGGAGTTCCGCCGGAGGCTCTTGAAAGAAGTGCTCGGGCAGGTCATATTGATTGTTCATTTGCTCGTCCCGGAAAGCAGCAAGATCGTCTTCGTCACCGTCATCGTCATCAACGAAGCCTCCAACCATGCGCTGGCGCTTCGGCTCCGTCGGCTGCACGCCTGCCTCCGCATTTGTGACTTTTCTCTTCTGTGAATCATTTATCGCATTTCCAGATGTGGGTGCAAGCGCGCCTGGGGACGCTATGAATGGCATTCTCGAAACGGGCGGCGAAGATGGCATGAAAAAGAGATTTTGAGTAGGAGTGCGAGAAAGTGGTCTCGGGGTCGTAACGTTCTTCGTTGGCGTATCTACTGTGTGGTTGTCAGTGCCACTATGCCAGGCAATGCGGGATTGGGATCGCAAACCAGGTCGTATGTCGTCTTCGCTGCGAAACACATCAGATAGGTCCCACGCTCGATGTTGAATCACGACTCGATTGCGGGTTTGTTCGCGGCGGTGCAGGTGGATTGCCTCGAGATCGTCGGAGAATGATTCGGATGGCGGGTTTTGGTTGCCAGGACCTTCAGAGTGGAGATGAAGGGCAGGATCAAACGAGGATAGGAATGATGGTGAGGAGGGAAGCATTCAAGCGTTCGGATATCTCATGTCATTGAATGGTCTCCGATGTAATTCCCCTCTGATAGACGCGCGACGCGTGCAGAACACGCTAGTCCCGTTTTGGCCGCATAGTCCTTTTAAGTCCTTTTACGGGTTCTTCTTCAAGGCCGTGGCTGCAAATGTATTCAAGTTGTGTTTAATTTGTAGGCTAGATTCTTTTGAAATTAAAGTGTGAAGTTTAAAGCAGTCGATTATTTCCACGGAAATTGAAATCAGATCAAAAATGAAGGAAATTTGGTATTGTAGACCAAACCAATATTGGTTTTAGTCCTCTAGTCAATGGTATACTGTAAGGTTCATTTAACAAACAAAAAGGGTACATGCATCAACCTGCTCGATAGGTCATGATACAAAAGAGAGAGTATTCGTGCGACCAAATTAGGCATTTTTGACCTTCTCGGTAAGTTCGGGCACCTTGTCAAACAAGTCACCGACGAGGCCAACATCAGCAATCTGGAAGATGGGAGCCTCGGGGTCCTTGTTGATGGCAGCAATGACCTTGCTGTCCTTCATACCAGCCAAGTGCTGGATAGCACCGGAGATACCGGCACAGAGGTAAAGCTGAGGAGCAACGTTCTTACCAGTCTGACCAACCTGCAGACTGTTATCGGCGAAGCCACTGTCAACAGCAGCACGCGAAGCACCAATAGCAGCGCCGAGGGCATCCGCCAGCGGAAGCATGACGCGGTCAAACTCCTCCTTGGACTTCAAGCCGCGGCCGCCAGACACGACACGGGTGGCTGTGGCGAGCTCGGGGCGCTCTGACTTGGTCAGTTCCTCGGACACCCACTCGGTCATCGCGGGGACGTTGGGGTCCGATCCGTCGACGATCTCGGCGGAGCCGCCCTCGATCTCGACACCCTGGAAGGCTGTGCCTCGCACTGTGATGACCTTGACGTTGTCGGTCGACTGGACGGTCAGAATGGCGTTGCCGGCATAGATGGGGCGGACGAAAGCTGAATTATGGTCAGTGGCCGGATCACATGTCAAACTACTTTCTCGGCTTTTCACATACTGTCCTCGCTCTCGATGCCGGTGATGTCTGAAATTTGCTGGACATCCAAAAGAGCAGCCACGCGGGGCAGCAGACTCTTTCCGAAGGCAGTGTGGCCTGCAACGACGTGGGTGAATTCGCCCTTCTTAATGTTCTCGACGAGAAGAGGGGCATAGTTTTCGGAAAGGCCCTGTTGTACAAGAAATCCAATTGTTAGCTCCTTCTGTAGAAATTGATTTCGGAAGATTCTTGGGTGTATACCTTTTCGTATGCGTCATTATCCACGGCCAGCACCTTCTCAACGCCCTTAATCTTAGCAGCCTCGGCAGCCGAGGTACCCTTGACACCGGAGCCAGCAATGAAGCCCGTTACTGAGCCACCGAGCTTCTGTGCAGCCGCAATTGCGGACAAAGACGAAGATTCCAGCTTGCCATTGCGCTGCTCGAGAACGGCGAGGGTCGAGAGGAGGCGGGCGAGCGCCGAAGAAGCGGGCTGGCTCAGCTTCCAGGTGGGTTGGAGCTGAGAGCGGGCAGCCCGCAGGACAGAGTGCCTAGCGATCGGAATCATAATGACAACTTGGTGGAATGAGTTGGCGATGTTCTTCCAGGCGTGGGGAGAAGAGCAAGATTGACGCTCGGCGATTCACGGTGATGTGACTTTGGGTGGCTATCGTCGGGATGCCAAGACTGGCTCCCCGAGGTCGGACTCGGTTAATGCGGTGATCATACAGCCTGTTGATTCCTCGAAATGACGCATGCGCCGGCGATGGAAAGGACTTGATATATTACTCTATTATGTTGTATCTCACTTTAGTTGGTCTACTGTTAGATTGATTTCAATTACTGGCACAATATAAATTGTCGGAACAATAGACACGTGATATTTTGTACGCCAGAAATACCTTTACATGCAGAAAACATTAAGAGCTATAACAATCATGAAGTGGACTTTCTCTTCTTCTTGCCACCAGTCTTCGTTGCGACCGGCTTGCTTGTGTCACCATCCTCGAGAGCCTGAGCCTTGAGCTGCTGGAGCTTCTCTTTCCGCGCAGCCTGAGCTGCAGCCTCCTCCTCATCTTCTGCGGACTTGGTCTTCTTGGTCTTGTTCTCTTCAAGCAGCTTGCTGTCTCCAGCGGACTTGCGCTTCTTGGAATCCTTGATAGCTTCGGTCTCGGGGGCGGCTTCCAGGACGTTGGCATCCTCCACCCACAACTCATCAGCGAGCCAAATGGGCAGGGCCATGGTGTTAGCACCCTTGATGTGAAGAGCCTTGATGTTTCTCCAGCCCTTTGCGACGAACTTCTCGGTCAGACCGTTGACAACAGCGGCAATATTCTCAGACAGCTGCTCGGGTGTGAACTTGGACGAACCGACCCGGACGGCAGCGGTGGTGGAGGGTGCGAGCTGCACGGAGGCGCAGTTCAGGGTACGCTCGATCTCCTTGGCGACAATAAGAGGAGAGGCGAAAGAGGCGTGCTTCTCTTCCTTGGCGGTAGAGTTGGGCACCTTGGGATCCTTCTTGACCCGCTTGCCGTCGACCTTCTCAATCTCGGCGATACGGATGGGAATCGGGCGCTTGCTAGACTTGTAGAAGATCTTTCCGAGACTCTGCACCAGGCGCATGGCGATACGGTCATCAGCCAGGAAGACATCGTGCTCGGCGAACAATTGGCGACGGCTCTCGAAGCTCTGGTAGCGGGCCTTAAGTTTAGAGAAACCGATGACCTTCTCGATACGGGATGAAAGGCCCTGGGGGAAGGATGGGTCGGCAATGATATCTTTAACGCCACGCTGGGGATCGGCAGTAATCAGACAGATGCTGAGGGAGGGGGATGTGTTGAGAGAGTGAGGGATGCTGATTTTGCCGGGCTTCAGGCGGTTCTTGTCGACCACATGCTGCTTGGTGGTCAGAACGAGCCAGATGGCTTCGTTCTTGGTCGCGCTAGTCTCGTCATCGGAGTCATCGTCGCCAATCAGAGTCTTCTTGGTGTTGGTCTTCTCCTGTTCCTGCTGGGTAGACTTGATGTGCTTCAGCAGCGCAGTGGAAGCTTTGAGGGCCTGATTGAGAAAGATAAGTACTTTGCGAAATTGATTCTTGGGAGTCATCGATACTAACCTGGGGCTTATCAAGCTGGTAAGGGGAGCCCGAGGTCACCTTGGAGGTGAGTTGAGTAGTAGAGGAGCCCATTTTAGTAAGTTGTACACTCGATGAACATCTCCAATTTTTTTGCAATCATATCGGGACTCAAAAAAATTCGGAAGGCGGTGGCAGTTCATCCGTGCTTGGCAGTTCCAGACCCCAGTTGGTGCCTGAGGCCTCTATCTGTTATCAAGGGCTATTTGTATGGGATTTTGAGGAACTGAAAAATCAAGTCTCGCAAAAACATCTCAAAATATGTTTTATCACTACATTGGACGAAGTGAGGCTATATAAACGGCTTTGTGTCTATCTTGTACCTTTCAAGTGCAAATCTTGATCGGCATATAATCGAGAACAGGTTGACCTCGTTGGCTTGTTCGGATTTTCATATCGAAATCGGAAATAGGATATCCCAGAGGCTCACAGGACTCGAAAAAAATTCATGTCCAAAAACAAACAAAAAAGGCGCCATCGCGGTGGAACGATACCGTGACCAGCGGCAGTCAACTTTTCGTCAAAGCAAAAATGAACAGGAAATATATATTCCACGCTGATGTGGATTATAAAGACATGCCAATTTGCAGCATCTACCACACCTACCTAAGTACTCTGAGAATTCGAGATTTTCCAATCCGACCTTACTGTCATGAAACCTGTACTCTGCGTGGAGAGCGGATTGAGCCATATATGGGACTAACGGTGAGGGAGTGGTAGCGACATGTGAAATCAGATAGCGGGCCTTATACGTCCATGGATCATATGGGTACCCCTGGACGGCTAAAGATCTAGAGCGATAAGGAGGCTCTCCAGCTGTTGCTCATATTTTACAGACCTCATGGGACCCCAGAGTGTCTTAATCTGAATCATTAGGTTTGTTCCCTTTTGGTAGCTTTGATTGTATCTCAGGGTAACTCCGAACCAGCTAATGAACGTGTTCGGATGCGTTACGGGATAGTATGCGGCTAGAATAAGCTCGAATGTCACCGCAATTTAAGGCCGTTTCATATTGTCTAAAAATATGCACCATGGAATACTCCCTCGCTTCTCCGGAAAATGGAATCTCTCAAAAATTGATCGCCACCTTATAGAGTGCCAAGTCCAGCACGGCTTGGGTGACTATTTATAGACAGCTAGGTTGGATCTCCGTGTAGATCAGACCGTTGTAATATATGTTGATAAGGAACTTGAACTATTTCTATATGTTGTAGGAAATGGTCCATTCAAAGTAGCCAAAGTAGCCATCAATTTTGCGATTTATATTGGTATGTTGAGGTGACCGAGCATGAGAAATTGCGGATATGGCACACCCCGAGACACAGAAGCCGTGATAAAATCGGAAAATGAAACCCTATGCGAGATTTTAAATTAACTCACATGATACGAACGGTGGTCCCCGAGAAGCCGAACTGTGGACAGTCTCCGGTTTTAATATATGAGAGAAATGCTTGAATGTTAGCCGAACGGAGCATGATATATATCGAGATACTAGTTACATATAATATTCTCCGTACGAAATATATATCTCCTAGGGAGCCGCGCAAGCCTCTTCTCTTGATATACAACGTAAGTATCCTTAGTCGACCCCTGAATCTGATTTAAAACACCAAGTAGAGAAAAGGAGTTGGGGTCGGCAGATGTTACAATCGTTGCAGTAGGCACCAGCTTAAACAAAGTTGAAAGAATCGGAATGATCGGAGGAGTGTGGAGCTGAATATTCGCGCCCGTGAGGGTAGCTTTCATGTCTTGTTGGTTTTGATTGTTTAGTTGAATATAAATGTAGCGACTGTGGGTTGAGTAGCATTCTACGTTAAGCCAAAAGCATATATTGATCAAATGGCCGCCTCGGCCGTTGTATCTTGTATGGAGAACGAGGAGAACGTGGGCGACTCTGTCGGATGATTCATTTTCCCGCGTTATTGATACTTGGGATACATAATACATTTGGTTGATTTAGTGTGATTCTAGAGGTAAGAGGGTGGGTGCTATGACGCGGACAAGGCCGTGCCGTCCAGGTAGGATTAAGATTGCTGTGGATCGACGAGTCCGTCGGCCTCTAGCTCGCCTATCATTATTCCACTGAGCCGATTATCAAAAGAAAGTGGATGGGCGGAGCAATTTTCGGCTACTAGAGAGTATGGAGATTATGGAGAAGTGCGTGAATTTAGAATTTTAAAGCGCGGAGTCGTCATCACTACAGGCTATGATTATAGCCTAGGGAGTACAACGTACCTATGTACTTCGTACCTCCTGACAAATTAGGGAATTCGTACCATAGTTAAAGAATGCGTTGTGGGCTGATATCTCATCTCATTTACGCCGAGGTTCGATTTGTTATATTATCGAATTTGGCATTGGATAGGCTGGAATTTGAGTCCAGTTGGTGTGATATAAACCGGTCTAGGAACCGAGCAGGGGAAATCCCCTTGCTGGGCTACACCGCATAAGTCTTGGAAAGGCTGGGCGGGGACAGAGTAGATCGGTCATGTTGTCAGGGGGTGAAAGCCTTATTACCCCTGGGATATATACAACATTAGTTAAGAGGCTTACAAAAGAATTATAGGGGGAAAGGTAACTTCAATAGCGTGTTTTAATATATTGCAAAAAAAAAAACAATGCCCGTGGACAGTACTCCGTACTCCGTATTTCCTTTGGAGAATATCCATCAAATTCTCCCGGGTACCCATGGATACGCAAGGAATTTCGGCAGACCATGTGAATATCTGATTGGTGTACCTGAATTCTGGGGCCCAAAGGGTTGATGTCGCTGATTGGCTCCCCCTGGCAGTTTTTAATCTCGTTTTAACGCCAAGGCACTCAAAAAGGTAAACAAAAGAAAAGAAAACCTGCCTCGCCCATGGATTTCAGTCATAGAACTTCTTAGGCTGGGAGAAAGTAATGTAAACATGACTTGTTATGGAGTAAAAATATGGTATTGAATATGCCAAGCAAACGAGTAGCATCCAGACTCCAAGGGCTCTAGGGGTCCACTACCAAGAAGTAGGCAGTGTGAGACAAGTATCTCAAAGCCGTACCTGCCCCTTTTCCCGTGACTATCACGCTAACGATATCGGGAAATGGGATGAATCGCCCCCCTCCTTTTTGTCTCTCCTTGACTTCTTCTTCCCCAGTCTTCGCAGTCCTTTCTTGAAGTTTTCCCACACCAGAGGGATTCGTTCTCTCCACATTCTTTTGAAAACAGCTGTCTTTTACTCGACTCTCTACGACACACGCGAATACCCCCTGATGTATGTGCCATTTCCCGTTTTATCTCTATATAATGCAGTCGCGATAGGCTGTGGTCTGGATTGTTGTGCATCGAGGAAATGTACAGACGATTGTGCACAACAGACGCGATATATGGCACTCGACCGCGTCCAAGCTGCCGTATATGATGCAAAACCATTCGACGAAAGGAACCATGGATTTGAACACAGCTAATACATCATCAGCAGATTCCCACCGCTACAATGAAGTTCCAAAACACCGTTGCCGCATTGGCGACGGCTGGCCTCGCCACCGCTCACGGCCACGGCCACGCTCACGCCCACAAGCGCGCTACTGAGACCGAGATTGTTTCGGTCCCCGGCCCTGTTGTGTATGACTTTGTTGTCCTGGATCCCGCCAAAGCCAACGGCCCTCAGTCCATCACCATCGAGGAGGCCTGCGCGGGTCTCGCGAACCATGAGCTTGAGTGGCTCGACTCTGCCGTTGCTGCTGCTTGCCCAAGTAGCAGCACAACCACCGCCAAGCCCACCTCGACTACCACGTCCGCCCCAACAACAACCGCTACCGTTGCCCCTGCCATCCTCCAAGAGACCTCGGCTGTTATCAACCCCCCAGCTCAACCAGCACAGCCCAGCCCACCAGCAGCACCACCACCACCACTAAAGCGGCTGCTCCTACTAAGAGCTCTTCGTCCAGCTCGAGCTCCGGTGCGAAGGGCCTGACCGCCAACTTCCCCGACGGAGAGATCGACTGTGGTGACTTCCCTTCGGATTACGGTGCTATCGCCCTTGACTATCTTGGTCTTGGTGGTTACTCCGGTATCCAGTACGTCACTATCTTCGATGACCTGGTCAGCGATATTGTGACTGCCGTTACTGGTGATGAGTGCCACCACGGTGCCATGTGCTCCTACGCTTGCCCCCTGGATACCAAAAGTCCCAGTGGCCTACCATCCAGGGTGCTACCGGCCAGTCCGTTGGTGGTCTCGAGTGCAAGCTCGATAACAAGCTCTACCTCACCAACACGAAGCACAAGCAGCTTTGCATTCCTGGTGTCGGCGGTGTTCACGTTAAGAACAAGATGTCCCACGACGTTGCCGTTTGCCGTACTGATTACCCCGGTACCGAGTCTGAGACTGTTCCTCTCTCCGCCTCCCCTGGCACCGTTCACGACCTGACTTGCCCCAACGGTGACGACTATTTCTTCTGGGAGGGCAAGGTCACCTCCGCCCAGTACTACGTCAACCCCAAGGGTGTGTCTACTGAGAAGGCTTGCCAGTGGGGTGATGGCACCGAGCCCATCGGTAACTGGGCTCCCATCAACCTTGGTGTCGGTTACACCAAGAATGGAAAGTTCCTGTCCATCTTCCCCAACACCCCGACCACCACCGAGACCCTTGACTTCAACGTTAAGCTTGAGGGTGACAACCTCAGCGATGAGTGCCGTTACGAGGATGGCAAGTTCTACGACTCCAAGGGTCCCATCAGCGGCAACAGCGGCTGCACAGTAAGTTTTTTGTCCCAATCCTCTCAGTTTGCAAATTTCCATACTAACATATCTCCCCAGGTCGGTGTCACCTCCGGCAAGGCCTACTACGTCTTCTACGACTAAACGTCGCAACTGCTTTTTGGTCGGCGGTCCTCACACTGCCAGCGAAACTCGATGAGCTTCCTATGCTCGAATTACACTAGGGCGAGCAGAGCTCCCGCTTTCATCCCACTTCCCTGTGTGCATCTGTCTATATTCACGGCTTCTTATTCGAAGGATCATTATTCTTTTCTGTGTATCTTAAGTTCTATTTTGTTTCATGTGTGACTGGGCCCGAAATCCAATCCTCGTTGCATCCTTTTTTGTTTTATTTCTTATGACCATATTTTACCCCCTGGTCAGACACATTGATGGGAGCGATATCTTTTTTTATTTGACGGCTAGATTTACCTTCTTTATCTTCAAGTACCAATCCGTTCTTGATTTCAAATCTATCCCTCGTTCCCTTCCCTTTCATCTTTGTCCTGGTGACTGGATCTTCCTACCCCATGTTTTTTCTTTGGACTCTTGGTTACTTGCTTCCTCCTATGCTTCGCTGGAAGTGAAATGGTTCGAGTATATCGATTAATTCAACAGGAGAAATCATGGCACACAGCTGGTTCTGTAACAGTCGGTCATCGGCTGGCCGCTCTTGACTTGGCCTGGCATCCAACCAGGAGTGATCTAGTCCACCAGATATGCACTGTCTGTCTTGATACAGCTATCTTCTTCATCCTTCGAATGCTATTCTGCAGTTTCCTTTCATATTCTCTCTCCCATTATAAAGTAGATGCCAGAGTTACCTACCTAATCCAATGGCAGTCAATGCAGGGGTCCTCTAACAAAACACATGTCGCATGCGAGTCAGCAACGTGTGACATATACCAACCTACTATTTGAGCTACCTACAGTTCCCCACAATGTGAGGGACCAGCTAATTATTAGTGTGGCGGCAAGCGCTTGTATGTGACACATCGCGTACATGATGAAACGCCAGATGCACAACCCCACCCGGTAGCTATAGCATGCATGGTTGCGTCATTGTTTATGCCTCTATTAGCAACAGAAATAAATCCATTCAATGATGTATGTCGCGGCTTCCTTGGAAGGAATTTGTCTATACAAACTTCGGGATTCCCGATAATCACGTGCTGATATATATAGGAGCCAAGCCCTAATAGATCGTGACATTTCAGCATGAAGGTGTTTTTGAACGCCAAGAGCACCACATAACTGCTAAGGAAGAAGTTCGGGCTTGATGTTACACGAGAGCATTGATATAGTTACAGTTTTAGATTTAAAGGTGTACTTATCTAATGACATGCGTGAAATCGTTGTCCTTCATGCAAGCCTTGCCACACAGACAGCAACGTAACTATAACATGCGCCCGACCGCTGTAACCTCATCCTCCTGGTTTGCGACCGAGATATATTAGGTGTTAAGACCTCGTCTTTCCCCACACGCGTCTTTCCTTCGAGTTTCCGACAAACCTCAAAACCTTACTCATCTACACCCACTTGGTCGGGCTAGACGGCTGGGTGGAGTTACTTGGTCGTTCTGTCGACCACCAATTTCATATGAACTATACTGCAGAAGAGGTCTCATCTAAGCAGTCCAACATCTAGGCTTTAGTTCTAATTGATATCGGTGGGGATACTTTTGAAGAAGAGGTTTGCTGGTGGTGTGCCATTTCTGACGATGGCTGGCACTGGAATCCAAAGAAACAGCATCTCAAAAGCTGTATTGAGGTTATTGAGTTGCGGGTTTGCGATTATTTGCAAGGCAAAACGGAGTGAGTTGAAATAAATGGCCGACAAGGCCTAAGAAAGGAATACATAAGCAACCATTGACTATTCCTGCAGCTCGGGGAGGGAAGGGGGCTAACAGTTCAATCCAATGAGAAAAATACATTATAGAACTAGAGCAGGAAATGGTCATTGCTTCATTACGTTGGTTTTTTGTATTACATCTCGTCATGGTTTAATATAATTTTCACATTGTACCGTTTTATATAACCGTTAACCACATGTGTTAGACCTATATATTAGGCAAGGGGATTTTGCGAGAGGCATAACTCCACAACTAATATGAAATCAGGTAGGAAGTACTCCGTAAATTACCCAAGAAGCTTCTTTGGATTTTCCCAGCCTTGATGAAGACCGGTGAGGTTAACTATGCCAGAAAACATAGTAAAAAACCTAACTACCCGAGGCCCCACCAGTTGTCAACAAAAGAAGACCCATGCAAAAACTAGGGTGTTTTGTCATTTTCATTTTTTCGGATGTAATTGGTCAGGAATTTAGCACAAATGCCCTTGGAGGGAAAGCTTTCTAATTTGACCAAGGAGCCAAAATGAAGGTATCAAGGTGGTCGGGCAAATGGCTGGGAGACGCGACGAGGTGACCGGTGATCAAATTGACAGTAAGTGGGGGGTTAGGGGGGTTAGGGGTTTGCATTTTCTGCTGGGAATTTATTGTATACCCTAGTACTACATATAGTACTTCGTACTAGAGTAGAGTACTAGCTAGGTATCAGTTCGGAGAAACCTGCTTAAATTTCACCATTGACTTCTGAGACTTGAATAAGCTGACAATTTAAGATAGAAAATATGTTGCACTCATTTTTTCGAAATCATTCAAGGGGCTACCGGCTAAATAAGAACAATTTTGAGGTCAATACCATTCCTGACACATCCTCAAACCCGATTTACTGTCTCGCGTGGGGTCACGTGTTTTGAGACGCGGACGCGCCGCAGTGTATAGACCTTGACAGCACGGATTAAGAGGAAACAAACCTCCAATTCGCGCCTTTTCACGTTTTTGTCTTTCAATTTATAAGTCACCATTTGTACAATACTTAGAGGCAGCAATTGAAATCGCGAATCTGCAGTGGAGTGTGGTTGGCGCCTATCGAACGCGTCTCGGGCTGTAAGCGTGCATTTCCGCGCAGGGTGGACAAGACGCCTCCGCCCCAGGGCATTCCACCACACACCTTTCGACCTTTTTCTTCAATGCTTCTCCTCCTTACTCCTTGACCAATCTCTTTCATCCCACCACACCCTTTTCTCTAGGGGAGGCCTTGAAGTCTTTCTCTTCTTCAACACTCTCTAGTTTCTTCTCTGTGTTCCTATAACACGCGGAGACGCGGGTCCTCGACCTCGACTCAGGTTTTTTTTTTTCTCGTGAGTAGGAGAGCTCGTTCGACTTCGTCCCACCTTTTTTTCACTATGGAGTCCTCTCCGTTGAAGAGCCGAGTTGGCTCTATCTTGGGCGTGAAACGTCCTGCAGCTCTACTGCCTGCCTTTGAGCCGAGCTCGTCGCCCTCCCTTCCTCGGCCTCAAAAGCGTGTAGCACGCGAACCAGATGTCTCGACGTATCCCACCCCGGTCCCGACCTCGTCGACTCATATCATGTCCTCTTCGCCTCCTCCTGGCGTCGCTGCCTCCCGACCCGCCCTGTCACGGTCCTTCTCTGCCGCCCTCGAACGCGCTCCCTTGTCTGCCGTGCCCGCCATAATGTTGTTGGAGAATGGGGAGCCGATTCTGATGGGAAGATCCAGTGTCTCATGCCACCACCAGCTCGCTGCTAGTCGGATGATCTCTCGTGTTCATGTCAAGGCTACATACAAGCCAGCTCCAAACCCGTTCGATCGGGATAGGGTTGAGATCGTGTGCATGGGATGGAATGGGATAAAGATTCACTGCCAAGGGAGGAAATATGATCTGGCCAAAGGCAAGACCTTTACCTCGGACATCAAAGATGCAGATATCATGATAGATGTCCACGAGGCTCGCGTTCTGGTTCAATGGCCTCGCAATGAACGAAGGGACTGCCCCTCTACCGACTCGGAACAGACCAGTGACGAAGCAACACCAACTCAGCGACGCCAATCCCGACGAGAGCTGCAGGAAAGTCCACTCCTGGATCGCCAGCGTCTGGCATCGCCTGTCTCCCCTTCGCCTGCTGCTCAGCATGCCATCCCCCCATCCTCGCCAATTTTCACACCTTCTCGTTCTCGTGCTGCAGTAGTAGTGTTCGAGGATGAGCCTTCTCCATTGAAGCGTCACAACACCGTCACTGGAGTGATGTCCCAGAGTGCCCGCCATGCTACTGCTATGCTGAACCACACCTCGCGGGCAAGCGAGTTGAGCGACCTGAGTAGGTCTGAAGAATTCTCCGACAACGACGAAGAAAATGATCCTATCATCCACTCCTTTGGACCATTCGGAGAGAACCTTCTTCCTCGTATGGCTTCTTTCCGGGCGGGTGATTCCCCCGTTCACACTGCTCGTTCTCCTCGCAGCCTTCTGCCCGCCCAACCTCTCCAGCCTACCCGGTCCCCTAGACAGCCAGCCACCGTCCACGAGGACAGGGAATTCGAGACCCCCGAGGTCAAGCCCCAGTACACCGACGAACGGTCCGAGAGAGTCCGCAACCACGCTGCCAATCAACTCGCCTTCTCACGACTTTCATCCACGCCTTTCTCCACCATCTTGAACAACCTCCCTCCTGCGTACTGGAAGTCCGGCCACGAGTACCCCACTGGCCTTCTCAGGTCTGATATCCGCAACATTCTCGAATCGACTAAGTTTATCGGCCGGGTTGCCCGTGAGGGCAAGGATGCCGCTGGCAAGCCACTTGAGAGTGAATACTACTATGTTCCTGATGAGGATGACGATGCGATGCGCCGATCTGCTGTGGTGGACGATCTTCGGAAGCCTGGCCTGCGCAACTGCCGGAAGCAGCACAAGGTTAGTACCTTCTCCATGTCTTTTATACATCCATTGATGTACCTGAACCCCACTAAATTGTTTCCAGCAATACTTCTGGCGCAAGCCCAAATGAATCATTGACCGAATAAGTTCCTTTGTCTTTCCGCCCTCGGATGGACTTTCTCAGTACATATTTCCAGTGATTCTTTGTCTCCCTAGTTGCTAGGGAGACCCGCATAGCGTGGCGTGAGGCATACCCTGTTTTTAGTTTACTATCATCAACTTCCTTGATTTTTTTTTGCTTTGTTTCTGGTTGGTCTTATTTCCTCGTTCCATTATCGACGTGTATGATTTCTTGGTTCCCAAAAAGCGCATGGATATCCCGAAGTTGGTCTTTGGGTTCCATTGCGTCATGTTTCCTTTGCCATCACTGGCCGTTTCGTTTGCCCTAGAGACCAGTTATTCTGATACCGGCTCTTCTGTGTTGCAGGTGTCTCTTTGGAGAGATACTTCGCTAGACTCTTAGTCTACTAACACTATTCAAGTCACGCGCCCTTCGCTGACTATGTATCCTACATCTGCTTTTGCCTCGTTGGTTTTGCCATTTTTGTCAGTCTGCTTTCCAATGGTTGAACGCACTCACGACTTGTATGTTAGCTTGTCAATTTCAAATATCAGCTCGAACAATTTGTTACCTTGATACTGTATGGAATGGCGTAAGCCCTAGATGGTTGTTATATCTTACCAGCTAGCAAGAGCGAAATTAGATTAAGGATGCTGGATTGCAATAAGTCATGCCAAAAAGCATAGTGAAGTTATTTAGCCATAAATCATTCGACTCGCCTGGATCCAAGGTGATACAGCAGATGCTCGCTGCAGGCTCGTGCCATTGCTGTCTTGATATCACGTTCATGTACAAACCAAACCCTTGACAAGCTCTACAATAGTAGATATACAATCATTATGTGAGAATATATCGATGATGCTCCTGTGTGCCTGTACCATCTCAGCTGTTCTACTCCTGGAGATAGCCTGTCTTCGCCACCCGCACGTCATATCCACCTCCACCCGAATGCAGATGAAATACTTGCTTACGCCTTGTGAGAGGTTCTCTTCACATGTATCATCTCTGCAAAACCCACTAGGATCAATCTCACTCATTGCCACACCGCAAATCTAGACTTTGAATACCCCGCACTGAAGAGGTATAAAAGGACAAGCAGAGCTGTGAACACAACATTTAAGGACTCCCAATATCTTTCTCTAAACCATCATAAGCTAGCTCCAAATTGGTAGCTGGAAAGCATCTTACGTCTCAATATCGATCTTACCCTCTATCTACCTACCTCACTCAAAATGGCATCAAACAACCAAAATGATAACCACGGCCAATTCTCGAATACCGGCAAAGAACACACTGTCACACTCCCCTTTGCTCAAAACCCCAATTCTTTAAAAGATACCACCGGGTCATCGGGTCCCAATCGAAAGGAGAAAGCTGCAGAGAAGTTGTGGAAGCCGACTTTCGATCGCAAACAAAGTTGGAGTAACGAGGACCGCAAGCACCAGTTGCAAGAACGATTGCACGGGTCGGAAAAGGGAAAGGAGATGGGGTTCACAGAGGCGCATAGGCATAGTGGGGATTAGAATGGTTCGAAACAGCATTTAGTGCTGCGATGATCGTCCTTTGGTGCAGGGTTATAACACATGGTGGGACCATAGGAAGTGGGCAGTTGGGGGGAGAGAGGGTTTAGGGACGATGAATCATGGAATTCTAAATTGAGTATAACGAAGGGTGAAATTGAGACTAAAATCGAGAGAATATAACGAAGCGTTAAGATAAAAAGTAATCAAGTGAAGTAGAAAGTGAAGTTATCGCACAAGTCGGGTGGATAAATGGATAAGCAAATAAAAGTCCGCCTGCAACTCCGCTCCGCCTTTGGACCATTTGGACCATTGGACCTGCATCTCTTCACTTCAAAGCTTCAAGCTTTGTGTTCACTCATCTGTTCTTTTCCCCCAATGTGGCATTCACGTCACTTATGCGCTTTCCTCTCGGACATTCAGAAAGGACCCCACGATTGAGCCTGTGTGACACACAGCCATGGATCGCCAACGTAAAAGTACGGTCTATCGGACCTCATCTTGGAGAACTTAACTGACGTTTGTCTTTTTTTATTGCAGGGGAGCTTCGCGACCTAAACGAGCGAGCCTGGGCAGGTGAATCTGGTGAGATCCCATCTGACTCCCTTTATGACGAAATGTCATTACAGCCCACCTTCGACATGATCCTAACGACTGGCAACCAGATGTATTCTCCACTAGCAAGTCCCTTGACTCGGCGCTCAAGAAGAACACCGCATTCATCAAACGTCTACGAACCGGCATTAGTGCCTCCGCCCTTTCCACTTTCCTCGCTGATATCCGCACCCTCTCGCTCCACAAGTACCTTTCCGAGATAATTTCCGCCTGCTACGAAGGCCTCTGCAAGCTCAAATCCCCCGGAGAAATTGCAGCTGGAGTAGAGGTTGTGAGTGCGCTGCACCAACGTTTTGGGCCCTGGGAATTCACACGGCAGATCGGCTGGCTGCTTGGCCGAGGACTGAGCACACCGGATAAAGCGCAGCTCAAGGCGCTCAGCCAGGAGATCCGCGAACGCGAAGAGAAAGACCGGCTGTCTCGGCACCGTGTTCTTCTCCGCGTTGTTACGGAGCTTTGGCTGGTTAATGTGCTGAAGACTCTCGATGACGTCGAGCGACCTGAGGAACTGGGTGCCAAGGGCAAGGAGGGAGCAGTTGGCATTGGGAGCAAGCCGTCCGATGCCCCGCTGAAAGCCAAGACCCCCGCGGCGGGTGCGAAAGACCAGGACAAACAGGCTGACCCATTCCCATTGGAGGTTCTGAAGGAGTTGCTCGGCCATGACCGTGATCATACGAACCTGCCTCTTGCAGTCTTGTTTGTGAAGAGTTTCAGCTGGGATATCGTCGGCTCGAAGCTTGCCGAAGACGGCAGAAAAACAGTTGAAGCGGATGGCGCTACTACGACTTCTGGCGTCGACGCGCAGACTACAGAGACCAATGGGGATGTCCACTCGGAGACCGATTTGCCCCTGACCCCAGAGAAAATTCAGCAGCGGTTTAGAAATATCTTGAACCGTTACCTTGAAGATGTCAAGGCCCATGTGGTTCGAGACCAGAGAGCGCTGGCACAGCAAAACCGCCGTAATGCCGAGGCATACGTGAAGAGTGGCGAGATCTTCGAGGACCGCCAGGCTAATTTCGAGAAGCAGTCCAAGGTCTTAGAGAAGCTCGTAGCCAATACTCAGGTGCTATGCGAGGCTTTGGGAACGGAAATGCCCGATCTAGCCGAGAAGGAACCCACTGATGCTTCTGCCAGTGGTGGCATTGGCCTTGTGAAGACCACGGACTACCTACGAGGCCAAGGCGAAGGCGCCGGGATTTGGGAAGACGAAGAGGAAAGACGGTTCTACGAGAACCTGGTCGATCTGAAAGGCAAGGTGCCTGCGGTCTTGCTCGAGGATGGGAAAAAGAAGAAGACCGAAGGCGAGGAGTCTGGTAAAAAGAAACTAGATGGCGAAACCGCCGATTCCGCCGAGCCTTCGGACGAGAAGTCTGCCGCGGAGGCTGATGACCAGTCAACTGCCATTGCCAGCAAGACTGTGGGTGCGCAGGTAGACTCCCTTCTTTCCAAGCTTCCCGAGTTGCAAACCAAAGATCAAGTCGACCAGTTTGCTCTCGATTTCTGCTGGGTCAACTCTAAAGCATCACGAAATAGGCTGGTTAAAGCTGTCTCGGACATCCCCAAGGGTCGCATTGATCTTTTGCCTCTGTATTCTCGCTTGGTGGCCACCCTTGGACAATACCTTCCAGATATTCCGCAGGGACTGACCACGTACCTCGATGAAGAGTTCCGAAGTCTGCAGCGACGCAAGTCCAAGGAATTCCTTGGTCAAGTACGCATGAGCAATGTTCGCTACCTAGCTGAACTGACCAAGTTTGGTGTCGTTCCCGAGCATATCATCTTCCATTGTTTCAAGGTTTCGCTCGACGAATTTTCGCGCATGAACATTGAAATTATCGGTCATTTGCTGGAGAACTGCGGCCGTTACCTTCTGCGCAACCCCGACTCATCCCCCCGGATGGCCTCTTTCCTCGAGACCTTGAGTCGCAAGAAGACCGTGCAGCATCTGGCCCAGCAGGAGCGGATGGTTATCGAAAATGCCATCTATTATGTTGACCCGCCACCACGCCCGGCAATCCAGCAGAAGGAACGTACGCCCATGGAGCTGTACATCCGCCGCCTAATTTACCTAGATATGAACAAGCGCAATTACACCAAGATCTTGAAGTCCATCCGCAAACTCCACTGGGAGGAGCGCGAGGTCGTCGAGATTCTGGAACGCGTGTTCAGCAAACCGGTCAAGGTGAAATATGGCAGCATTCACCTTTTGGCAATTCTTGTCAGTGCTTTGTACCGGTACCACCAGGACTTCGTCATTGGTATCGTCGACAACGTCCTGGAGCAGGTCACGCTTGGTCTCGAGCAGAACGACTTCAAGTTTAATCAGAAGCGTATCGCAGAAATCAAATACCTAGGTGAGCTTTACAACTACAAGATGATCGATTCCCCCGTGATCTTCGATACATTGTACCGAATTATCACATTTGGGCATGAAGGTGGTACCCCGGCCCCTGGAAAGATCAGTATGCTAGACTTGCCGGACGATTACTTCCGTCTGCGCTTGGCATGCACCCTTCTTGATACATGTGGCCACTGCTTTGACCGTGGATCTGCCAAGAAGAAACTGGATTTCTTCCTTGCATTCTTCCAGTATTACTTATTCACCAAGGATCCGCTGCCCATGGATGTCGACTTCCTTGTCCAGGACACGTACCACTCTATTCGCCCGCAGTGGAAGCTTGCTACTGATGGTGAAGAAGCGACCCGAATTTTCACAGAAGCTGTTGCCCTGAACTACAACGTTCAGGATTCCGAGAGACCTGTTGAAGCCGATGAAGAAGATGCGGAGAGCAGCTCTTCTGATGAGGACCTTGAGGAGGATGCTATTCCCGAAATAGACGAAGACCAGGAATCCAGCGATGAGGCCGAAGTAGGTCCCCCATCTCTTCTGCATGAAGTACGCCCAATTAACCAGTTTAACCCGTCGAAGGCGTCTGGACCCAATCCGGAGGCAAATGACGACAGCGATAGCGAGTCTGAGGACGAACAAATCATTGTCACCAGACAGGAAGAGGAGCGAGACCCAGTAACCGAGGCTGAATTTGATCGAGAATTCGAGAAGATGATGGCCGAGAGCATGGACTCGCGACGGTTCGAACGCAAGACCGTTTTTGATATTCCTCTTCCCATGAAGCGCCCCCGCGAAAACATGCCCAGCGATTCCAGCCCCGAGCCAGTCCCGGCAGTGCCAGTTGCGCCCAAGACAATGGCTTTCTCCCTGATGACAAAGAAGGGAAACAAGCAACAGGTAGTGCTTTCTATCCATCTCTGCAATATTTTGCAATTTGCTAAACCTGTCTAGACCCGCACCATCGATCTCCCGTCGGACTCGACATTTGCCATTGCCATGCGGAGTCAGCAACAAGCCGACCGGGAAGAACAGCAGCGTATCAAGAACTTGGTCCTGAACTACGAGGCGTCGACCGAACCCGAACCCACCGAGAGTGAGCAATATCCCCTGGTCAACGTTAACCGGAACTTCCAACTGAGATATCCAAAAGCAGCAACCCAGGAAAAGCGCACCCCCACTGGCCAGCGAACGGACAAAGCCGGCGCCAACCGGTCCGCCTTCCGTTCCCGCAAGCTCCAGCTCAGCGACGTCAATTGGTAATGAATGCTGTTACTATCTGGACCGAGGTCCATATTCCATATCTTCACTTGACACAGCAGCCAGCGCCTTTCCCTAGTGGAAGATTGCCATCCCACCATGGAACAATCCTTCCGTCTCTGCACTGCCTAGTGTGAAAAACTCTTGGTTCAACCCAATGAGCTTATCTATGGTATACGTCACACCGCGAGTATGCAAATGCCGTATGAGTATGACCAGGAATCCGTTCTCGCTAATGGAATCTACCCCGTCGCGAATGCCATCGAAATGGATGAACTCCTGTTGCTCGGGACCCTTCTTTTATCACTTTCCCATCCTGATTGGCGATTTCCTGAGCTGAGTGGAGAGCTTGATGTTCTTCATCCCCGCGCACAGAATCCCGAATCCCGATATGGTCGCCAATCATCACTTACCATGGCGAAAGACATCACCACTTTGCTGCCCTCTTGTGAAGATCGTACACTATTCGATTTAGGGGTGATGGGGGTCAATGGCTCGGAAAACTAGAGAATCAATTAGAATGGATGGAGACACAATTACGAATGTTATGCTATGGATGTATCTCTTAGCCGATCTCTATTGTCTAGCGGTAGTACCCAATGTAACTGGATTTCTTTGCACCAAGAAAATGAGAAAAACAAATTGCTTTCATGACTTAGATGTGTTTAATGGCTCTTACCTCTCCTTATTATCGTGGCCAAATGCATTAATATGTCTCAAAAGCCATCTTGCCTGACTTGTTTCTAAAGTGCAAATAATTCTCACCAGCATGTTAGCCACCACACCCGAAGAAATTGTTAGATGCCGCTCCTTCCCTTATTCATTATGCGTGCTTACAAGATCGCTTTGCAGTATGCTTGGCTGAGAGCTGCCTCTACTACTGCCACCACAGCAGGGCTATATGATTTCATTGCAGCAGCACCTTGAGATGCCACAACCATTAAATCTTTTGAACACTCTTTGCGCACTGGAACAAGCCAGATATATCCAGTCGGATCACCCATATCAGCAGAGATCATGGTGTCAATTGTTGATACGACGGGGACAGGCCAGAAATAGAGGCCATAGCCACAAGAAAGAGTCTATATGCGCTATTAGAATGCACAATATGACTGACGTGTCATATACATACCGAAGATACAATCCATGTCTCCAAAGTGACAACCGGTTCATTTGATTTATTAGAAACAGTCGAAGGCGAGCTTGGTGTCCCTGTTGAAGAACCAGCCTGTATCGGGCTCTTTTCCGTGTCTACAGCCATGCTGCAATGGATTGTGTGGGCGAAATAGGAGAAATGGAAAGAGAAACAATTTCAATAAGCCTCTTACGGCACGCTATAGTCATGATACGAAGAGAGGGGCATGGATCTTCTCGCGCTAACACTACAATATGATAAAACCCCGGAGAATTGAGTCTTTCTTTCCCAAAATGATTCTTTCCCCATTAACTATCAAACATCACCACATATCTTCTCATATAATGGGCTCACAAATTGATACCCGTGTTGCTATCGTCGCGGGTGCCACTGTCAGTACAATGAAACTGACTACACAGGACCCACTATCAGTCACTGACCAGAGGTCCATTACAGTCTGGCATGGGGCTTGACCTCGCCAAGCACCTCTGCACTAAAGGATGGAAGGTCGCATGTGTAGGTCGACGCCGCGAGGCCGGTGAAGCCCTCGTGAAAGACCTGCCCCAGGACAGAGCGCAGTTCTTTGCCGCCGACGTCTCCAACTACGACGAGTACGCGAGTGTATTTCGCAAAGTACATGAGCTCTGGGGACGTATTGATGCATTATGCGCCAATGCCGGTATCGTCGATACGTCTTCCATCTACATCTACGACTCGAAGAACAACAGCGTCGACAACATCCCACCGGTACCAGATCTGTCTGTCGTGGATATCAATTACAAGGGCGTTGTGTATGGTACCCAACTGGCAATCCATTTCATGCGCCATAACCCGCAGCCTGGTGGTCGCATTGTCGTCACGGGTAGTATTGGCTCCATCTTCCCCCATCCGTCATATCCAGTATACTGTGGCACCAAGGCTGGAGTGAATCACTTCATACGGGGCATTGCTCCGTTGCTGAAGCAAAAAGAGAATATTTTGATCAATTGTGTCTTGCCGGGGATTGTGAACACGCCTATTGTGCCAGCTGATATGGTTGCCGCTGTCAGTCCTGAATGGTAATATTTTGTTTTGTCTTCGAGTAGTATGGCGGAATACTGACATCCTGGAACTTAGTCTCGCCCCTGTGAAAACCATTCTCAAAGGCTACGAAACCTTTTTAGAAGACTCGACTGGCATGGCGGGTGAGCTATTAGAGTGCTCAGCCCACAAGTTGATCTACTACCAAAGGCCCGAGCCTGGAAATGGCCATATCACAAAGCGGGCTGTCACGGTCTGGGAGCCATTGTTCCGCATCATGCATGGCGAACACTCTGAGCTGCCGGATGCTATTCCATGAGCACATCGGGGGGGGGGGGGTTAGAACTTCAAACTGAGACTACCATTGCCCTAACTGGCTAGCGTCCTAAAAAAAAGTACAGTTAGGCTCCACTAGCACGGTTTAGCGACGATCTTCTAGAGTTCAAATCCTTGTCAAATAATCTCAAGAGAGCCAATAACGATTTTGTTTCGATTTTCACATCCGTTTTGTTCGCGGCAACAGGGGTTATTTTTCTTTCGCACGGGTCTCAAACGGCGTGAATGTGATATATTATCGTCATACGGTCTGCTTTGCTTATTGTCGTTGCCGCACGTGCCTTGGGATTTATGCATTGGCCCGTGTATTTCCCGCTTTAACGCTCTGTTCGTGACTTGGCAATACAACGGTGCGCGAGTGACTCCACAACGAATTGGCACTTGTCCCGGACGGCCCGTCAATGTCCTTTATAGGTTCAAGCCCCAGCCAAGATTTGATAGGTCGAGTTCAATCTCGTTTCACTACTCCATACTTGATCAGCCCATCGATGGGTGTTCCCGTGGGCGAGAGCAGAAAACGAATCCCTAAAGGACCCTACGATAGTGCAGGTTTCTCATTTATCGATTCAGTTAAACGCCTGCGACTGACGAGTGGAGTATATTCTCGTGGATTGCTCTTATTCGTGTTATTCTGTTGGGGCCATGTCGCATGGGGAAACTTCTATTCTGTGCTCCGCAGAGTTTCCCCTTTCTCGCGCTTTGAACCCAGCATTTGACCGAAATTTGTTGTGTTCTCATCATGCAACTCCAGATGATCTGAATAATGACCTCTAAAATAGGTTCATGCCAAGCTAGAAAAAAGAAGACAGACAAGTCCGAAGAAACTCCAAAGATCCAACGAGGATCATCCACTATTCCAGAGACCGAAAAACCCCGACAATAATGTTAACACTTGTGCCCACAAGTGGCCCCGACGATCTACAATATCATATCCCCAAACGGGTCCAATCCCACCATCTAACCATTAAGAAAAGCACCCACCTGATTCTCCACCACCGTCGCCCCCATAACCTCACGCATACCCTCATCACAAAAAGCATGCTGATCCCGGAAATAAAACCCGCTATCCGAGATTTCCACGGCAACTCTGTACAGCTCCTCTCGGGGTAAGTGACTGCCGGGCATATCAGTCAATCCCCGACCTGCGGATTCGCCGCCATCCCACAAACCGAACGAGTCGGGCAATCGTTTCCACATCGATGAACCGACCAGGCGGGAAACTGTCTCAGCCTGTTGAGTCGACAAGATTAGTACCATGCCCGGGATGGGTATACCCGTGGGCCTTGGGCGTTATAGACGGGCACTCGAAAATCCAAATAGCCCACCGCCCACCGTGGACGGGCGATGTCGCAGTCTACCTTGTGGAGATAGTTAAGAAGTGGGAGGCCCGGTATAGACCTCACATCGAACGGCTAAAAAACGACTTCTCAGGCTCGGTAATGGTGATGTGGCACGTCTATCCGATCTTGACAGTCCCCAAGTGTCAGAGAGGCTGAAAGTTCAGGAGTCCTGCTGGAGCTGTGCTAGAAATGAATGGCCTTCTCCAACGAGGAAGAAAGCTACAAGGGAATTGGCTTGCAGACTTTCTCCCCTGATATGGTATGCGCACCCTACGATAATCAACCAGTGTCAGAGTCTGTCGGAGATAAGTCTTCATTTACCTTCCTCTTGCCGAAAGATGACAGTTCTTTCCTCGTCTGTTCCATCATCCCCGTGCGCGAGGGAGATTTTCTAGGTGTCTTTTCTGGTAAGATTCGTTTCTCGGAAACCTGGAGTCCCAGACACGGTATTCACGGTCCTGTCGGCAACCTGTGGTTAGATTATTCAAAAGTCACTGGTACGCTGAGCCAAATGTGCGTTTCAGAAACTGGTGGGTCCGCAAACGTTCGCATTCAGTGGGATTTAATCCACGATGATGTTGACAAAGATAATTGCTCATCCTGGAGAGTTTCGGTGAAAGCTACTAAGCCAATAATGCCATTTGAACCTCTCGTTCGCGAGGCTTCTCAGCAAGAGCAATACGTATTGCACTTATCTCCTAAGCATGCAAAGAGAGGCTTTCTCGAAATTTGCGAAGCTGACTAAAACCATGTTGAACATCTTGATTGCTATTTTTTATTCGAGGCGGCATTTTCCAACAAGCCGAGTCTTCAATGTAGCGTTGCTCATCTAACATTTGCCGGGGGCCATTAGGATACGATTAGAGAGCATATTAATTCGCTGGATGGATAGGCGACAACCAGGAAGCTCAGGGCATTGAAAACAAGATACAGCTTCAAGGACAGAAATCAGATATCGCAAAATTGGTTATGATATTTTTTCGATCGGACGTGGTTTCAAAATATGAATTTTCCAGGCCAGGCTGAGACGTCATGGGTGAGGTATTAAGGTAAATCCTATATTAATGTACGAGGTAGTTTGTGTGTCTAGAATACGATCTCATGTATATCGGGAGCAGCTACACGTCCAAGATGGAATCTTAGGTACACATGCTTCTATTGAATTAAAGACGTTGTGAAAGACTGAAGTATTTTCTACTCTCTAGCCCTTGTTGAGGCTGTATCTTTCTTATTTCATTGAACAGGGATAATCGGATTTTTCAAAAAGCGATCCAATGCATTTCCAAATGTATTTCTGTATTTAAAGCAGGATTTTTCGTCCAGCCTCGAGATCTTGAGTCTCCTTCTGCAATCTGTGACGCCTCCTCCGAATGGACAGTTCCTCCCCGGCTATATGTTCCAATTGATCAGGAGAAAGGCAATAGACCCAAGATGGCGAGAAGATATTCATCGGGGCCTCGGGTCCAGTGACCAGATGAAAGTCCGCCGCCTGCATGCACACATTTTCAACAAATCTTTTTCGTGCGACCTTGTAGTATGATTTCAAAATGTCATGGATATCCTCGACCGTCTGCTTAGAATTACTCATGTGGTGAATTCTCACAAGATCAGAAACTTGATAACAATCCCTTTTTGAGCCATCATGCATATCCACAGAGAATGAAGACTTCTTAACAGCAGACGCAATCCGTTCCTGGCGACTGAAATCCGAGTTACTCAATAAGCCGCAGTCAACTCAAGATTAGGTCTTAGACTTACCCCTTCTGTAAATTGCTATTTAAGTAATGGTTTTGACTCATCGGTGTTCCCTCTCTCTCAATTTTCAGGAGAAAGTCCGTCATTGAAAGAGATTTCCGATACCTCTCAATTAGCCCATCCATCAAAAACGTGAGAATATTTGAGTGTAGTATGGGATCGCGACAGGATATCTTCAAGGCCGTGCTGATAAAATTGTGAACGATAGATATTATATCACAGATGTAGCCTTCGGCTAGAGGAGGCCATTTTGCAGATTGTTTCTTCATGACGGTGGAAAGGATCGAAGAGCTAAATGTTCCTAGCTCAAATCCACGAGACTCTAGATAGAGATCTTCGATCCAAGAGAGTATACCTTGTGTTTTTGAATACTCTATCTGAACGCAATCATGCAAAATGTCCTCAATGTCGTGGCAAATATCGATTTTCCTTCTGGGTATAGAATTGATGTCGTCGTAGGCTTCTTTCTCCTCATCTTCATCTTCCCCAACTTGGGCGCCGACAGAACTTGGTGGGGAGGTCACTGATGTTTTGGGATCATTTTCCGAGTCGTCATCATGGCCATGAGCATTGAAGCAGTATACATGCCCTTTGTTGGAAACTTCGTCAGAAAATTGCGCATTTCGGTTAGCCACTAGAGTTGCCAGTCTTAAGCTATGGTATTCATCGAAAGAATCCTGGGACCCGTAATTGGTATGGAGAGCGTTCTCTGTGATGCGCTGGAACTTTGATACAACTTCGAGCAGATATCGGCTTTGCTGCTCAGGGGACTCACGTTCTGCCCCAAGGCTTTCAAGAGCCTTTCTACATTCCTTGAGGCGCCTGGAAACCTCAGATCGTACCTTCGATCCAATTAGCTCAGGTAGATCTAGTCTCTGCACAAGAAGCCCACCTTTGGAAATTCCCGCCGCACATTTGAGGCCAGAAGAGCTTGGAGTCGCCACCCAAGGGCTTCAATACCATAGTTTTGCTTCGAGAGACGGCTCCAAGGGGGCGAGCTTCTGAATTTCTCTTCTTCGATGTCACGAATCTTGGACGAGTCTTAAAGATCCTTTTGCAGGCTGCGAAGGACACTCATCGCGCAGCGTATGATGAATGGATGCAGACTGCCAAAGAAGCCGAGGATCGTGGAGAAGATATGACAGTAGCGAAGGCGGATAAGATGTGGCCATTTGACGCTAGATAGAAGCAAGGGTCGATCAATCAAAAGGTCGGCTAGTTGTCAATCACTATCCCCGAGACAGCAATGAACTGAAGGGATTCATGTGGCAGGTGTTCAAATAAGTCAAATTTAGCACAAAATGAACCCTTTATATCGCAATTTTTCCCCTACACTTGTAATAGCAGTGCTGTTTTAAAATAAGGCACTGAGGGGATTTGAACTGCCGGTGGTTTTCACTGGGGATCGTTTTTCACGCCTCTCCATACGGTGTATAAATCATCAACCTATTCTGGCACGGAATCCGCCCGGTAGGCCTATAAAAGGAAGCTTTCTGTATATTATAGATTTATCTATCGCCACATTCAAGGTGGTTTACTACTATATATTAGCCATATATTAACTCTACCATCTACCATCTACTGTCTTCTCACTATTTCTTACTTTGAACTTTTCTCTCACGATTATTATATTGACAAAAGCATACGTGTTTCAATATACAACCTGCAGCAGCAATCTTACACCGGCTTTCTTATTGCAGAATTCGAGGCACCTAAATTTTCAGGCTAGATTAAAATGAGTGCATGCGACCCTAAAAGCTATGCGGCATGCCCCTTCGTACCCTAAAACTCACGCCTCATTTTCCAACTCTACACTCGTGTCTCACCGAGAACTTCTGCATCACTAAGAGAACCACAAAACGTTACACTCTATCGGGACGAGGATTCCGATGATGACCCAAGTGAAGGGAAAATTGATGCCTATCGCTTCGTGCCCTTCGGAAAATACGGCCTATTGGCGGAGCCAGCCGATCAACATCGCGAGGAACTCACCTATAATTTCTGCTGGCGCACCGATATCATGTGCACAGTGAGAAACCAAGATCAGGACACTTAGGTCATTAATAATCCAAGCCCTAGTCTGACTCGGAATCCCTCATCCCAACTGGGCTCTAGTACTCAGGCTACTCCAGCTGAGAAGACCCCGGCAAAGCCTCTCAAGGCTCCAGTCCACCCACATCCACAAGTCTAATGCAACCAGTCTCGCCAAACCAGGTTTAATTCGGGGTCCCAACCCAGGCTTAGGGGAAATCAAGAAGCTCCCAAAGCGCCCCGCAGAGCCTCTGGATAAGAAATTTCTCCCCAAACTCAAGAAGGACAAGTACAAAGCCAAGGCCATCATTCGTGACAAGTCCCTTACGGCTGTTCTAGATGAAACGGAGCTTGGTAAACCTCTTGCGGAGTACGTCCGGGATCTGGCGGACCCCGAGCGACCTACTAGACTCACTCAATGAAAGAGTTGGGATCAATACCTTGCTCCGACTGAGAAACGCATCCCGAGTCTTAGAAGTCTGCGTAGAGGGCCCAAGGCAAAACTAAACAGAAAAAGAAACCTGTCCTCCGTTTACAAATACTAAGTAACTTTTCTGATACGTAGTCCAGATTCTCTTAACTGGTAGATTTCTACGTATGCCCTAGGCTTCAGATCGGCCATACTCACGCTAAGGCATATAGTCTGTGATAGCGCAAAGCCTTATCAAATTAAAACAAAGAATTATCAGAATAATGAATGGGGTCAATCAAATACCCCCCAATAAGTGCAGTCCAGTGGAGCTCTCCAATATATTATTATGTGGGATTGATGAATCTCATGAACACGTGTACTGTGGCCTATAAATCCATAACTTCCCCACCAAATTTAGTATTTACCTAAACTATCACATTTCAACATGACAAGAGAATCTAAGATTATTACTGTCATTGGAGCGACGGGCATCCAGGGAGGGTCGGTCATTGCTGCTGCTCTCAAGTCTGGTGACTGGAAGATCCGCGGAGTTACTCGCAATGTCAACAGTGATGCATCCAAGGCCCTGGTTTCGAAAGGAGTCGATATGGTGATGGCAGATTGGAACGATGAGAGCACCTTAGTGAAAGCATTTGAGGTATAATTCTTAATACGCTTATAAGAAATTTAGCTAACTCAACAAAAGGGTTCATATGCCATTTATGCCGTTACTGATTACTGGGCTGGTTTCATGACTCAGAGTGTCGAAGAACTGATTGAGATCGAAGCTAGACAAGGCATCAATCTTGCCAAGGCAGCTTCTCAGACTTCCTCTCTGAAGCACTTTGTATGGAGTACTGTTCCCGACCATGTGAAGATCTCGAATGGAAAACATTCTATACCTCACTTTGAGGGAAAACTCCAGGTCGATGAATTTATCAAACAAGACAAAGGTCTACTCAGCAAGACCACCTTCCTTTGGGTTGGATACTACGGGACGAACATCGTTCTGCCTATGATTGTCCCAAATCTTCTCGTAGGTTCAACCCTCAACCCAAAGAGTATTGTACTGATTTATGCAGCAAACGTGCGGAAAATATGTCCAACTTTTCCCGGTTTCAGACGAAACCCCTATTACAACAGTTGGCGACCCTAAAGTCAATACTGGCATCTACGCACTCGCCATCTTCAACCAACCTCAGCTCACATTCGGCAGGATTGTTCTAGCGCAGTCTGAGACCAGGACAACTCGTGAAATTATTGATTTATGGTCCCAGGTCTCAGGAAAGCCCGCTGACTATGTTCAAGTTCCACTTGATCACTATGATAATCTATGGCCCAAGTGGGGACGAGAGGTTGGCCTTATGTTGCAATTCTGGGAGACAGCTCGTGAAAAGAGCTGGACTGCCGATGAACCCGTTCTGACAAAGGAAGACTTGAACATTTCTGGTTTGATTGGGATGAAGGAGATTTTCAGTTCTTTTGACTGGTCTTGAATTTTGTATCCAAACCATGGAGAAGTTGAGACATATGAACTTCAAAGGACTTGAAAATTACCATGTATTATCTAAAAAGACATATATCTAATATCCCGCACTAATCAAGTAGTTCACCAGTGACTCGGTGACATTGGTAGCTTCTTCGGGTTGGACAGTCTCGGAGTAATGTGCAATCACTATTGCCTCGTTCGTCTTCGCAACGATGACACCTTGCTTGCCCTATAACACTTTGTTATGGCGAGATGAAACAAAGGGGTAGCTAGAACATACACTCCTGCCATAGATGCTCCGATCATCTACTTTTATAGCCAAATATCTATGTTCTTCGATGTAGAATCCCTCCGACAGGAAACGTGGGTCGATGTAGCCCTTGATAAGAGCTTGGACTTGATTTTGCTCGACCTATACAAAATTATGTTAGTGGTCCATAGTCTCCAAATGGCAGATTCAACCTTGCATTAAACCCTGCACTAGATGCCCAAGAAGGACCTCCCGTTGCACTGAATACTGCAGCTTTGTCGATTTTGCCAGATCCGATCAAAGTTTGGTCGACGTAGCCTGAGATCATATAATCAGCTCCCTTTTCGAGATATCAAATAGTAAGTCAGTACCTTGCCAGCTCATTTTTGTGAAATGTATGATGAAAAGTCGGGTGGATGATAGGAAGTAGTGAAGTTGAAAGTTATAACATGAATATTGAAATTTTATAAGGGCCATCACTACTTAAGTGCACTAAAAACTAGTGGAATCACGCATGCTGACAGTTATCGGTATGTTTAACCTCTTAAGATGCTACATGTCTAAAATCGCTAAAATAGCCGAGATTGAGGCTACCTGATATATGGCTAGAACGTTCTTTTAAGGAAATATCCTGCCAGACCACGTCAGATCAGTTTATATCCTATGCTAATTAAATCAGACCCCTTGCCCTTTATAGATCTAGAGGTATGAAAGTCTTTGCCGGGAGATGCGATGGAGATCTCATGCATTTATTAGCTCATGTTTATATTGCACGGTTATTCAGAAGCATTTGTAGTGTTCCAAGGTTTCATTAGTATAGAGAAAAGTGCATATAAAGTTAATACAGAAAGTGGATATTCAGACCATCAATAATTATTGGCACGGCTACAAACCAGCCAGTCAGCAAGGTAATATTTCTATCTCCAGGGCCATATTTGCGGCTATGAAGTAGTCACCTTGCGCCATTATTCGCTGTGTTGCCCCTTCTAACATTGATACAAGATCTCCATAGACTCAAGGGGAGGCTTCCCCGTTAACATATTCCGCCTCGACTTCCAGCAGGTCATCTGGTAACATCCCCGGTGCCGGCCAACCTTCTCTTCGGTAAATTGACCATTCAAGGTGGGTTCCATGATCCATCAATCGGTTTTTATTCTCAGAGTATGCCAAATGAGCCGGGACACGCATATACCTGAACCCTCTCAACCCCGGGAAACGCAAGTGATGAAGTAGATCATGGCCGGGATCAGACTTGTACTCGTCTGCTACGATCTGAATGACCGTTTGATCAATTTCAAATTGTCGATCGACACAAATGAAATACAGTGGGCATGTGTTGCTGGTCTTGGGATATAAGTGAAGATCCTGGACAATGTCCCAGATGTCTTTCACCTTTCCATCGACCATGTCAGTATCGCTCTTCCAGTGTATGAATGAATACTCAGGCCTTGGTTCTTCATTTCGGGAGTCAACCTCAGAGTCAGATCCATCCGACTCATCAAATGCTAACATAATCCCCTTTAGACTCTGTTTTCCGGCTTCGGTCAACTGATTCGTGAGGGAAAACACAACTCGAATCCAATTTGTCCTGATGGCAGGTAACCACGTGGGTGGGTTGATGAAGAAGGGTTGTTCCGGGTGCCATAATTCTTCTTCAGCGCCCTTTTTACGGGGGCCATTCTCAAAAGCTCCTCTATAAGCATCAACACATCCAAATCTTTCCATGTCTGTGCAGAGATCCCCAAATACCATATGTCTCATGGCGACCGGGCTTGGGTAGGCAGACTTGATGGTCAAAACGTTGAACTGGGCCTCATCGAGATCAGACAAAGGCTTGCGCAGAAATATCAGAGGCATGATTCCAGGTCTTGCCCCTAGTTCTGCATCCCAAAGACGATATTCCTCCCAGAAGTCCATGAGATCCAGTCGGGTCTTCATGCGGTGCCGGTCCCATGGGATCAGCTCCAGGGTCATATCGGGAGTCTCGGTATACCAAGGCTCAGTCTCAGAGATCCACTTCCCTTCTGACAGTCTTTTGACCATCTTCTCGGCGGGAAACATTGCCGGAAGCGACTCCTGTAAAGTTTGCTGTGTCTTCTCGAGCTCTTGTGCTGTTGTATCATACAAGAGGAAGATGACTAGATGCGTATTTCCTGGACGACGTTTCCACACAGGCATTCTGATTGGGGTGCTGTGTGTATTGGAAACTTGCACCGCTAGCTCCATGGGTAGATGGCGACTTAGAGTAGTCACCACCGCGTTGGCATAGTACTCTCTTCCTGCTATATCCCCTGGTCTGGATGTGAATGGTTCTTGATTGGGGTCATGCATTGTCAATCCCCTCCACCCTATCGCATGAGCCCACAAAGGTCCCCAAGCTTTGTGGACGGATCTGAACCCGCTTGGTTGAGGGTCATGGTCACTCCATAGGAAATCTATGTCGTCGAGATTGAACATTTCTTTTTGAGCGGAGCAAATAGCACGCCTTGCGAATACAGACAATCTATCTGATTGGGTATCACGACATGTAGATAAGAGGATTATTGAAATGACGCCTGACATCAAGTCAGCGTCCGGCAGATATTTCCCTGATAGTTGACGTTTGGTCGCTTCATCCGCCACGATGATTCTTGGTCGACCGGATCGGTATGCTAGCACAGCGAGGGCATGAAGGTTGCTTTGGCTATCCCGGCATGGACCTTGTCGAGCAATAGATTCGAGAAGCCGAGGAGGTGGGGACCATGGACGAACCTTGACTTCAGTGACACCCTCTTGGAAAGCGGCCCCAAAGTAGTCGTCAGAACGAAGTTCGAGGTCGTCATTGAGTGTCTGCTGGATACGCCCAATAAGCATCGCTTGGCTCGGTGCAGATAGGTCGGCCAGCAAGACTAGTGGCCATATGTAAGCTGGGTCCATGGGTTCATCTAACATCCTGGATGATTTCTTGGTGCACTCCCGGTGTATAGAAGGACAAGTTGAGGCTGAGAAGGTGGTGTTGCTCCGCCCCCACTACACGCTAGTCTGGATAGTATCAAGTTTGCCTGAAATGGCCCTTCGATGTCATGGTATCCAAGCTGTAGGTGGATTATATTGCAATTTGCATGGATTACTCGATTTCTATCGTTCACACATCACGCAAGCTCTATACTGTATACCAGTCATGATGCAACAAGTCTATTCGATTTCCCCTCTTTCTTTTATTTGTCCAAGGGACAAGAGCGTGAAGCATATCAGTACAATAAGTTACACATTGAGAGGCAGGGAAGAACACGGAGGAGCGCAGACCGGGGGAATGGATATGCTGAAAGATTCACGGAGGGGAAAATGCATCAAAGGCAAAACGGGAGATGGAGAGATGGCAGAAAGGTCTATATAATACACAACTCCAATCCCAGTCCCTGATGTGCATTACAGAAAAGAGATTAAGCAGTAGACTTGACTCTAGGGGAGGGTGGCGTCAAACAGGATGCAGGGATTCGGGAATTCGGTTCTAAGCCTTGCTGGCCTGGTTCTTCTCCTGGGTGTCATGCGCGGCCTTGGGGATGAGGGAGTCGCCCTCGATGTTCTCGCCTGCAGTAACGGTCTCGTTCTTCATCTGAGTGCTGACGTCCTTGGCGCGGGTCTGCTTCTCGACGGGGTGCGAAGACGCATCCACCTCGGCGGCAGTGGTGGGAAGTTCGGAGGTAGCGGGAGCTTCGGAGGAAGCGGGAGCATCAGAGGGAGCTGGTGCATCGGATTGGGGCTCATCGTCGTCTTCCAGCTCGGCGCCGTAGACTTCGGGGTGTTGGCGGAAGCAATCTTGCATTCCCCTGCAAAAAATTATTAGCACGGGACTATAATCCTCAAAAATCACAGTAAAACATACTTGAATTTCTCAACGCAGTCGATGCCCTTGGGCTCTTCCTCGGAGTAGACGAAGCAGCTGAAAGCAGCCTTGAAGTCCTCTCCGCATGGCCCGTGGGCCATGCCTCCAAGACAAGGGCAGTCCCAGTTGATCTCGCCGGTCTCCGGGTTGAAGGCAGCCTCCTGACCAGCCTCCTCCTCGAGCTCCTGAGGGTTCAATCCACCTTCCAAGGCAGCAGACTCGCTCTTCTTGGCTTGCGCGGCAGCTCGTTCTTGGCGAATCTTAGGAGTAATAGAGTCGAGGGTCTGGGGGTTGGCATCATCGGTTTGTTTCCGGATTGTAGAAAGGATAGAGACTAAAGCCAAACAAAACTCGAGTTAGCGATTTGTGATTCCAGAGCTCATTAACTTTGACGGTGAACGGATTGTCGCGGCTTGCAACCTCGGGATCGAGGAACAAGGGCAATCCCAACTTCCAATCGGCGAGACGTACACTTCGGCTCCTCGGAGAAAACACTGCTCGTGTTGTAGTAGTAGATAGCACCACCAGCCAAGCCCAATCGCAAGAAGGTGTTCTTCCAGCTCCTCGACTTGGTCGGACCAGTGCTTATCAATCGTCTGTTTGCTGGTGTACGGGCTGCGACAGCTGGCGCGCGGGCGAGCGCTCGAGCGGCGGGACGGAACATTATGTGTGAGAAGAGTGGGAATCAATCGAATTGACCGAGAGTTCCTCCAAGAAGGGATTGAGAGGAGGGGAGTCGAGGCACCGCGGGATGGAGAAGTTGGAAAGCGATGGTGGATTTTGGCCTGAGGTTGCCTGCCCGCGTCAGCCAGTCACGTTGTGGCTTGGGTCAAGATAATTATATCGTCACCACGCAACGATTTGAGCATTGATTTCTCTTGACTTACATCTTTTAGACAGTTTGATTTGTGTTCATCTGCAATGGAGTGGGATCCTAGTCGATTCTTTCGTCCCTCGGGGAGTCCTTCGCCTTACGCTCTTCTCATCCTCAACCAGCCAATCAATGAGAAAGCTTTTGGAGTGTTGAGCAGATATGGTAAGATTCTATATGAATTGCATATAAACACGATGTCTTGGATAAGAAATACTAATGCTCATGCAGCATCTTATATTATTTGCGCCGATGGAGGTGCCAATCGGCTTTTTGATATGCCGGATGTTAAGGAAGAATCTAAAAAAGTAAGCGATATCTATGGACTTTGCTATGTGTATAATCCTTCTGGACTGGCATAAGACCCCGAATCGTAGCACAACAAATAACACTCCAAGCCAAGGTATCAAGCTGACCACAGATATAGCTTCCCGACTCCATTGTTGGCGACCTGGATTCTATCCGCCCCGCAGTGCGAGAACATTATGAGAAACTCGGAGTGTCCATCCTCCAAGATCCAGATCAATACTCAACAGACTTCACAAAATGTCTGAAATATCTGAACGCACATGCTGCGGAGATCATAGCTTCTCCCCGAAAAGGGAAACCAACCACCAATGGCGCAAATGGAAGCACATCAACCTCACCATCTGAACAATCACCACTGGAAATTGTAATCCTCGGCGGTCTAGGCGGCCGCGTGGATCAAGCATTCTCCCAGGTTCACCATTTGTACATGATGACGCAGACGCAGCGCTCAATCCGTGAAAATGAAACTATTACAAGCCCTGATGCCAACCCAGCTGCAGGTGGTAACCTCTATCTCGTCTCCGAGGAAAGCATTACGTTCATTATCCAAACAGGGAAGAACACAATTTACACTCCCGCGACAAGACGAGCAGATATCGCAACAGCGTCGACATCTGATGTAAGCGAGTCACCGAAGAAACGGAAGCGTGAGCAAGAGCAGGAGAAAGAACAGGAGCCTGAACCAGAATATTTCTTTGAAGAAAATATCGGCATCATTCCCCTCTCGGCACCTGCCAAGATTACAACCCATGGCTTTGAATGGGATGTGGACAATTGGCATACCGAGATTGGAGGGCAGATATCTACGAGTAATCATATCCGTGCGGACAAGGTGGAGGTTGAGACCTCTGTACCGGTTTTGTTCACAGTGGAGTTGGCGGAGAGATTGAAGAGGTGACCTTCGGCGTGAAACATGACATTGGGCAAGATTAATAGGAACCATGACAGTCTGTCTGGGACCTCTCATCCCTCACGGAGCCTTGATATGTTAAATTGCCTTCATCAGCCGCTGCGTGCCCCAGTGCGCGTTTTGATCAATGTAAAGATATTCCCATGGGCTTCTGTTTCGACCTCCGGGGCTCTTCTTGAACGCTTGGCTCCAAGCACCTGTTGCGAACCCTTCTTCGTCGGCGTCTCTGGAGCCTAACGAGCTTCTGTCTATCTACAGAGCAACGAATGCTGAAGCCAACGGGTAAACTCGACTATACATATACAACTACACTTTGTTACCCCTGTTACGACTGGAAAATAATAAATCGGTCATTAGAAGAAAAACAAGGGAGAAGAATCTCCATGGGTAATCAGGACAACCATAATAAAAACCCCCAAGGCACCTTCTCTGGCTAGAACGAGAGACCAAGAAAGACAGGGGAAAGAGAAGGCAAGAAAAGAAACCCAATATCGCATATCGCATAATCCACATACCAGTGACTAAAACTTGAACCCATAAACAAACATAAAACCAAGACGAATGGGATAAAAATCACCCAAAGCACTGAATAACCATTCACCAGATCATCTGTACAGCCTCGCAAGTCATATCCCTCTTACGAGCGGTGCAGAATAGCCTCGTATAGAGCACCAATACCGCCAATAGCGGTTCCAGTCAAAAGACCGATATCACCACCAGGGACAGAATCAGTAACCTTCCCAATAGACCACCCGCTATAGAACCCAAAGAAGTTGAAATCATTCACAAAGACAAAGTGCACCAGCAACGCCTTGACGATATTGAAAGTCAACGGATCAAACTGGGCAAGATTAGGCGCAGACCGAGTCCGACGCGCACTGCTAGAAGCCTTCCAGCTCAAGTTGATAAAGTAGGCCGAAATCAAAGGCAAAAGCAGACAAGTCATGAGCCACAGCGAAAACGGAGCCCAAAATGCTCCCTCCAGAAACACAAACAGATCAGGAACACGGATGGGAATAGCTGGGATATGCGCCGCTTGCACTGGTGGTGTGGTAGTAAGATAGCGTAATGGGATCAACGCTTTAGCAAGACTGCCACCCTCAAGAAGAAGCACAAGGATCTCAACGGCCTTGACGCTGCTTAGAGTTGCGCGCAGAGAGTGCGCGCGGTCTACCAAGCCTGACGCAGTCCATGCATCCTCGATGGTCTCGCGCAGCTTGAGCGTCTGCGTGTCGATGGCTTCGGCGATCGCGGCTGGAGATGCTGGCAGCGATGGCTCGGGATCCACGATGGGAGAGATAATTGATTGATGGGGTGTTTGGCGGGGTGTCTGTCGCGCAGACTGACGCACGCTCGTGCGCGCCACAGTGGGAGTCGGGCTGACTACGGTTGGGCTGGGCACGGCTTCTTCCCCCACATCCTCGCTGGCGCGTGGGTTAGTATGTGCGCGATAGCTATAGATGGAATAGCGCATTAGGGAGTGCTCTTACGTAAGTTCTTCTTCCTTTACTTCCTTCTTCGCAGAGCGACGTGCTGGGGTTCGCGCTGGAGTTCGCGTGGTTTCGCGCTTCACGGGCGATCCTCTGCGGGGTGGAGATGCCAGACGTGAGTAGTATTCAGTGAGACTCTTGAGTCCGGAGAAGATAGAGCGGTTTTCGCGAAGATGCCTGTCCAAAACTACGACAAGATCATTCTTGTTATAGTCGTCATAGCTATAGCGATTAGCTCGGTCTATGCGACAATCGCAATCATACTTACTGTGGGAGATCGGTTTGATCAGCCAACTCGGCCAACTCGGGCTTCTTCAGCGACTTGAGATAAGGAAGAGACATAATGTATCTGATATTGTGAAATTGGACCAATGTCAAATAAGAAAGTAAATACGGGGGGAAAGAAGATGCAAGGGAGAGGAGTGGCCGGTAATTGTTTACATCCGCCGATCGCCAAAACAAAACACGGTTTAGCGCGTGCGCTCCCTTTGTTCATATTCTTTAGGCATGCTTTCTTTTTTTAGATTCTTTTAACGATTTCAAGGTCTATAATAGAAAGGATTCTTTTAGAGACATATTGATTATATACATGTTTACCCTTATTGCTTGGTATAACAAACCATATACATAAACGGAGTAGAATATGCCAAAATATGTATAATATAGAGTTGAAAAAAGAGCTATGGTACAGGAGGCCGCAGCCAGTCTAATAATCTATCACAGAGAGGATACACAGTATACAAAGTGCTCAAAGCACCGGTCATAACATCCCAGATCGGGACAAAGAATCCAACGCCCCCATTTCCCAGCCAAAAAAAAGAAAAAAAAAAACAGCAACCTTGGAAATGCATGCAGTTAGATGAAAGGTCTCACAAAGACTCTTCTAGAATCTGGTAGGCCTCGAGTTGTTTGAGCAGATACTGATACATAACCAGCATCGTCCCGCTTTGAATGCTAGTCCATACACCGCGTGGGCCCACGCCGCGGAACCAACCACCAATACCCTCCGTCCGATAGATCATCTTCAACCCCGTGAACACGGAGGAAGTGTCAAGTCGGGGCGTACCGGGCGGTGGGATTGATGTGTTTGCACCTGATGTGGAAATTGGTCGCGAGTGTGCCCGGGGAGTGTGGGAATGTGGTGATGTTGATGCGTGGGGCCGTGGGCTTTCTTTCGGTACATGTTCGACACAATGTTTGGCACCCGAAGAACCGGATGAGGGCGCTGGGGGATTTTGCTGAGTTTGGATGCGTGTCTTGACCACATCCATCGGACAGGTGATCACACCAGCCATACCGCCGGCGGTGGCAGCTGTCAAGATCTCCAAGCCCAATCCAATATCCCGTTTTCCAACCCATTGTTTAGCCAAAGATTGCTCTTTCTCGTAGAATGCGAATTGGAGCGCTGAAAATGGGAGATCGCGGAAGATGGTGGCCTTGTAGCCGTGGAATAATGCCGAAAATCCTTCCTGGCGGACGATCTGGCGGAACCCATCTCGCATGTTGCGGTAGTTGTAGCCCGAGTTGAAGTGGGGGTTGTTGTGTCGGCCCTGTAACTGAAGTCGCGTTTTCAGCACCTCGGATGGCACGTAGACAATTGAGGCTGCCAAATCGGCAAGGAAACCACCTGATAGATAGGCGATGCTGGGGTTGATCCCCGAGTCGATCATCAAGCGCTTGGTATATTCATACACGCCGAAGAATATCACGGTACCGGGAAACGAGCCGAGTAGAGCCGGCGTTACTCCGCCATATAATCCTCGACATAATCCTTCTTGCCGGTAAATTGTTGCATAGGACTGGCCCATCGAAGTGTATTTGGGCGGAAAGGTCGGATCGCCTTGTTGTCGGGTCTTGACTGTATCTAACGAGTGCATCAACATGTCGCCGCATGTTCCTCCGGTACCACCAGCCAACATTGCCTATTTCAAATCAGGTCAGCCTTGCGCAATGGTATAATACCGTTGGGGAGAATCGTACATGTAAAAATGGTGGCCGAGGCTCCTCATCCTCCAACAGCGCGAGGCCGTCATTTCGAACGGTGTAGCCTAAATCATTGAAGCCATCCATTGAACTTGGTTGTGTCCATGTCGAGGTATGTGAGACCCCCGCAGACGGTGCTGTTGAGTCTGAGGTCGCTGTCGAGAACAGGCCGAACACCCGCGAGGTCAGGCTCATGGCAGTATGCCAAACTGCGATCCCAAGTGATACTGGTCAGAACCAGGTTAGAGGGGTGCTAAATGATTGAAGGAAAGGAGCACCCCTAATAATAAGAAAGAGTGACAAGAGATCGAGAAAGGAGTATTGTGAGATGATTGTTCTACCCAAAATTCTGATCGGCTTCATTTTGCCGCCAAGCCCGATCTACCGCCTCGATCACGGGATTTCGTCATTGGAGCATTTTAATGTCTCCTGAGCGATATGATTGTGAGCCTATGGCATGAATAATGCAGATTTGGGATTTCTTCCAAGGACATATGAGTAGTTCCTATAAAGGCCTCAAATGAGCTTATTTGTTGATATCCAACTACATATGCATGCCTGTCATTTTGTGACAAATCGCGCATTCCTTCATTTGAGGGTTCTAAGTCTGTTCCTTGTTGATTTGATCTCTACAAATTTCGATAAAATAATAAAATGAATCCGAGACAAGGTATGTTGACAAGAGGAGAGCGAATACAGAAACTATGCATCGCAATACTCTAAAATAATAAACACAAGTCATTGCGTATAGCATCATCATGGCGGGAATCCTCCGCGTCCGCCTCTTTTCTACAATCGGGACCTGCACGTCCCACACTCCCACATCCTTCCCTGTTTCGCTCAGGGAACATGCCAATGAGAAAGATAAAAAGTAATATTATGTCTTGCACCAGCCACCTTCGTTCGACAATCTTGCAAACCGAAAACCAACGTTCTTTCCCAACGTGAAGAGCTTCAGCTTGCAAAGCAAGGTGTCTGGCGCATCACCATTGCGACATTTACTGGGGCTTCTTCGCAGAGGTAGGGCCCGAAATGTAGCGGCCAATATCGGTGGCCTCGTATCCCTGGCGCACAACACCCTTGAGGGTCTCCCAGCCCTGGCGAACCTGGGGAGGAGTGCTCTGGTGAGAGATGGCGGCATCGGCACGGGCAGTGAGCTGGCGAACAGCCTGCTGGACGAAGGAGCTCTGGGCGTAGCGGGCGCGGAAGAAAGACAGGTAGACGATCAGGAGCACCCAGCTACCCTTGGAGAAAGTGATAGCGGACAGAACAAGACGGAAGAGCAGGGCGATCTCGAGGGTAGCGACAACACCCATGCTGGCATCGTAGTATTGCTTGATGAAGCGTCCAATGGTCTCGGCGAGGGGAGACTGCTTGACAGCGGGCTTGGAGCTGGGGGAGGAGGGAGAGGCAGGGGCCGGAGCAGCGGGCTGCAGGGTGGGAATCAAGTACATGCGGCTGTAGGTTGCGACGTGGAAGACCGAGTAGACGCTGAAAGGCAGAAGAGCCAGAATGAGCTGGCGCGAGTACAGCCAGACCAGGGCCATGCCTAGAATATGTGTAAGTTGGAATCTTGGACTGTCACATCACCAATCACTCACCGAGGTATTGCACATTCTCATCAGAGATGAGCTTTATCACAATTGACAGAGGGCTACCCTGGACACCCCGGGCGAAGTGACCCTTGTACACAACGATTCCATACGTCACAGCGGCCGAGATGAAGGTCAGACGGTAGGCGATCTGTGCCGAGGAGGAGTAGTAGTTGAAGAAGATGCAAGAGAGGAGGTAGCGGAAGACGGAGAGCAATAGCGTCACATGTCTATAAATTGTCAGTGGCCCTGAATTTGGGTCTTTGTGTGCCTTTCAGCAGATTGACCTACCCAACGAACCAGGCAAACCTGTAATGTGGCATTCCGTTAGTATTGATGAACAAGGCATTGAAGCATTACTTCAGTGTCAGAGGGAAACGCACTGGAGAGTCTGGGCCAAGGCCTTGAGTCTCTCGACCAGAGGCAAGGTCGCGGAAGGAGGAGGAGGAGCCATATCTTTTTTCCGGACAACAGATGAGGATGATAGAATCGAGTCGAGATGAAGGAAGAGTAAAATCAGAAAATGTGGAAGACAGATAAGAAGGTGGCTGGGGGGAGAGCGGGGAGACAAGGAACCATCCGACGCACACTGAGCTTCCCTCGCTATCTTTCGCTCTCTCTCCGCCTTTCTGTGGTGACGTCGGGTATTCGCAATATCTTCTATACTTGTATTTCAATATCCTTACTTCTCTTTTTTTTACTCTAACATTTGATCTTGTTTATCCATTTGTGTCAACTTCGAGTCGAGTCGGTGTGACAGACCCGCTTGACGAAATCCAGTTTCAGCACTAACGTTCGGCCATTTGCATACACTTGCAGCGTTCTTCAATAGTTCGTGTGTCGGCTATACTATCTTGACAAATCACAATTTTTTTTTCTTGAATGTCAAAAAAAGGAGTTGTGACATCCTCAATATGTTTTACAGGCTTGGTCCCAGCTCTTCTAGGAATATATTCAGAGCCGGCCAAGTATAAACACTATACTCAGGTGGAAGAGCTATACTCAGATATAAGCCTTAAGAATCGACATAGCTACCGACCAAACAGGATACATGGCAGGAACTTATGAAAGCACATACTTAGCTTTGATCATGATAGTACCCTCATGGGTTTAGAAAGCAGGAGACCTCTATAAATGCTCACGATCCTCAAGCACACTTGTACCACACCTTATTAGCTGACGCACATTACACAAGCAAGCAATCAAGTTCCCTTTGCGACGTTGTTCTTTATTTGGAATACACCTCATAGGTTGGGTCCTTTCAATGCTATCTTTAGACCAACCCGAGCCACAGATAACAGAATCATACGAGGCTATAACTACTTTGGTAGGAAGCACATACCAATCTCATTATCATTTCTTTGGTCCGGTCCCTATATAGTATAGCCACTCAGCTAACTAGCGACGTAGTACTCCGTATACGAGTTAGCATTGCCACCCAACTAGGAGTTTCAATAGTCGACCTTAAACATGCACAAGGCTCATCGCCAGACGGATGCAATTATATTGCCAACCCTTCCCGCGCTCAAAACTTGGTACTAATCTATATCCAAAAGATGAAAAGATGTACATTTAGCATATCCAATACCTAAATTTATCTTATGGAACCTTCCCAATATTTAGCTTTCCGGTGTAGTATGCACTAAATCCGCCAGGAACATAACAGTCGAATCAGTAGAAGTTCACGATCTGAATACGGGTGATCTACATCAATTGATGCTAATCTCCGGATAGCCCTGCTATTTTTAGGCCTGCATGTTGTGCCCTGACAGGCAACTCTTCAGGAACACGAGTGCCAAGCATAGCCTATGTTCCGATTAAGCTTAACAACATCAGCACACTTGAATAACACGGGAATTCCCTATGGGGAATATACGAGATAACCTTTTTGAAAATAGATTCGTTACTTCTACTCGATACAACCTCAATACTGAATACGGGCTTCATGGAAAGAATCTACGAATACGAATTGAGGATCTTTTTACATTCCACTTCTATACGAGCCTCGTGGGGTCCAAACCAAGCAAGAATGAACACAATAGTCATTTGGTGTGATATGCAATCCCGAGGAACGAGGAACCAAGAGATATAAAATGCTCCTTGATTCCCATCAAGCTATTCTATCCATCAGCTCAACCATCGGAACATCGACTCCTCTACAATCTCCAATCCCCAAAACCAACTTCAACTTCACAATATACTTCAAGTATCATTCCAAATTCATCCAAAATGATGTTCACTCCCATTCTGGCACTCGCATTCGCCGCCCTCACACCAATCGTCAATGCCTATCCCATCACCGGCAACGTCGTCAACTGCCGCTCCGGTCCAGGAACCTCTTATTCTATAGTCAAGAGCTACAAGAAGGGAGCCGACGTTGCAATCACCTGCCAAGCCGCCGGTACCACCGTCAAGGGCAACGAAATCTGGGACAAGACCTCCGACGGCTGCTATATTGCCGACTACTATATCAGAACCGGGAGCAGCAGCTATGTGACCAAGAAATGCAGCGGCGGAGGTGGCAGCGGTGGTGGTAGCAGTGGAAACCTGCCTGGCCTTTCATCCACCCAGTCCAAGCATGCAAAGGCCATCATCGGAGAAGCAAAGAAAGAAGGTCTGGGTCGTCAGGGCTGTCTTGCTGGAATTGCAACTGGGCTCGTGGAGGTGAGTTGCTTACACGTTCAATTCCGATATAACTAGATACTCAGAACACTGCTAACACAATCTCAAGTCTAATATGCTTATTTACGCCAATAAGAAAGTCCCCGCTTCACTCAAATATCCCCATGATGCTGTGGGCTCGGACTACGACAGCGTGGGCATCTTCCAGCAACGCGCTATTTACTACCCCGACATCGCTGCTGATATGGATGCTGCGAAGTCGGCGGCTCAGTTCTTTAAAGGTATGAAGAATGTTAGTGGATGGAAGACTATGGAGGTTGGGAAGCTTTGCCAGAAGGTGCAGGGCTCGGCTTATCCCAGTCGGTATGCGGAGCGTGTCGCTGAGGCTAAGAAGATTTGTGTTGCTGGTGGCTTGTAGGTGGACATTATGTTTGACATCTGGGTGGATCATGTTTACTAGCTATTGTCTTAAGCTTTTGAACTTTCTGTTTTGTTGGAATCTGAAGAATGTCTTTGGTGCTTTGTTATCAAAGGTTATACATAGAAAGGAAGGAAATGAGAGTCAGAGTTGAAAAATAAATGACAGCCTCGTGAAATCAGTAAGACAGTCGGGCCCAATCGTCCTAGAGTTGAGGGATGTCATTTAGCGACAATCTATCTAAACTCAAGTAATTGAAACTGTACTCAGATAGACTTGCTATCCAGTGGCTCTGCTTGTGAGGTGAGTATTGATGGAGGTGGTTGTTAAGCTGATTGGTAGGATTTAGAAAGGATGTGCTCTAATAAGCTCTAATAGAGTCACTCGTCATCGATTAGTGTCGTAACATTTCTCTTATTAACTAGGTCCTGGCTATCCCGGTACTTAGTGTAGCAATATTTGGGCTTTCCGAGGGGTGACCACGGTCAAACTGCTGCTGATACCGCATCACTGGGCGCCATATGGCATCACCATCGAGCCTTGTCTCCTCTCCTGGGTTCATATGAGTCTGCGGCGGAGAAAGAGAGTCCTCTTGCTGGACAAAGCGCACGAATATCAGGAATCTATAAGACAAATCTGGTCGTTTTAAGATCTCCACCGGTCCTTTGCCACTAGCGTAAATTCCATGTTTAAACTCTGCCATGCCATAGCCAAAAATTGGGATGGAAGTCGGGGCCATGATGTGTTGTCTACCACGCTTTTCTCCGACTATCAAGCGCTATAGCTGAGAAGAGGTATGCAAGTGAAGGCCGAAAGCAGCACTAGGATTGCTTGTCCGCCCCACTTTCCTCCAGCTATCAAGTTTCATACTCATCATAGACGAAGCAGAGGCAGGAGTTAGGACTTGCCTCTCCACAAGAGCATGATCTTTCTACGTCATGAACTAGTATTGCTCATGAAAGAAGGCTTTGGGGATACGAAAGAGCCGAGTAAAACGTGCAAATGACCAAGACCGTCATTATCTCCATTGGGAGATCAAATGCATAGGAATTGGTGTATTGACTTTAAGCCTGGTGCATACACGGGTTTACTCAATCTCCCAAATGAAAATGGTAGCATCTTGACCGCACTAGTAATGAGGCGGTGATTGTGGATGTCTAAAGTAGTCATGCGTTATAGTATTACCAGTCACTTCTCTTTACTCCTAGTCTTCACTAGTAATATAATCGGCATTGGATTCCATCTGCAGTTCAATACCCTGCACTGTTTCAGGGATATTCCCCAGACTTCGCCATGTGAACCTTTGAACCCTTGACGATCTCCCAATAAAGTTTTTCCCCATCAAAATCACATGGACCTCGGATGCCCTGCATACTAACGCTAATTCAACAAGGCCTTCTTCCCCGCATACTCCATTCGCTCCATAACTTCAATCAGATCCCGAACTCTGCCCGCAAACTCTGCCCCGGATTATGCAGATATCGTACGTGCTCCGTAAATGTATACCCCATGGGGCTGAAAAGCACGTGTCAACCCATAAATGCCGAAGGATTCCTTAGCCTATGAACAGCCCCCAATCCCACGTGTTAGCTAAAGCTAGTGCCCATCCGACTCCGTACAATACTCCATATATCTTAGTTTCCAACGTTGGGTCCGGGGGAACACGCCATCGAAGTCGATCAACCCCGCACCCCCGGGAGTTCTCGCCAGATCACCGGATCAACGAAATAGAACTATCACAAGAACCGCGGGATTTCGAGAGAAAAGGTTCGTCGGATAGATTTACCGAAGTTGGGGTACGTGAGCCGTGAATCTGAACGTTTGTCTGAAAACCAAGTTATGACATCCCTCGGTGCAAGGACCACTACGTCAAGCCCCTCGCTATCACTACCCCTGTCTAATATACACAATTTAATAAACTTCCCGAGGTCCCGGCCCCTGGTCCTCTATGCATGTATGGGAGTCTCTAATGTGGTCACCTATACGGAATACGGAACACAGAATAAGTACGGACCAAGAAAAAACTCCAGCATAATATAAAGACATGTAGGTACAGCCTAATAAGCGAGTCTCACATAATCCCTAATTTGCTCCAGAGCTAATCTAGAGCAGGAATTTCCAATCCAACAATCTAGAAGGGTTTTCCGAAAGTCTAACAGGGATGGTAGGGTTTAACTAGTACAATAGCCCACATTTCGTCGGTAGTAAAGTAAGTAATTCACCGGTAGTAAGTACGGAGTAGTATCTCCGTGTTCAACGCACAGACAGAATCAGCCCCAACGAGGTAAAACCGCCGTTCCTGCATGAGGTGGAGTCCGGAAGCCCAAGGAGACTAGTGCCGCCCCCGGCTTTGGTGGCTCATATTGCTCGGCTTTGTGGGAAAGGTTTTTTTCTCAATCTTTTGTGGTATTTGAGTGTAAATTAAGTCCATGCTCAGCATCCATAACTGTGGGATTATATTGCATTCCACAGAGTATATGCTGTGCTAATCACGGACATACCGACCCGAGTGAAATGTCATTGAGATTGAGACGGGTGGAATATGAATCTGTATTACAATAATGGGGACTAGCCTCGATTTTCTCGGTACATCGATAGAAAATATAGTAATTGTGGAGATCAAATAAATTAGAATCGAATTATATTGGAATATGAAACGAAAAAATCATACATCATTGATACACGTGGGAAACACTGCCCAGGAAATAGTGAGACATGTGTGTAACCTGGAATCTCCTTTTTTTTAAGGGTATAGGTCGGGATAATAACCCATTTAGAAGGGAAAACATAAGAACGTATTTCGGTAACATTACACTCGTCCATACCCCGGCGCAAAGGAAGACTGGGGATCCCACTCGCGCGCACTATGTAACGAGCTAGGCGGCCTAGGCCCGGAAAAACTCAATGAGGGACGCACATAGCGGGCCTCGCGAGCGACCTGGGTACGGTCCATGCTCGGGCTGGGGCTGGTCGGACTGCGGCCAAATCCAGTCTGTGTAGGGCTCGGCGAGGGCATGAATGCGCTGCGGTCTGTCGCGCCCATTTGGGTAGGGCTTGGTGAGCGCATGAACGCGTTGCGGTCAGGGCCCGTTCGTGTTGGGCTTGGTGAGCGCATGAAGGTGTCGGGTGATTTCACAGAGGTGGTGAGCATTTCGAAGCCCTTGTTGCTGGCGAAGCGGGTGTTTGCATCTACAGAGACGAATTCGTTGCGCTGTGCTAGTTTGGTGCGGAAGAGATCTACCCACCCGGCGAACATGGAGGGGCGGGCGAAGAGGATGAAGTTCCAGAAGCCGACGAGGGAGAGGAGAATGACGACTGCTAGGAGGGTTGCTTCGTTAGGGCCGATGGCTGCGGCGTAGCTGCGGCAGAGGTCTTTGTCGCCGGTTTGGGCGAGACACATTAGCCAGGGGGTTGCGGTTTTGACGTTTTCTGCTGTTGGGGCGACGGCATTGTCGAGGTTGATGAAGACGACGGCGAAGAAGATTACGTTGCCGAGGATGATTGAAGTGAGGGCGATACCGCGCCATTGGAGTTTCAGGACGCGGCGGACGCGGCGATAGGCTTGTCGGGCTGTCACGGTGCCGATGCTAGCTGTGTAGGAGGGGAGGTTGGCGCCGGAGCTGCCTGATGTCGAGGCGGATTTGTCGAAGAGGGAGCGGAGGTAGATGTGGGTACAGTAGATCATTGTTGATAGTTGGAAGAAGAGGGCTGCGGCGGCGAAGATCATGACTGGGATCCAGTAGTCGTATAGTCCGTTGGTTACGTTGATATGGCAGATTTCGCCGAATCGGAATGACACCCCGGTCAGGATCAGCATAACTGTCATTCCGATGGCTGGGATCCCGAATCCGCAGACAAAGGCGGTCCACATGAACTTGGGCCCTAGAACTCTTTCCCAGCAGACTTGTAGGTGGAAGGCCATTGTGCGGATGAAACTCCAGATAACCACTAGCCAGCCTCCGAATAGCAATAAAGATCCGGAGAAGGCACAGGAAAGATCGGAGCGCATATCATTAGGGGTGATTGCATTGTGGCACTGGTTTGGTTTGGCACCGAGGGGGATAATGAAGGCGAGCTAGATTAGAGTTAGCCATAGAGGTTCCCAGTCCACACCAACATCCAACTTGCCTGCATGCAGCAAATGCCCACCGTAAAGCAGACACTCAGGTAATGACGGTGAGTCCATTTGACAGGTAGCACGGCGTAGGAGATCAACAAGAAGATACATAGAGGGAGAATGGCGACGCTAATCCAACTTGTGACGGCGATCTTATCATCCAAGTCTATATCCACGTTAGGTTTTGGAACGAGCCTAGGGATCACCCAACTCACCAGTATCATATCTCCATTCGGCGAGAGGACATGGCAAGCAACAGGAATAAGTGCTGTTGCCCAAAGTGAGTTTCTCGCAAAAGCGACCACCGATAAATCCCTCGTCGTTAGGGAATAACGTCTCCTGCAAGAAGGGAGACGGGCAATGTCCAGTTAGGGCGTGCACCATGATGGCGAGAGATGCATATCCTGCACGAATCCCTAACGCGCCAGCGCGATATGAAGGAATAGTATATATATATTTATGCTAAGGGAAAGAAAGGAGTGATAGAGAAATGCAGGGTAGACGGGGATATTCATCGTACTTGTACGAACTCCCCGTACTCCCATACAGTGTAGGTTGTAGTACATTGGACCGTTCACTGCCCCACCGGCACACGAGGCCCCCGCTAAATCCTTACCCACGGTCCCCCAAAACTCAATTCGAGCTTGGCAATGTCGTTTACCGGGGGATAAATTACAATACAGTAATACAGTAATACACATATTGAAAATAACCGAAGCCACCGTAAAGTAAACTGATGTAACTCTTATCCGATGTACTCGGACTCTTTTTGAATGCTGTGCCTACAGAGATCTCATCTCATAATATCTTAGTGCACTAGTAGAATATTCTATACTACTCTAGCATTGAATTAATCTAATTTATCAGCCTCGGACTTCCATAGCCCTTGCCAAGTGTTCCTTTACTTTTCAGCCCATACAATGCTAATATTAAATCTAGATTCAATAGATCTAAATATCCACCCATTTCAATTACTCCAGCTGACAGGTACCTTAACAGTCCAGCCCCAAGCCCACGCTGACAGTCCGCCAAGCACTCGCCTCTTACAACCTGATTCGATTGCATTCTTTACCCCTGGAGATCAAATTTTGTCTGTCCTCGCACAGACTGGCCTGTGTCACCTACAATGGCATTCCTTCCCGAGAACCCACGCGGTAATCCACCCAATCATTACCACTAACCCGTCTCTCGCTGTGATCACCGCCAGCATTCGTTATTCGTGAATCCAATTAGATGGATAAGGTACTATATGATATATTTATGTACGCTGCCAATCTATCACAAGTCGTTATTTGAATATATCTATCCCGGAATCCTCACCCAGATCTTATGGATCAGCTGACTTATTTACCATATACGTAATACATATACCCATGGACGCCTCTTGGAGTAGCTGAACCATGTTCGTGATATGTTCTATATTATCAGATCACACCGACATCCTCTAATATGATCATCGCAAGCGCTAGCCACGAACCGCCAATTAAACCAGTCGAAGAATGGCTTTTTTTTGAGCCTTTGCTCTTTTCTATCAAGATCACCGTCCATTTATGAGTCATGTCGCTTAACACAAAGCACAGTCCAAGGTTGGCATCAAATCACAAGCCCTACTAGTTCTACCCTGCTTTCTAACTAGAGTCTTCCTACATATGATTTCTGCCTTTGTACGTCTGATCCACTACTATTCCCATCCTCATAGTCAATCCTACACCCGTAGCAAGACAGAAAAATAAACTACATGTCAGAACAGACATAATGCCGTAGAAAGAACCCTTATTTTGCCAATTCAAACCGGCTAAACAACTGCCATAAAAACTAGAGTAAGAAAGACCACATCTGTCAACCTCCTCGCTTCGTCCTATTCCCAAACCAAGTACGGAGTAAGCCTTGGCTCAGAAACATCAAACATGGCTCAATATTTTCCCTATTCAATATGCACTTTGCACATTTAGAGATCAGCGCCAAACCCATGGCACTTAAAACGTTCTCAATAACGTGAATATCTCCAACCCAAATCTCCAACTCCCCACAACGACCCTTAAATCCTGCCGACCCCGGGATCGTCTTTCCCCAACCCGCCAAACTTGCCATTCTCCCCGAAAAATATCCCCAGAATCTACCCGAAAAAATAATGCGGGATAACCGGTCCTAGTAACCCGAGATATTCTCGTAACCGCGTAGATCCTGAATAATCTCGGGACGTGGGGTTCGGATAAGTTGCCCCCAAGGGTAAATCAGTGGGGGGGGAAGCTTGGAAGTGGATGCAACATACGGAAAACCTGCGAGGGTTGGGGTTGGGGTTTGGGGGTTGGGTTAATATCTAGGTAGTAGAGTCAATTCTTATAGGATAGGAAGATGTGATATTTGGGTGTCAGCGTTAGTGTTGTTTAGGTTGTCCACTAAAGTTGAAGCTAAGTGGAGGACGTAGATCGAGTCTTGGAAAAGTTAAGAATCATCATTGCCAAGGTGGGAGCCAAGGTGGGATAGACGATAATATGTCTGCAGAACTCGGCAACTAAAGCGAAGCTGCAGAATCAATTTAGGAAAGGTTCTCGACCCTTGATATTTAGAATCCATTTGCCCACTTTATGATTGTACAGACATCTGCACTATACATTACTATAGGGTATCATCATTACTCATGTGTCCGGCATTCGTCAAACGTGAGAGCTGACATCCTTGACATCCTTGACTTCCAGTCACTTGTCACTTCCAATCACTTGAAACCATTCCTCATGGCGTGGGGTAACAGGATTGGAATCCCAACAGTCAACGCATTACTTTACAAGTACACCCCAGTACCCTCAAATGATTTCATCGGGTCCAATAGTTCAAAGACCAGCTCTTATATGAGGTGCCCCGCGCCCCGGACACTATAATCCCTAGGCTGGAAACCTTATGAATGAAGATACCCTCAAGAAGGTGATTGCATCGAATTCTCATCCCACCCCCACTCCTTCAACAACTGCTGCACACGGTACTCAGTCGCCCAGCCCAGATCAGACTCGATACTTCTCAGCAGACGCACGGTAGTGCGACGCTCACGCGGGTCAGTCAAACACTGCCCGCTAACAAAGAGCGGCTGTAGCGAGTTGATCCGGACGCTTCCATCCGGGCGGGAAAGACCGATACCCACGATCTCGCGACTGTGGAATGCGATCTCGGCCTCGATGGAGCGGTACGATTGCAGACGGAGTGTGATGGTGCTCCGACGGCTGGTGGACTCGTGCGGTTTGTTGATGAGTAGTAGGATGCGCGCCATGTGGTAGTGCTGCATGGCGGAGGCGCACATGGGTAAGCTGTACCAGATTTCTTGGAGGGTGGAGATGTCTTCGTTTTCATTGTGTGGGCGGTGGTGAGTGAGCTTGTGGGGGTCCATTCGGGCGCACGGCCGGAATGTCTCTGGGATTCCGTTGTACCATGCGTCGAGCTCGGATTCGAGTCTATACCACCGCTCCAGCAGGACTTGCTGTGAGACGCCTAGTGGTCCTGGTACGGATCGGTGGTCGGGTAGGTGGACGTTGTCGCCGGAGCTTATGAAGTTGACTATCTTGGACATTATCCAGACTAGTCCGTTGCTGATTAGGTCTTCTTTCATTATGTCTTCGCCTTCGGGGTATCCTGCTGCGCCTGTGTTGCTGGCGCGGAGAAAGCCCGCGTTGTCGAGGAGTAGACCTGCTTCGGTCCAGAGGACTGTATCGTCTGTGTTTAGCCTTGTATGGCTTTCATTGATGACTTGTTTCTGTTAGCGGGGTTTGGAGCAACTATTCCTTGGAAACACTTACAGGCAGCTAGGTAGTCCTGCCGCGCAAAATTCCAAAATGTCGCCTTTCGAGCCTTCGAAAGACCCGACTTCTTAGGCTTATGCGTCTGATATGAGTTATCTCCCGGAGACGGACGCTGCTCAAGAGGCATCATGCCCACTTCAGCAACATCAAGCAACGACTTCACGCCACTCAAATGACGATTCCACGCAGGGCCTGCGGCATCGAGGAACTCATACACAGACAAAATGGCCGTCGCCGCGAGAACCTCATCAGAATGAACTCCATGCGAGAGCCGACTATCAGACACCCGTCTGCGGCGCTTACGTGGGTTATCCGTATCTACAGAAAGCTCAGAGGCCTGCCATTGACCGAAAGCCTCGGGGGTGCTCAATGGCGGTGGACCCTCTGCGTCGGGTTGCAGCTCCTTCATTAACAACTGGATGGCCTTTTCATAATATTTGGCCCCGTACCATGCGAAATCGGGGTCTTTGTCAGGCCATAGTTCCATGGCAGCTTGCTGGGTGCAGACTCCGCCTACTGGTGCCTTGGCACCTTTGACTCGGCCCAGCTGTTTGGCGGAATATGCGCAGGCGGCGAATTTCAAGAGAGGGTTGGTTCTCGCTCGTACTGGGACGTATGAAGCGAAATATGTCCCTAAATCGAAGAGATCCATCCTGCAGATGCCGCCGTTACTAATGCTTCCACATCAGGAGATGGGAGAAAACATACCACAATCCCGGTCCTTCCGAATAATGTCGCAGTAAGAAAGCAGTCTCGAAATCGGTCTCTGAATTGTCGTCTGGTGTGTGATTCATGAGGCTCATGTGGCTCATATGGCTCATGCTTCTATGTGAAGCTGCCGGTCTTGATGGAAGCGGAGTGTGGCGGTCGGAGAGCTGAATACTTGGGTCGATGGAGGGGGACATCGAATGCGACGGGTTGAGGAGGAAATTAATATTGGTATTGTTGCTGGTGGACGACAGCGACATGGAGGGCGAAGCCGGGGGCATAACGGCATTGTGTCGTCGGTTTGGAGAGGTATATGAGGTATTATCAGAGATTGAGTGGTCTAGGGAAGAATAAGGGAAGCGATCGTGTGCGACCGCCGACAAGGCTTCCAGTCCCTGTGTCTCCGCATCGCTCGTTCGAGAGCCTCCACTGCCCCATCGGTGATTTGGAGAGTTTGTTTGCGCGCTCGGATCTACCAGTGAGGCCTCGAGGTCATCGGCGTATGGATCGGAGTTGTCGACGAATATCACTGCCGAGGATATAAGCTACCAACGAAATTTCAGACCCGAACAATATCTCCCAATGCCGTACCATGTTTGGGAACATCCAGCCACACGCTATCCTTGTCAAAGGTGTTCTTATACGAATAGAACCCGTTGAGACTACCACGACCATCTGGGGAGTTCCGGTTCATCGACGCGTTTTGTTGGTGGCGGAAAACTACTCCTTCGCTCGGACGACATTCTCGACCACCTTTGCGACATTGTGAACATTCGGGCTTTTCTTCATCACCTAGAAATGATTTAGTCAGGCAATGAACCCTTGAAAGATAATGTATCCCCCTACATTTAAGCTTTCGTGTTCGACACGTTAAGCTGGGTGGGTGTT